AAAGAAACATTATTCATTTCTAATCACAAAACTCTCTTTAAATGGAATAAATCGATAAGCTTTTAAATATATTTTGTTATATAATTTATCAATTTTTAAGATTTCTCATAAATAACTGGGAAAGATATCAGACAGCTGATTTCTGCGATGTAATTTTTTGATCAAGATATTCCTATCTAAGTAAAAACCCAAAACAAATCACTAAAGATATTTTTGATTTTTGAGCTAGATTAAATCGGACTTTCTTTTTCATTTATACCATTCTAGTAATTGTTAATAAAAAAACATTAAACATAATAGTTTGAAGTTAGATTATTTTCCAAGTTTTTTTTTTGTTATTCATGATGAAAGCTACCATTAAGATTTCAAATTCTAATTATTAAACCTTGATAACTATTGAATAAACCTTTGAGTTTATTTTTTCTTCATCAGTAATAGCCATTTTTACAAATAAACCATCATGCTTATCGCTTAAACTATTAAACTATCTGGAGTAATTTATTTTTTTAAAAAAACCCCTACCCATATTGAGAATGGGATACTTGTCCCTATCTTTTTGTGTAGCTCGATATCTCCCAAAATACTTTTTTAAGAATTATATTATTACTATATCATGATCTTAAAATGAAGATATTAAATTGTCATAAAAATGAAAATAAAAACAAAATATAGAAAAGAAAAGCCCCTTCAAGAAAGTATATTATATTTAAAGTATTAACCATCAATAAAACATACATACTGCACGATCGATCAAAAGCATGACCCAAAATATAGATTTAATAAAAATTGAATTTAACTGGAATAAGTAATTTTTATAGAAATGTTTGAAATAATTTTAAGATCTATTGCGTATATTTAATGATTATCCCTTTTTTTTTTTTTATTAGATCAAAAGTATTTTGTTTTGTATTTTTTGATATGATTTGTGATATCAAATTATAAATTAAGCATAAGCTTAAAGTATTCCATATTGAAATGAAGCTATTTTTTATTCTGTGATCTAACAGAAATGCGTTATGACACACTATATTCAAGTCGGCAATACTTGGGGGTTTTTTTTTTCAATTTCTCGTGTAATACTTCTTTATGTTTGAAAAAAAAAAAAAAAAAAAAAAACATGTTGCAATAATGGGCAAATGAGAACGATAGAGCAGCCGCTGCTTGTGTTACTGTATCTGCGTGCATTACAAGACTATGCGGCCAAAAGATCGAAACGAATGTCAAGGTGGTATGCAAATGTTTAAAGTATCAAAAACTAGATCAAAAAAGCTTAATCTGTTAAAAATATCAAAAACACAGTAACTATTGGTTTGCTGGGGGGGATTATAAAACTATTATAAATAAAAAAGCAATTGCATGCTTTCGTATGAGATTGTGCGCACTTTTGAAAGCATTGTGAAAAATTTTTCCAATGTCATTTAATGAACCTATAAAATTGCAGGATTGACATATAAGTCTTCTGAAAAAAAAAAAAAAATTTTTTTGTTTTTGCTTTCATCGTTTTAGAGACCAAATTTAAGAAAGTAACGATAAGTATCTAAAATGTTGCTTTATTTGTTTTTCTTTTAATAATCAGATATATATTTAATATATAATATTTAATATATATTTAAATATTATAATAAATGTAAGATCTGATATTTTTTTGATTAGAATCGTATAAATACATAAAATATGGAATAACCGGATAGCAAGTTAAAGACTGGGAAAAAAGCAAGGGAAAATTATATATATATATTTTTTTTTAGTTTTTAAAATATTTTTATGTTCAGATATGATGTTGCTACATAAACCTATAACTTTGAAATAACCTAATTATAAAGCTAAAATTTGAAGGGATCTTTGAGGCGATATAGACGAGTGTGGATCTTCGCAAGCTTAGAAGTTTAGTAATAAAGGGATACGAAATGTTGGAAATGAAGTAATTTTTTTTTCTGAAAAAAAAAAAAAATTAAAAATAAATACAGAAGAAGGAAAAAAGAATTAAAGAAGAAAAAAAAAAAAAAAAAACAATGTCTTTATTCTCATAAAGAAGCCAAGGTCATGTTTTTTTCTTTTTCTTGCGCAGGAATTGCCTGTTTCTTTTACTGCAAAAAATGAAAAGCGATAAACCTAAAAGTTTTTGCATTTTATGCTGTAAGCTTACAGACAAAATAGATTGTAATTTTGAAAAAAAAAAAAAAAAAAAATTCAATTAGTTGGAGTTAAAAATGGCCTATGAACAAACCCAGTTAAAATAGGATTGATAATTGGTTCCTTTTTTTTGTCAAAAAAAATAATACTAAATCTATTAATTTAGAAAAGCAATGTAAATGTTGTTCACATAAAGTATCGTAAAAACAAATAAAATAATGATCTCTAAGAAAGAAATTTTTTCAGGTAAAACTTTTTTCTGGAAAAAAAAAAAATACAAACAAAAGATGAAAAAAAAACAAAAGTTTTTTTTTTTTTATATAATTTCATATATGAAGAAGAAAATAAAGGGAAAAAGAGGCGCTTTCGATATGATCAATAAAAAATACGTTTAGCCTTTAATTATTTGGTTAATTCTTAGAATGCATGGTGGGTATCCTACTATGGTAATAATATAATATAATAAGAATATAATAATAATATAATAATAATATAATAATATAATAATAATATAATAATATAAATAAAAACTCCGGGATCGCGGTTCATGTTTTTTTCGTTTCGCAAAGTACTTTGTCCATATATTCCAATCAGAAATGTTTCTCTGTTGGCACCCTATTTTTAAAAAAAACGCCTTATTTAAAATCTTTTGTTGGGTTTTGAATAGAAGCAAGAAAGTAGGGGGAAAAAAATTCCATTAGGGATTTTGGAGTATATAAAAATATATATATGTATATATATGTATATATTTTAATTTTTTTAATTCAAAGATTTTGAAATTATCTTCAATACGAAGTAACTAAAGTATCTTCATGTATTTTCGGGAATTTCCTTAATTTACTGGCCAAAGTTATTATATGTTATTAGATGATATATGCTCTTTTGTGAACTCATTTAAGATCTTTTTAGAAAAAATAAATAAAAAATAAATAAAAAACTAGCGGATGAGAAAAATATTTTACGTTGACATTGAACGAAAGAAAATGAATAGTTAAGTTTCAGCAATTATTATTTGGGCATCACTCTATATTAAAAAGATGAGCCACAAATTGTTTTTTTTTTTGAAGTTTGGAATGTTTCGTTTTTTATCTTTCTTTCTTTCTTTCTTCTAAAGAATGGATATCTTGTTATTTACAAAATGAAAAAAAAAGATGATCCTTTTTAAAAAAATAAATAAATAAATAAATAATCAATACCATTTAATGTTCTTCAGGGCACAAAATATTACATTTTTATGAACGGAAAAGAGCCCATGAAATATATAGTATATGAAAAAAAAAATAATCCGAAGATTGAATAAAGCAGATTTGGTTCCTTTTTATTTTTTTTTTAATATATATATATATATATATATTTCCAATGATAGAATCGTACATGACAAGATGATTGTTCTATTACTGTTCTTAATCGAAAAGGGAAGCAGTAATGATGAAAGTTTTTATTCTGGTGACAAAATTAGAAAGGCGCCTACATTGACTTTTAACATTAGGATTGTTTCGAGAGTATGAAGATAAAAACAAAGGAGGTAAAATTAAAGGTTTTACCATAATATTTTCATATTCATATTCATATATATTTTATTATTGATTTCTGGAAAAGACCTTTTAAGCGATACGAGTTTTTATTTGAGAGAATGTGTGTTGTAGATATATTTTGAAAATAAGGGTAAATACAGTTTATATAATGATGATTAAGTTTAATATATATATTCTCGAAAGAAAAGAAAAAAAAAAAGCCCAGAATAAAGTTTTTGTGATTGTTTATAATCAAAAAAAAAAAAATTCAAATATTTTCTTTCTTATATATATTCTCCCTTATTAATAATCTAGACTTATATCCCCAACATTGAAAAAAAAAAAAAAAAAAAGAAAGAAATAAAGAAAAAAAAAAAAAAAAAAATAGAAAATTTTATATTTTGATTATTAAATAGGTCCCGACTATTGACTGCACATACGCGCATTTGTGTCCAGAAAGCCACGCGTACCATAAAAGTCTGTTATTGCAGGGATGGTTGTTTAGTTTCTTTTTAATTTTTATATTAATTTTTTATTTTTATTTAAATAAATATATATATATATTTTTTTTTTAAAAACGATTAGTTTGCTAGTTATTATTATAATTATTTTTATTATTTTTATTATTTTTATTATTTTTATTATTTTTATTATTTTTTGCCAAAGAACATTTTAAGAAGACAAATAAGAATGATAAATAGAAGTTTAGAGATTCTTATATAAATCAAAATGATTCTGCTCTTTTCCCCTCCCATCTGACCCTTTTTTTTTTTTTTCAATATTCTTTAATATTTTTCTCTTTCTCTTTTTTTTTGATTTTGATTTTGATTTTCTTTCTTTCTACTTTTCCATTATTATTATTATTTTTTTTTTTTTTGCATTTCCTTTTGAAATTCTTATATATATTAAACATTATTGATTTGCATATCTTTCTTTATTAGGACTTTATATATACATTGACTTTATTTTCTATTGCAAACTTGCAAAAAATTTAAAACTCAAAAACCCAAATTTTCTACAGTTCACGCTCAAACCTGTGTACATTACACAACACATATCTATCTATATATATTTAGACATCTTGGTCACGGTTTTTTTTTTCTTTTTCTTTTTTGCCTCTAAGATTATATATATATTTTTTTATAAAGTTACGAACACTTTCTATCATAATTCTTAATCGGCATTTCACAACAAAACCTTTCCTTCTTCTTTTTTATACTCACCAACTTAAATACTAAAAAAAAAAAAGAAAAGAATCTGCCTTTTTTTTTTATTTGACCAACAACTATTTTTTTTTTTAAAAAAAAAACCTCTCTACTTCGATCTTGTCTTATTTCATCAATTAGTACCATAATGCAACAGAATACTTCTCCAATTCCTCTACCACCCTACAATCTTAATAGGCACCCTATCGAAACATGGCAAGAATGGTACCTCAGCAACCAATCGATGATTGATATTCAAGTGAACCTTTCTAATCAAATCGAAACTTACGGTTCATCGGTTGTTGGTGATCCTATGTGTAAGTTTTACTAAATGTTACGATTTTTTGTTAGTTTTTTTTTTTTTTCCTTTGGAGAGCTTGGGCGTAACGCTTGCAATATATAAGCGTTATTTGCATATATATATATATGATCTGTTAAAGCTCAAGCTCTTTTCTTTTTGATTATTTTTTTTATTTTTTTTTATTTTTTTAAAAAAAAATTTACAACAAAGCCTTGAATTTATTTATTTATCTATTTCTCAACTCTCGTTAACCCTTTTTTTTTTGAATAGTTGAAATCCGCACTATCGCACCTTATGAATACACCGATTCATTAAATCAACGCCAAATTTGGGAGCCTTATCTGACTGGCCGAGAAAGAAAAGAGTTTGATACTCATTTAAGGGTAAGTTAACCGCAGATTTTTGGTGTGCAAAGCGCAAGCAAGAATATGATGGGAATAAAAGCTCTACTTTGGTTAATATATTTTATTTAAAATACCTTCTACTTAAAAATTAAGTGGACATCTAATGTTGCCGAAGAATTATTAATCTTTTATATAAAAGGGCTTAATTTTTTTTTGGATAGATTTTGATGATACCCAAAACTTGAACCAATGACACCTTTTTGGTAGAAGATTTCTTGAAAAAATGATTTCTTTTTTTTTTCCTTCTTCTCTTAATACCAAATTCATCTGCCCCCCCTTTTTTTTTAAGTGCATGAATTACCCATATATATATATACATAAGCTAATTATGCTGAAAACTTAGCACCTTAAAAATTCACTTAAAAAAAATAGGGGGATCATATATACTTTGAAATAGTAGTGTGTTGGTGGCAATGATGAGAGTGGTGGTGGCATTATTCTCGTAAAAAAAAAAAAAAAAAAAAAAAAAAACTACAGAACAAAGAGGAAATTTATTAACCACCAAAGACGAGCGAGTTACTTTCCGGATGTATTTATACTAACAATATTTTAGACTTTTATGGCTCAAAACAAGTCAGGCAGACTAAGGGTACGCCCCGTTCCTATTATCCCATCTCAGCCAAACTCCCCGACATTACAATTCCGTCCAGTACCTTCCTCCCATTCCCATTCTTCTTCATCATCTTCATCCTCAAGCACACGGAAATCCCATGTTTCGAAAAATAGTGGAGGTAGCAGTAGTCACACCAGCAGCAGTACTAGTGGGAGCAGCAGGAGCAAATCCTCCAGCAGCAGTCATAATGGAAGTAGCAGCAGCAGTAGCAGAAACAAGTCTTCTAGCAATAGCAGCAGCAGCCATGGTGGAAGCAGTAGTTCCCATCGGCGAATTTCTCCAACCAGTAGTTCCAACACGTCTCCAAGTGAAAGCTCGGCAACTGCTAGTGGGTACTTTAACGCCCCAGGGATGGGTCAATTCCAAGTGACCAACACACCATTCCCACAACCATCATCCTCTTCCTATTACACTACTTCGAGGCCTCCATCCACTTCTGGTTCGGTTACAGCATCTTCATCACAATCTTCTACAGGACAATCATATCAATATTCTGGCTCTTCTTCATACCAATTTCAGAGTGGGTCATCATCATCTTCATCATCACCTCCGGCATCTTCACCTGGAAACTCGCGAACATATTCTTTTCAAGGTTCTCAATCCTCTTCGCAATACCAGCAACAACAGCAGTTTGCTGCGGGCACCCAGTCCTCTTCAACTTCTCAGCATTCTTCACATGCTCAGCCACAACACACACAAGATCCCCAACAATACCAATATCAATATTGAAGTTTAAAGTAAAAAAAAGAAATTAGAGATTGGGGGAAGAAGAAAAAAAGGAGTTATTTTTTCTTGTTTTTTTTTTAATGAAATTAGACATTTATATATATATTTATTTTTTTTTTGTATAAATTGAATTATTTTTTTTTAAAAAAGAATTTAAACATAATGAAATGTATATTTATGGAAAATAATAATAATATTGTAAAAGCGAGCCCTAACAGCCATTGCATAGTAAAAAAAATACTATATCTGGAATTGTTTTAAAACTGGAAAAAAAAAAAAAAAAAAAAAAAAAACCAAAAGCATTTTTAAACCTTGAGCAAATGTACAAATTAAGCACTATACTTATATTTAATAGTGGACCTAGAGTCTTATACTACAAGATGAGTGGGTGAGAAAGGAAGAAGGTGAAGTCTAAGATCTGATTTATTAGAGAGGGGAGGAATAAAAAAAAGTTTAACTATTGGATATTTCCTAACAAACAAACACAAGCTGCAGATGCATTCTGTACAGGAAAGAGGGAGGCGCATTGCTTAGAGGAAGAAGAAGAAGAAAAAAAAAACCATGAAAAATGATGGAGAAAAAAGGAGACGTTGTTATATTTATTTCTTTATTTCTCTTAATTTCTTAATTTCTTTATTTCTTTATTTCTTCATCTGGCCCCAAAGCAGAGCAGAAATCTTTTAGTTGGATGCCGTTTTGACTTTATAAACATTTTTTTTTTGTCTTTATTTCTTTTGCATTATATAAAGTAAAAAAAAAGTAACAAGTGAGAACTAATTAACCAATTGTTTTCTTTATTTATTTATTTATTTATTTTTTATTTCTTACTCTTGTTCTTGTTTTTCCCAAGAACTTTTATGAGATTCTGTAGCCTTGTCATACATAGTTCTACTGTATCCTTCTCTAATGGGAGTGAAGAAGTCTAGATATGTTATTTTCTAGGAAATGTATTCCCGATACTTTATTAATTCAATAATAAGATCAAAATAGAGTAAACAAACAAACAAATCTATCAATAATTCAATAAATCAGAAACAGAAGAAAGTACCATAAACGATTTCTTTTATTAATTCCAATTAAATTAACAGCAGTTCTTTTTTTATATATATTCATTCTTTAATGAGTCTCAAAAATCTTCATCATAGTATATAGTACCCAAAGAATAATAGCTTCTAACTTACAAATGGAGAATGATGCCTTTCTGCTCATCTTCCTCCCCCGTGCTACATACATAAGGTTTCTCAAGACATCTCTTCGGCATTTCTATTGTGCGTGACCGACCAGCATTTGGGGTTTTTATTTATTTATTTATTTTTAATAAAAAAATAAAGACATTTAACAAACCAAATATAAATAAAACTGTACCAATATTATTAACTTAAAGAATACAAAAGAAAATTACTCTTATAAGATATATACAAAATTGATAGAAAAAAAATTTAAAATTTGAATCTATTTTTAAAAATATCTTTCTTCAAGTGTTCTAGATTTTTTTTACTTAAATATTTCCAATGATGTTACTCAAAAAGGTTGTTAACCTTGAAGAATAAATTTCTTTTTCATCTATGCAGAAAGTTTTTTGTATTTTTTTTTTTTTTATTTTATTTTATTTTATTTTATTTTATTTAAAATAAATAAATAAATATCTTGATATGCATATGCACATTTGTGTATCTGGACAGATTTGTAGAATATATACAAAGGCCGTAGTGTTTAATCTAGATGTATCAAAAAAAAAAACATGAAGGCTTGGTATATATTTCTTTACTTTAAAACAAACCAACATTACTCTGAGAATATCTTTTTTCTTTTGGTTGTCACCATACGTTATAAGAATCTAATTATTTTGTTTGGAAGAAGGATTAGAGGTTGCTTGCATTTTCAATTATTACATGAAATTTCTTGGAAACATGAAGCTAATTAAAATAAAATAAATAAAAAAAAAAGAAAAGATAGAATAATGGTATAAAGAATTTAGTAATAATATCTGCAGTATCTACAATATTTCAAATATCCGCAATATTTGAAAAATATAGTATTGGAGTAGAGTGGCAAAGAAGGAAAAGAATATTGAGCAAAAGTTGAGGGTTACAAGTTACAAATGTTGAAAAAAAAAAAAGATTTAAAATTTGGGTTTCTTTTTATTTTTTTTATTTTTTATGAATTACTTACCTACTACGTCACAAAGAATATTGAAATATACTCGCATTGTTCTTATTTTTTCAAAAAAGTCTTCCAAAATCCTAAAAGGGAGAAAAGAAGAGAAGAAAAGAAAAGAAAAAAAAATTTTTTTTAAGGTATTTCTTTTAAGAGTTAATCATTTTGAGAAAAAAAATACAAATACAAATCCAATGTTCATTTTTTGTTTTAAAAACATATTCCTCCTCCATCTTCCCTTCCTTTTTAAGAAAAAAAGCTATCAAAACTAGGTTCATTTGATTTTATGCGAATATACAAAAATGAAATATAAAAAAAAAAAAAATAAAACCAGGGTAGTTTTCTTTTAATTTAATTTATTTTTATAAAACCATAAAGAAGAAAGGGGAAGGGGGGTTATGGAAGCAAAGAATAGAAACCAATTCCTCTCCTTTCTTCTCCATGGAAAATTGATGCAAAAGTCTATCATTATTTTGAGAAATTAATTTATTGATTCCATTATTGGAAGAAGAAGAAGAAGAAGAAGAAGAAGAAAAAAAAAATTTTTTTTTTTTTTTTTTTGAATAATCAAAAATCAAGATACGGCTGGAGTAACAAGTAATGGATGAGTGCTTCCTGTATTTTGGAAAAAAAAAATGAAAAAGAAATGGAAACTAAAGAATAGATATTTGATTTTGTTTCTTATCAATAAAGAAGATTTATAAAAAAAAAAAAATAAAAAAAAATTACTAGTATATATTGATGGGACTTAATGATTTTTTTTTTTTTTTTAGTTCATGAGAATTACTGAACAAGTTAAAAAGCAATAACCAGCAGCAGCAGGTTAATACAGCTGACGAAACAGAATGCAATACTGACCAGTTACCGCACTAAATCATGTAATTATCTTGGGAAATAATAATAATAATAATAATAATAATAATAAAATGTCTATAGTTGCATAAGCAAGCTTCAATTAAAAGCAAAGCAAGAAGAAACGAATACTTGAGCAAGAAAGCAAAAAACTTTTTTTTTAAAAGTAATATATATAGATCTGAGCTTGGATCTTCAATATATATGTAATGAGCTATATAAGAACTTTGTAATATTTACCAAACAGAAGAAAAATTCAAACACCGAAGTAACTAAAAAGTATTTTAAAACTTATAGGTATAATTATAATACTCCCTTTCTCCTTTTTCTTTTCGATCTTATGTTGGTACAATAAGTCAATATGTTCCCCAGAGAAGAATAATAATGAGATGAAAAAAATATAATGTATTTACATTTGTGTATGTGTGTATCTATCTCTCTAACGACAGTCATTCTTAGCTTCTTGGAAGGGGAGGTTTTTTTTTTTTGTAATTTTTTTATAATTTTTTTTTTTATATTTTTCTCCTGTTTCCAGGAAAGTGACGCCCAAAGATCTTACTTTAGTGGAAAAGTTTGGTATTAGAGATTATTATTAACCAAAAATAATAATCTGTCAAGTCATGTAAGCCAGTTAAACTCTGACACACATATAATTTCTCGTTTTTTTATTTTCTATTTTTGATTCTTGGGATCCAGATCTTTAAAAAAATAAAATAAAATAAAAAAAAAAGTGCTTTAAATGAATGTACAGTTTAACTGTAAAACTTGCTGACAATTTACAAGATTATAGGCTAATCGTCACTAGTGACATTAGTATCCTATTACACAAAGACTATATATCCACAAGTGGATGTGAAAATTTTTATCAAAATAAAAAAGAAATTTATTGAATTCAAAGATTACTAATTAGTAATATAGATATAAAATTTTTTTTTTCTTTTTCTTCTTCTTCAAAGTAAGAACAATGAAATTAATTTTAAAAACAACTATATTTATTTTAATTATCTATTTTTGTAGTTATATATTTAACAACAATATTTAATATTTAATTTTCAAATTTAAATTTATTTTATTCAAAAAAAAAAAAAAATTTTTTTAAATTTTTTTTTAAAATTCTCAATATTATTATTATTATTATTATTGTTACCTTTAAAAATAAAATCCATTTCAGTTGCTTCAAATTTTATATATATCCTATTCTTATTATTTGACTAAAAATTAACAATCCCAGATTCTGGATGCCCTTTACGTGACCGCGCAATGCGGGTCAAGTTCTTAATGTCACATCACATCGCGCCAACAAAAAAAAATCTCTTTTTACTTCACTTGTTTGCATTCTCCCACTTTTTTTTTTTTTTTTTTTCCCATTTCAACCTAACCGTTAATAATTAATTATACAAGAGATGGTAGCCTATTTGCCTACGTTGCCGCGTGGTCATGTGGGCATTAGTGGTGGCGGTGATGATGGTGGTGGTGGTGATGGAGATGGAGATGGAGATGGACCGCCTCGTTAGTGGATACTCAAAAGTTGAAAAATTAATGTTGGTAATCTTTTGATACCCTCAACTTTTTTTTTGTTTATTTTTTTAAACGAAAAAAAATTTTTTTTTATCTTAAATATTCAATACTTATCTCTTACTTTAATTTACCATTGATCATTATATATATTTTAGAGGGGGGCCTTCTTATCCCAATACGCCTAGGTGCAGATTTCTCAAAAACGCTTGTCGCTTATTTCCCTAAAGTCTTTATTTCATCTCTTCGTTGATTGTTTTTATTTAATTTTTTTTTTTTAAAAATTAAATTCCTTTACTCAAACACTATAGTTTGCTTTTTATTAGCAAAACCCGCGGAATAAGCCTTGAATGCAGCCCGAACTGCTTCAAGCTGTTCAGCTTCAGTGCCATTGATTTTAAAAATGTGCTTCTGTACCGAAGTTGTTTTGAATTTGCCTGACTTGATATACCCAAGAATAGCCTTTACTGCTTCTTCTTTAAATTCAGGCTGCGACTCAAGTCGGGGTGTCAACCAATAACTCCTGATTGTAAGGTCTTTAAAAATAAGTCCACCAACAGCAAGTGACACCGGCTTACCTGTCATAGACCCATAAATAACAAGAGTCCCACCATGAGACAAACATTTCAACGGATAGGCACCTTCCTCTCCACCAACACACTCAAATCCGAGCCGCACATTGCCATTGTTTATGAGCTTTGGCAACTTTTCAGAATCAAACTTGGGATCAGCCACATCCTTATCAGTGATAACAACCGTGGCTCCAATACTTTTGAGTTCTTTTTCAAGCTCACCAATGTTGGGTCTATCACGAACAATATTGAGTGTTTTAATCCCCCAGATATGAGCTAGTTGGATGACGGCCTTACCTACGGCCGAGTTTGCAGCGTTTTGGACCACCCAGTCCCCAGGCTTAAGATCAACGTACGCCTTGAGCATTTGGTATGCGGTTGTAGGATTAATGGAAATAGCTGCAGAAACAATTGGATCATCTGTTTTAGGTGCCAAAGTTACTGAGCTTTCCTTCACGAGAGCATAACTTCTCCAAGTTCCAAACGCCGCAATGTTGGGCAAGACCCAATCGCCCTTTTTAAACTTGGACGCTGCGTCTTTCCCAACTGCAACTACCTCAAAAAGGCCATCGTTTCCAACAATGGCAGCAGGATCTTTGGAATACAATGTGGTTGGCTTGGGAATGGTTCCATAAGTGCCTAGGATTGTTGCAAAATCAGCTGGGTTGAGAAAAGATACCAATCCACGTAACAATAATTGATCACCAACAGGGTCTGGCAACGTTGTAGAATTGACATGGATCAAATCAATGGGATTGGGTCCGGTGGTGGTGAATAAAGTGGCACTAGATTTGACAGACATGATTGATTATAATTTTTTTTTATTTCAATTGATTCTTAGACCTATATCTTTTTTTGGTTTTTTGTTGTTGTATTGTATTTATTGGAACTGACAAAAAAAAAAAGAAAAAAGATATCTCTACAGCTCTACATGCCTGTTTTTATAAATAAAAGAAAAGAGAAGAAAAGAACTGGTTAAAGTTTGAAATTTCCCTAGTTATAATTATAAATCAAACTAGAGAAAGTCCTCAGGAGATGCTCCAGCTGATTATGTGGAGATATTGAATCTTATTTTGTTTGTATTTTTCCTCTCTCTTTTCCAAAGTACATTTGTCAGACAGGGGGGAGGGGGGGTTTCTTATTAATTACATCCCCTCACATAACTATTACTAAAACCTTCCATTTCTCATTTTATAAAATTTGGTTGAAATAAATTAAAAAAATAAAATAAAAATACCCCAATGAAATTTAATTATTCATAAACCTTTTTCTCATAATAAACTAAAATAGTTATGCCTGAAATATGTAGACTTTATTTGGGCCCGGCGAGCCCGCTTTGCGGTCATGTGCCGAGTCTTCATGCGTGAAAACGTGTCTCGAAAAGGTGGGATTTTAGGTAGTGGAGCTTCCAACAACTGCACATCCCATTCTGTTAAAAAAGATAAGGACTCATTGACAATAGTTTCGCAGTCGCTCAATTCCTCCTTAGAAAATTTCTCATGTACTTTTTGATTCACCTTCTTCTTCTTATCTTTATCCTTATTCTTCTTCTTCTTACTCCTATTCTTATTCTTAATTTTGTTGTGTTGGTCGTCTTTACGCGACGCTTGTTTGAGGTAAGCGCGCGCAGCATGCCGAACTTGATGATGTTGCTTGTGGTAAAAGTAGTATAAATTTTGAACAACTCGGAATCGGGGTTCATCAGAGTGCGGAACCATATTAAGACCGTGAAGATAATCAAAAGATGCCTTTTTGGATGAGGATATTGATAACGTTGAAAATAATGACTCAGTCGCTTTGGTTGCACTAGACCCAATTGCAACTAAAGTATCTCTACCATCACTACTGTCATCAAAATATCCGCCTTTCTCCTCATTCATCCCACAAGATGGGCACTGACGTCGGAAATTTGGCAATCCTTTCCCCAAGGAAGAACAAAACGATGATCTTCGAGACCCACCCACCCTTCCTCGGCGCTGGGCATGAGCCCTTGTGAGGCCTACTTCCCCATCAATTCTCTTCTTGTGTTTACCTCCGCTATTGTTTATTATAGAGTTGCTAACATTTTCTTCAATTTTTGTTTCTCCATCTCTATCTCCATCTTCTTCTCCTTCTTTTTCATTTTCCTCATTTTTTCCATTTTTTGCATCATTTGAATCATTTCCATCTTCTTCATCTTTATCTCTATCTCTATCGCCATCTCCATTTTCTCCATCTCCATTGCCATCCCCATTTCCATCCTCTTCATCATCATCATAACATCTCACGTATTGCCAAAACCTTTCGGTTTTGCGTGGTTTCTTTTCATTTAGATAATCCTTACTCAATCCAGGCGGCAATGAAAATCCCCAAATTTCATTTGCTTGTTTAAACTGCTCATGTGGTGAAGATAAAGAATAATTGTCTGATGAGGACTCCTGTGGAACATTTGAAGCCAAGATATTATTATTACCTTTCTTTAAATTGATTTTTTGATCATTATTTTTATAATTTTCTTGCTTATTTTGTTTGTCATCATCTTCGTCATCTTCGTCGTCTTCGTCTTTTTTCTTATTAATCAAATCCTCATCTTCGTCTTTGCAGTGTTTTTGTCTTTTTCTACGGGAACTGTTATTGCCACCTTCCTCATTTTCATTTTCATTTTCATTTTCATCATTCTCATTTTCTTCTTCATTTTCATTTTGTTGTTGTTCTTTAAATTGAGATTGAGATAAATTTACCAATTGACTGTGTTCCAACGTTTCTGTTCTATTAAACAAAGTCTCCCCCCTATTTTCTGCATTCTCAACAACATGCGTCAAAGAGTGTGTATGGCGATTTTGCGGTCGTAAAGGAGTCATATATCCAAACCAATGCAACAAATGAACCTGTTGGTTTCTTTCAAGTCCAGGGCTTTGTTCATCAAACCGTCTATAAAGCGTCAATGCTTGGTTTCTCAATTCATCATTTTCAGTCTCTCGTCTCAGGTCAGCAAGTCGCTGCCTTAGCAACTCATCTCGAGACTGCCGGGATTCTGCTTCCCGATCCCATGAAGGAATAGAAAGTACAACACCAACAGTTGCGGGGCTCCGTGGACCCCCAGCCTGCTGCTCTTGGTTATGCATAAAACTTGCCATTGAAGCATCACGTTGGATTGCCAGCCCTTGCGTGCTTTCCGTCATTGCAATCTGATCATCGGCCTGTAGTTCCCCACGAATTTGTTCGGCCAAAGCTTGAGCTTCAGCAGCACCAATACTAAATAATCCTTTCTCTTCTTCATCCTTATTTTCCTCATTTTTTTCATTTTTTTCATTTGCTTCATTTGCTTCATCATTCTCTTGAGTTTCCACTGTTTGTTGGTTGCTTTCATTCTCATTCTCTTGTGGCTGATATAATTCATACTCATCAACCATTTCTTCTAAAGGTTCTTGGTTGTTATAATCACTATTAACGACTTCATCATTATCTTCTTCTTCTTCAAGGGCAGACATTCGCCTGAACCTTCTTTCTAAATTGTTTAAACTTTGATGATGTCCGTCCTGATGTCTTTGAAGAGCATTCAAATGTTGCCGCTGTTGCCGATTTAGCCGCTGTTGGTGCTGTTGTTGGTGCTGTTGTTGGCGTTGTTGGTGTTGGTGTTGGTGTTGGTGTTGTTGATGCTGATGTTGATGTTGATGTTGATGTTGATGTTGATGTTGATGTTGATGTTGATGTTGATGTTGATGTTGATGTTGATGTTGATGTTGATGTTGATGTTGATGTTGATGTTGATATTGATATTGATGTCGTTGATGCTGTTGATGCTGCTGTCGCTGCTGTCGCTGCTGCCACTGTTGTCGCTGCTGCTGTTGTTGTTGTTGTTGTCGCTCCGTTGTCGGTACCATTTCTCTTAATTTTTGCTGGCGCACACGTCGCTGGTACTCTCTTACAACAGATCTTTGATCTTGGGTTCTTGATTTGCGAGGTTGGCCTTCGCCATCAACAATCAAAGAAGTATCAAAATGTTCCGACATTTCTATATTTTTTGCTACATCAGCTGCTACCCTTCTTTGCCTTTCAGACTCATAAGGTTTTTTTTTCTTTTTCTGTCTCTTCTTTTTTTCTTCAGAATCATCAGACTCATGGCCAGAAATATTGGACGGGTTTGGAGGCGGTGGTGGTGGAGGTGGAGGTGGCGGTGGAGGAGCAATCCATGGTGGAGCTGGAGGGAATCCTCCCCCATTTTGATCATTTCCAGTGTCTCTTGAACCATTGGATCTTGACCCGTTATTTCCAGATCCATTTCCTCCGTTCCCATTCATTTGATGATGATACTGGCGACTTGTTCCATTACCATGATTGATTGGGTTACCGCCCATTAATACCAGACATGCTTGTTGGTTTGTAATATTCCCATTTCGAACAACTACATAAACTGCAGCTAGTGCAACTATTGTTGTTATTAAAAGAAGATCTACATTGTCGATAATGGGTCCATTTTTGGATTGAGTATACAGCTGAGGGGAAGAGTGAAGAAAAGAAGGAGCCGAAATAAGAGCAGGAACAGACTTGGTTTGACCACAAAGTAAAAAAAGCCCGGATAATCGTCGTTCTTGTGATTTTTGTACATGCTTGGATTGGACTTTGACCCGAGAGGGATTCTTGGAAGCCACAGCCAAGTGCGGGACGTTGTTAACTGATGAAAGCCTAGTGTCTTTCATTAGGGAAAAAAAAAAAGCAAATTTATATAATAGCAATAAAAAATCGAGCTTAAAAATTAAGTGATTTGTATACAGAAAGAAGATAAAAATAAAATAAAAAAAGAAGAATTCAATATTAAATAATTTGTAAAAGATGAGAAAAGAAACATGTCGTAACAATAGGATTGATGTGATAAAAACGTAATTTCCCAAATAAGTAATATTACTCGCCGCATGCGGCGTTGCGCGAGGTTCTTCAATAAATATTGCTAAATATTCTTGGTTTATATCAAAAAAAAAAAAAAAGGTGAAAAAAAAGGTAAAAAAAAACCTTTATGCAACAATTAATTTATAAAGATATCCGAGTAGAAGCAGCTTCATTAACCAAATTACATGCAGATGGGGCTGCAGTCTTCAAGGACGATGACGGTGGGGTGGTTGATGTAAGAGAGGTTGGGCTAGGCACACTGGGTGGACGGCCAATAATGGTGAGAGTATTTTCTTCCTTTAATGTGGAGTCTGCTTCAGTCGGACCTTCAACTACAGCCACAGATACTGAGCTTGCGTTTGCACTCATGGTAGTACCTGTATTTCTGCTAGGATAGATGCTACTGCCGCCAGGAGTGGTACTAGCGCTCTGATAAAAGTTGTGAGAACTTGAGGTTCCATGAGAAATAGACTTGTAGTAAGAAGAGCTGCCTGGACCTCCTTGGGAATCCACTGAGGATGGTCCTCGAGACTTGCTATGACTGCGACGTGCCACTTCTTCGAGAGCACGCGTGAGCTTCTGTAAAGATAGGTTAACGTCGTCGAGGGGTTGTGTAGGCGAAGGCACGCGCGCCAGCGCGTCATGCGGAGCCAAGTATGGTGACAAAGAGGGTGACCGGGAGCTGCTTCGAGACGATGAAGGTTGCCCACGCCAGCCGTGGAGTCTGCGAAGTTTGGCCATGGCTTGTTCAGGCTCGACACCAAGACTACGGACACGCTCAATGGCTGAGACAATGTCTTCTTCAGTGACTTGGGTGATGCTGTCGGAGATATTTTCCTCTTTCGACACAAGGGCGTCCTGGTTGCGACGTGTGACCCAAGGATGGATACGAAGCTCGTCCATTTTAATGCGTTTTTGAGGGGATTTACAGAGAATGCGTGCAAACAGGTCTTTAAGATCTGGGTTGATATCATCTCGTGGGAACTCGACTTCCTCCGTGACTATGTGAGTATAAAGGTCCATGACATTGTCTGCGCAAAAGGGCAAGACACCAAAAAGCATATAGTAAAGAGTGACACCCATGGACCAAATGTCTGCAGACCTGCCTGAAAGAGAGTTTGTAGGGATATCGCGTGTGGCCGCCAGCGGCATTAGGGTTCCATTTGAAATGACAGCAAGCTCTGGGGCCATGTAAGAGGGTGAGCCTGCTGTTTTGGTAATTACATCGTTATCCTGTTCAAAAAGTTCAGAGACACCAAAGTCTGCAATTTTAAGAACATCGTCCTCGTCAAGAAGTAGATTATCTGCTTTGATGTCGCGGTGAATGACTCCTTGGGAATGTAGGTATTCAATCCCCAGAATCATGTCGCGGAAGTAGAGTCTGCATTGTTCTTCAGAGAGACAAGCGGTGGGTACGAGTGGGGGCTCATCGTCGTTATGGTCACGAGTCTTTGTGTGGGACATGACTGGGCCATTTGCGCACCATTCTAAAATAAGGTATAGAGAGTCACTTGTTGGGTCATCGAGGACTTCAATGAGAGAGACGATATTAGGGTGGTCTAGTTTTTTGGCAATGGCAAACTCTCTGCGGATAAGGTTAAATGGACTATTATTGTCGATTGCTGGGGAAACTGATGAAGAAGATGTTGAAGAAGCACCTGCGAGAGGTGTTCGTGGACGACTTGAGCCTCTCATGACGGCACGCCTGCGTTGACTGAGAAGCTCCGATCGAAGATGTTTGCGTAGGCTCGATTTGGAGTATTCCTTCATAGCCTTTAATTTTAACTCGCCGGTTAGTCATTTCTTCAGAAATATTTGGCAAAAGCTTAAATACTGCAAAGATAGTATATATATCAATGTGCCCAGTAAGAAAGAAAGAAAAATTAGATATATTTATAGAAAAAAAAACTCACGTAGGGCTCGGATGTATTAGTATCAGTGACTTTCCAAACAGTGCCAAATGTACCGCAGCCAATCTGGCCACAAACAAGATATTGGTTGACGGTTTTGCCAGCGTCATCAACACGTCTACTGGACACGACAGTTTCCTATGAGAAAAAAAAAAAAAAAAAAACCGATAAGAGAAATAGAGTTAGATGAGGTGTAATCATAAGAAATCGTGCGTTTAGTGGGAACTAAAAGAAAAATAAAAAGAAGGTTCATTCCCTAGTTTGTGAAAATAAATAAATAAACCAACCTTGATTTCGCGCGGCGTAGCATTGGCTAACCGGAACTGTTGCCGCGTCGGACTCATGCATGGAAGCGTTGGAGTGGAATAAAAGCGTACCATACTGGGTCTACGAGCCAGTGGATTATTGCTTGGAAGTACCCCTGTTGCGGGATTAGTTAGAGCGTTATTGTTGGTGGTGGTGTTGTTGTTGATAATTCCACCATCACCACCACCACCAGGTACAGACAAAACAGCATGAGAAGATGAATTTTCATTAGAAATGGCAGTAACAGAAGCAGCAGCAGCAGACACTGGAACACGTTCTGTCATGGAAAGTGAAATATGAGGTGCTAGATAGGGACTGTGAGGAAGAGACATTGGTGTCATGTTGTTTGATGGTGGTGGATGGTTCAGACCGGGAATGCTATGATGGTGTTGGTGTTGGTGATAGTGAGGTGAAGGTTGGAGCGACTGAGGACGGGTAGAACCGAGTGAGACATCTAAACTATTACTTGGTGTAGGTACACAACAATGATTTTGCGGGCCTCGGTCAGAGGCGGCCGTAGTTGTGGTTGTGGCCGGGTGTTGTTGATGTGAGAGCATGTGTTTTTTATTAGTTTTTATTAGTTTTTATTAGTTTTTATTAGTTTTTATTATTAGTAGCGAGTGAAAAAAAAAAAAAAAAAAAAGCAGGCTTTGGCTTTAGAAGAAGCAACGAGAGAAAAGCTTGAAAAAGGTTTTTAGGACTTTATTAGACTTGGAAAAGAAGAAGAAAAAGAGTAACTGATGATGATTATGAGAATGAGAATGAGAAAAGAAAAAATAAAATAAAAATAAAAATAAAAAAAAATTTGGCTTGTTGGGAAACTTTTATAATTTATTATATCTTGAAAACTCCCGCCTGGTGTTGGAGCATGAAAAATGTACACTCTGTTATGGCAGTAGAACCGGTTTACAGACTACCACCATTTTATTATTAAATTATTAAAAAAAAAAAAAAAAGCTCAACAGACATAACAGTCATTTACCATTACAACAACAACAATCACTACAACCACCACCACCACCACCACCACCACCAAATCTCACCCAATCCATCAAATTCATCAAATTCATCCATCCAACCAACCACATAAAGTATATCCATCATGCCACGATTATCACCCCACCTGCTTGCCTATGCCCACAGAATAGACCCGCTGCTTCCACTTCTGCTACCGGCCACTGGCGGTAATCTGGCCTCTGCCCGGCTCGAGCTTCGCTGGTTACGTACGGAGCTGCCCGGTCTTGTGATCAGTAGTAACAGTAGTAGTAATAGTAATAATAATATTAGTAGTGGTAGTAGTAGTAGTAGTAGTAGTAGTAGTAGTAGTAATCTTAGTATTAATATTAGTCTTAATAAAAATAGTGGTGACTGTAGTGGTAAGACTTCCAGGTACGGTAATATCAAGGCCAGTGGTAAGACTACCTATAATAGAAACAAAAATATCAACAACACCAATAACAATAATAACAACAACAACACGGCCAGTAGCAAACGCCTGAAACGCGCAGTACTGCTCCGCAGAGCAGGCTTCCCTCTTCAATATTTACTAGGGTCCCAACCGATTCGTGCGCTGGACGTTCTATGCCAGCCCGGCGTGCTCATCCCACGCTGGGAAACCGAGGAATGGGCCGGGCGTCTTGCAGACCTTATTGTCCGACACTCAGCATCTTTGACTCTCAAGCAAGCCCAGTTAAAAATTATAGACTTATGCACAGGCACCGGGTGCATCCCCCTACTTTTGGCTGCAGAAATTGAACAAGCTCCTAGTCTTCGCGGGTCCTCATTTGTTGGAATAGATGTCTCCGAAACTGCCCTCAAGCTTGTTGCCAAAAACTTTCACCACAATTCTACTTTGTTCCCCTCAGTAACTGCTCTCAACTCTTTCACAGCAAAATACGGCGACGTTCTGGTTGATAATGATCCATCTTTTGTGAGCCTGGGCCCCGTGGACCTGGTCACGGCAAACCCGCCGTATATTCCTCAGCATGAGTATGCGCAGATTTCAGGTGAAACAACCACCCGGAGCGTGCGTCGGTTCGAGCCCAGGCTAGCGCTGGTGGGAGATAAAGAATTTTACACAGCCGTATTTAAGCGCGCTGTATTTGAAGTCAAGGCGCGCGCCGTGGTATGTGAGGTCGGCGATGCTTCCCAGATTGAGCATATGCAAGATCTAGCAACTCAACACGGATGGGATAGTATAGGAGTCAATGACTCGACTGGTCGACCGCGGGCTGTTGCCTTATGGGACCCATCAAGTCCATGGACGTTTTTAAAAGAAATGTGAAAGAATATAATTATTATTATAATTATCATGATTAACTATGTACAAAATGAAAACAAACAAACAAACAAATATATATTTAAAGGCTTCCAACACGGTGACACTCTTCAAGAAAGAAACCAACCATCTCAGGGTCAAAAAAGGGTTGGGTGCCATGGCCAAGGTTAATGATATAGTTCTGCTTGCCTCCACCAAAACCAGCAATCATTTCTTCAACCTTGCGAGTGATAGTTTCCTTAGAACCATAAATGACACCAGGATCCAGATTGCCCTGGAGAGTAGCACGTCCTGCCACAGTCTTGACGGCTAGGGCAGGGTCATAAAGCCAGTCGAGAGAAATGGCATTGTAACCAGTATTGGCCAGATCATCAAGAGCGTACCAAGCACCTTTGGCAAAAATAGTCACTGGGACCTCATGGTTACGTTCTGGGTCCGACACAAGACCAAGCTCATGTAGACGACGGGGGAGACGTTCAGCAATTTGGCGCAGATAGGGGAGAGAAAACTCAGCAAACTCAGCAGGCCCAAGTTCACCAGCCCAGGACTCAAAGACCTGGAGCATCTGAGCACCAGCCTTGACTTGCTGGGCCAAGAATTCGACAGCAACGTCGGTGATACGTTGGAGAACCTGCTTAGCAGCCTCAGGGTGTTTGTAGATCCATGTGCGGATGTAGCGGTAAAGCTTGGTAGAACCACCCTCAGTCATATAAACGAGAAGAGTAAAAGGGCCACCGCAAAAGCCAAGCAGAGGAACACGGCCATTGAGCTTACGGCGGGTGGTTGAGATAGCCTCAAAGGCCCATGCAAGTTCCTTGGTAACATCAACGTCCGAACTCAAGAGTCGGTCAATGTCAGAAGGCTCGCGCATGGGATCAGGGAAAAAGGGGCCAGTTTTTTCGCGGATTTCGACAGCCATACCCATGGCCTGAGGAATGACAAGGATATCTGAAAAGATGATTGCGGCATCAATGAGGCCATCGTAATGGTCAACAGGTTGGATGGTGATTTCAGAAGCAATTTCAGGATCCCGGCATGTTTCGAAAAAGTCTCTGCCAGCCTTGACTTCGTGGTACTCAGGGAGATATCTCCCAGCTTGTCTCTGTAAATGTGACGTTAGATTATTGTGTTTTTTGTTGTTGTTGTTGTTGGTTGAAAACTAGCAACTTTGGTTGGACTTACCATGATCCAAACAGGAGGTCTCTCGACCTTTTCGCCTGAAAAAAAAAAAAAAAAAAGTTAGTTATGAAGAAGATTTGATAAAGGTATTCTTAACTATGTACCTCTGGCAGCACGAAGCAGAAGATCGTTCTTAAGGGGTGCGTATTTAGTAGCGTCTTCGGTCATTTTTTTTTTGGTATATATATGGATTGCTAGGATGGAGATAGTTAAAAAGATATTTTAAGTGGTAAATAAAAAATAAAAATTAAAAATTAAAAAGAAAGAAAGAACTTTTCGTTTTTTTTAGGGGGGGGTTTTGAAAACTCGATTAGATACAAGCTGGTTGGACATTGGAAATACGAGAAAACCCCTCCCTCTTAAAAGATTTGGAATTTGAAATTCCTATTAGTTATTGGTAATGATGAGTAATAATGACATAACTTGGCCTCGGTTTTATTTTTTTATTTTTCAGTCCTGCCGCATATGAATTTCCGGGGTAATTTTATTTCATTCAAGTTTTTTTTTTTTCAAATAAAATTTAAATTTTCAAAACAATTTTTTTTTTCTAATTTATTTATTTTATTATATTTGTTTATATAATTTAAATAAAAAAAAAACTCAAAATGCTGCAAATAATCAAACTAATAATAATAATGATGATAATAATGATAATAAATAAACTTTGTTATGTAAAAAAAAAAATGAAAAAAAAACTCCAAATTTGTGTACCATATTTTGTCCTTCCCTTTTACTCATGAATCATATGACCCATGCGCTCTATCTTAGTCTTGAGATACTGATCAACTTCCTTGCTTTGAAAGCCTCCCTTGTTCTGCCACGATAATGGCACCATGGGAACACGCTCTGTAACATGAATCTCATGGTTTTTGCCCTCTACTGCTCGAATCTTGTCCGGGTTGTTAGTCATGAGACGCACATCATGAAGCCCCAGATCCAACAGAATGGCTGTAGCAAGACCAAAAGATCGTGCATCCGCAGGGTGCCGCAGCATCAAGTTGGCAGTTACAGTATCTGCTCCCAGATCCTGGAGATTGTATGCCTTGAGCTTTTCTGCAAGACCAATGCCCCGGCCTTCTTGACGCAAATATACAATGACACCTTCACCTTCTTGTGCCATGACTCTAGCAGCCTCGTCCAGCTGCTCACCGCAGTCGCACCGGGCAGACCACGCAGTTTCACCAGTGTAGCACTCAGAGTGGATGCGTACCAGGGTATCTTTATGACGAGTTGTAGTATTCGAGTTGTGATGAGGACAAGTCTTTGAGTTTGTATCTGCAATCTTGGAAGCTTGACGACCAGGGAACAAAGTTCCATCGTACGCTCCGCGCACCATGCGGTCCTCTTCGGTCTCTCCTGGTCGTGCTGCAAACAAAGACTTTGAACGGATACGGTCACCAAACACAAATGCAATGTGTTCTTTTGTGTCCACATTGTTGCGGTAAACGTGCAAGAAAATCTCGCCGCCAGTTGTGAGTGGGATGCGTGCGCGTGACTCGCACACAACAATGGGGAGAGTATTGTCGAGTTGGATTGACGCGATTGCAGAAGGCTTTTGTGTGACTGATGCCAGTTGTTGTGGTTGTGGTTGTTGTTGTGGGGGTAAAGCTTGTGAAGCCCGTTGTGCGGGGCCTGAGCTGTTGAGAGCCTTAAGGGTTGATGACAGGTTACCGGCCGTAAACGAAAGCGGAGATTGTTCGGCTTGGACCGGAGCAGCCGGAGCACCAACAAGGTTGGTCAGAAAGGCACCTGTTGGGGCCGAATTAGAGACAGACTGAGCAGAGGCAGATCCAGCAGCCTGCTGCTTCTTGAGGTGGTCTGGGGATGGGGTAGGGGCCGGAGAGATGAGAGACATAGAGAAGTCTGAGAAAGAGGATGTTGATGAGGATGGAGAAACGAGAGAGAGGTTTGAAGAGGAAGTTGATGAGAGAGAAGAAGAAGAAGCAGAAAGAGCAACAGCGTCTGTAGATCCAAGCTGGATGGTTGTTGATGGAGAGGAAAGGTTGTGGTTGAGGTTTGTGGAATTATTTGTAGGCATGGTGGAAAGAAAAGAAAGAAAGAAGAAGAAGAAAAAAAAAATTGAGTGGGTTTTTTTTATTATTTGTTTTATTATTATTATAATTATTATAATTTTGGAGTAGAATAGGAGGAGTTGAAAGAGAGGGGAGACAAATTTAAATTATTATTTAATTATTAATATAATAATTTAATTTAATTTAATAATATTTTAATAATAATATTGTTGAAAAGCCCAGGGATTTTTCAGGCCTTTTTATATGGCGATGAATTTTTTTTTTTTGTGTGTGAGTGTGTGTATTTGTTTAGTAAGGTAATGTGATGAGTAAGATTTTAAGATTTCTAATGTTGATTAAATTCTGAGTAATTTTAATAATAAAAAAATAAAAACCACCAAAATATTTATAAAACGAATGTCTCTTTTTTATTTATTTTATATATAAATTAAAATAAAAAAAAAAACAATTTGAGGAAAATCTACAGGTTTTTATATTTATCTAATTTAACCAATTCTTTTAATAAATATTTCAAATTTCTTTTTTTTTATTCAAATTTCATTCATTTTACTTTTTTTTTTTTTCATCTTTCAATGAAACGTTTTTTTATTACTACACTCTGCCGCCCACATACTGCATTGCTTCTGTCGGCCGCAACAACTTCAACTGCTCTTTACCATTTCACAAGACCAATACACGCATCCGCAGCATCCGCAGCAGCTACTCCAAATAATAGAATATATTTCCCAGTCCGTTATGATTATGAATTTGACTCACTTGCACTTCTCCCTACACCTCTTCTTGCAAATTTCACACTTCGTGGCGATGTTGCGTCAGACCGCTTGACAGCTGCACTCATCCGTATCGTCTCTTATGAAACTGAAAAAGAAATCTCTGCTGTAGATATTGAAGTCGACGAACCAACAACAAGAGATTTAATGTATAAGTACAATGTGAGTATTATTCATTGATTGAATGATTTTAAAAAAAAAATAAAATAAAATAATAATAATCAAAAAATAATGAAAAGTCACTTTAATTACTCAAATTACTCTAATTTTTTTTTTAATATGATGGACCTATACCCTAAACAGTACCATTTATGAAATATTCCCACAATCTCTAATAATCTGATGATTATAATAATAATGATAATGATGATAATAATAATTATAATTATAAAAAAACAACCCACATTCACCGTGAACAAAAATATACCCATCATGTTTTTCCTTTTTTTCTCTTAGCCGAAAATAAAATTACTTTTCCCGCATAGCCATCTGCAATATTAATATTAAACTGTTTGATTATCTTTTTTTTATTTAAATCAGCTTTTCTTTTTTTATATTTTTTTCTTGTCTCACCTTAAAAATAAAAATAAAACTCTTTTTTTTTCTTCTTCTTTATTCTTCTCTGTTTATGATTTTCTCCTTTGCTCTAGGTTAATAAAATCCCTACCGTCGTTGCCCTTAAAGGTGGAATCCCTATCGGTTCTTACACTCTCCCAGACGATTTTAAAGAAGTTGACTGGCAAGACTTTAAGCAATGGATTGAGTCCATGGCTTCAAAATAAAACTCATGTATATAAGTATCATCATTAAAGTAATCCTAAAAACTCCTGCCATTTGGAATTCTCATCATCATCATCATTATCATCACTGTAGTCATTTAGTTCATCTTCAACCAATAACTGTTTTTTCTTATTTTTTGACGGTTTTTGTTGTTGTTGTAGTCTATTAGCCCCTCTTCTACTACCTCCTCCAAAAAATCCCATTAAAACATCCCCACCTTTCATAATCCCAACTTGTCCTCCACGCTTTGTCTTTCTTTTTTTTTCTTCTTCTTCTACTTCTACTTCTACTTCTTCTTCTTCCTTCTCTTCTTCGTTTTTGCCCCGCAAAGCCCCACCTCTTTTTCCAAGTTGCCGCAAAATCAATGCCGAAGGTGAACTTTCATCTCCAAATTCCTTGTCTCCATAGACCTCTTCTTCTTCTTCTTCTTCTTCTTCTTCTTCTTCTTCTTCTTCTTCTTTTTCTTCCTCCTCTTCCTCTTCTTCCTCTAAAGTATAATTAGACTCACCCGCATTATTATTGCCGGTAATTTCACAACTGTCTGCATAATGTGGGAGCCTCTCCGCATGAAAAATAGCCGTTTGAGCGGCCACTCTTTCAGAAATTACTCCCTCATCATGCAGCAGTGCTCCCCTTCCCCCCAACCCTTGACCTTCTTCTTCTTCTTCTTCAATTTCGTCCCTCATCCTTAACCATCTACCGCAGCCCCGCTGCTTAGCTCTGTCTATGCTTATGCTTATGCTTCTATTCTGTTCGATTCCTCCTCTTGAGCTTTTTTTTGTTCTTCCTCTTTCTCTTCCTCTTCCTTTTGGGGTTGGCGAACCTTCAAACCTTGTTTGGTATTCTAACCCCGTGGCTGAATCATTCTTCTCATCTTTGGTTTCCTCATCAGAATTAATCAATTGCTTCCTTCGCCTCGTTTTTTCCTCAGACAGTTCTCCTCCATCAAAACCACTACCATGCGCCTGTTCAAAAAGTTTTTCGCCATTATTTCGCTCTTGGGTCTCCGACAGGTGATATTCCTCTATACTAACACGCTTCTCACTCAAATCTGATCCAAGTTAGTCCTCGGTATGACGTTTTCTCTTTTATTTACTTTTTTTTTTTTTGAGACACTAATTTCCACCTTATCTTTCAATCACAATATCTAGTCTCAGGGTATTTTTATATTAATTGTTTTTTCTTTTTTTTCGGTCCATTTTAGGAAATACTCACTTTTCTTATTCTTTTCAATATTGTTTTTGATTTTTTTTCTGACATCACCGCACTCTTTGGTGCTAATTGTCGAAGATTCCTTTCTCTTCCTTCCAGCATAATATGGCATGGCATCAAAATTGAAAGTTTCGGAAGAGATTATTTTTTCATCTGTCTCAACGTCATTGCAATGCTTCTTTTTACCATTCTTCATTCTTTTCAAAGAACTCTCCTGGGAACCATCTCGTTCAGCTTGTACTATCCTCCCCTCAGCCTCTGTGCCTTCAAATCCCTCTTTGTACTTTCCCATAAAATTACATGTATCATCACTAACCTCTTTATCAGATCCTAGATAAACTTGTCTCTCAAACATTCCCCAATCTGTATTCTCCAAAGCATACCGACGGCTTTTCTCAAACTCATTCCTCGAGGCTAAGTTTTTTGTCATATGCGTACTACTGGTATCAGTAGCATTACCAGTTTGATTACTCAAATGATTTTCATTATTATCACCTTTAAGTTTTCCATACGATTTGTTATCTTCTTCTTCTTCTTTTTCCTTTCCTTCCTCATATTGAAGCTCTTTTGCTCTTTTAATGTCTAATGCTGCCAAAAAGACATTCTCATCTACGAGTGTTTCAACCTAAAAAAATAGATAAATAAATAAATATACTGTTAATATTCCTTCTTTTCCTTAACCATTGTCTTTCTTTTTTTTTTTGCTTTTTGTATTTTTCTTTAATTCCTTTTTAATAGTACTACCGATGATGCCAGTAAGGAGACTGGTTTCGGAATCGCTGAATATGTATCACTTTTCCTGGGCTCGAAATATGAAAAATCAAAACAGCTTAAATCCTCGTTTCTGGAAAATGAAAATGATGGATCATCTTTAGTGTTTTGTTCTTCTTCTGTCGCTTTCTTTCCATTGATAAATCCCTGTTTTCTGCGTACTTGAGAATGTTGTTTTTGTTCCTGTTGTTGTACCACAGGTACTACAGAGTGTGGCCGGTTTATAGACGTAAACCCTGTCCGTTTTGCTAATCCAGTCTGATTTACATTAGCTCTCGTTTTAGATTTGGTAAAATTCATGCTGAAAAAAAAAATGGTCAGGTTGTAAGTTAATCCGGAAATTAATTGGAAATTAATTGAAAATTAAAATAAAGATTTAATAAAAATTTATATATATATATAAATATGTATATAAGAAAATGAAAAGAATTATAACAAGATTAATTGTAAATTTTAAAAAAATAAAATAAAATGGAGTTTTTGACATGAACTCTTTTCCCAGATAATCGAAGACATTAAACAATCTGTTACATCCCTTTTTGTTACAAATTTTCTATTACAATATGCCATAGTTGTACCCAATTTTCAAAATCGCCTGCCAAACTCCGCTCCGAGAGATCAAAAAAAAAAAAAAAAAAAAAAAGTCTGGCAGCCGCCATTTTTGTCCTTCTCATTTCAATCGTCATACACCATCATCACACTCACTACCACTAAAATGACCACTGAACACCCCAACCAAGACTCCGTTCTCAAAAAGTCTGGCAGAAAGTTGTGCTGGGACGCTCGCGACAAGTACTTTGCGTGTCTCGACAAGGCCAATATCATTGACGTTCGCAAGCCAGAAAACGCCGCAAAGTCGCAGCAATTGTGTGGCTCTGAAGAGGCAGACTTTAATAAAGATTGCATCGCCAGTTGGGTACGTTTTGCTTGATTTTCTTCTTTATATTCTGCTATTTGACTAACTGTTACATAGGTCGACTACTTTAGAACTAAAAGAGCAAACGATTGGGAAAGAGATCAACAACTCAAGAAGCTCCAGGCTCAAGGTGCCATTCCTCTGGATTCTACAATCAGATTCAAATAATCTTGTAAATTTGCCTTTTTCTCCTCTTTATACTTTACCTATCTTTTTTTTTTTTTGTAAATAGTCTATCAAATTTAATCTACTCAGTTCGTGACTTCTTGACTGGCTTGCTCGGCTCCTCATCCTCAGCCTTGTCAAGCTTGCTCCACAATGCCTCGTCCTCGGCTTCCTCCCGCTGTCGCTTCACCCTCTCTTCGGTCTCGCCATCATACCCGCCATCCTTTTCAAAGCCATCCAAAACTATCACCCCCGTGGGCCGTGTCCCCACATACACCTTAGCTGCCTGGCGACGCGTGTCTGGATCATAAACCCGTACAAACCTGTCCAAGCTTCCCGTCACAACATATTGCTGTGCCCCATTCTCGTAGCTCTCAACTCCTTCACCATCTGTGGCCGCAGGTTGGGTGTACTGTGCTAGCGCTCCAATAGATCCTGTCGCACCATGAAGCTTGCCCACCATCTTAAGTCTTGTATTGTCTTCAATATTGACCACATATGTAGATGTCTTGCGATCTGTCACTAGTAAAGACAAGGGTGTGGCAGAGTAAATATCCTCGTTATCATCGTCTTCATTTCCTTTCTCTACAGTATCCTCCTTGTTATAATGCAGCTTGCCGACCCCAGCTATGCTCAAGAAATCTCCATCACGCTGCGTCAAACGCAATCTGGTAACTGGTCGGGGACTCTTCTCAGGGTGGTATATCCGCACTTCACCGTGGTGCGTCACTGTCGCAAGCTTTGTGGTAAATGTAAACTTCTTTTTCTTTTCTTCTTCATCATCTTCATCAAGGTATCCCCACGATGTCCCAATTGGAGATGTGTTGCTCGGCTCCTCAAGGAAAAAAACGGACTCCACCCAAATAGGGATCTTCAATCCAAGCTCGTCCCGTTTCACATTCCGGGGCTGCCACAGTGGTGTCAGTACCTCTTTCTCTTTATCCTCATTTTCCCAATCAGCACCGTAAACTTTCACTTCCACCTCATTTCCGGCAACAGCAATGATACCGGGTCGTGATGGGTGAACTGCAAGGCATGTATACTCCTTCCCAGGCAAATTCTGTGTTGCCAACACCGTCTTGGACGAAAAAGTAGATTCTTTATTCTTCTCCTCATCATTTGCTGAATCCTGTTTTTGAGACATTGAAGCCGCAAGTAAGTCGTATGCAACAAGCTTGCCCTCCTTTGAAAGGGTCATGACAATTCCACCAGGGTATTCTTCTGCAAGCCCCACAATGCTGTCTCCGCGGGCGTGCTTGGGCGCATCCTCGGGTAAAGGATTAGTTGCTGTGTGTGCCGGCCATTCGTAAATCAACGGGAACCTACCATCCTCACCAATCTTAGTTGCAAATGCAGGCTTGTTCTTGTCGTTCTTCTTGGTATCCTCCTTTTTGGCCTCTTCTTCCTTAGCCTGTTCCTCAGGACTACGTTTCGCAGGCTCCGAAACTTTGTAAAGTCCTACAGAACCATCTTTTCTCGCAGAAATAATCTAAATCTTGTTAGAATTAAAGATCCTCAAAAATATATATCTATCTATCAGAACTAACCCATTGCTTGTTCTTACCAACACGAATCAAGGCTTGAATGTGTTTGGTAAATCCCCGTTTGTCGTAAACAAGAGAACTTGTAGGCTGAGGAGCCGTCTTGTCTGAAGTATTAGTATCAAAAGGGAAAACAATTTCTATATAGTTAGAATAAAAGCTACCATAATCATACAATCCACCTACCCTTGATACTGCCAGAATCTTGATCTGATACGAGAAGTCTCATTGTTGTGTGAGTAGTTTGGAAAAAACAACCAAGTCAAAAAAAAAAATTGACTGGTGATAAAAAAATTTTTTTCACATACGGCTGGCCCTTTAATTTTTTTTTTCTTCTTCCTCTTTACATCTATGAAGCAGCATAACCATCTATATTCCCATCCATATCAAACGCGTTATTTCCTCCACGCTGTTCAGCTGAAACAACAGCCATACACTGGAATTTGTGGTTGTACGAAGACTTCCAAAACTTGATGTTACCATCGCTTCCGGCACTTGCTAGAATTGTTCCCGTAACGTTCCAAGACACACGCCAAATTTCTGCGTCATGACCTTGGAAAGCCGCAGCAAGAGTCGCAGTAACTGGTGAGTCCGAAGATCCTCCAGTGCTTCCCGTAATTGTACCTTGTGTGCTCGAAGCCATGCTATCCAACCCACTGTCAATATCCATTGAGTCAAAGTGCTGAGCTGGTTGTCCTGGCTGACCCTGCTGGCCCTGTTGTGGGACGGACTGAGAAACTTGTTGTTGCTGGCTTGATTGTCCAGATTGGCTCTTAGTCTTAATCACCCGATATATTCTAATTTGACCATCATTCGAACCAGTCGCAATCAGTTGAAATCCTCGGCCCATGGATGGAGCCCATGAAATACTGCGAATCATACTCTTGCAGTCAGGTAGCTCAGCTACACGCTTGAAAGATCCCATTCCAGGGCTTCTGTGGTAGATATAAGCTGAGTCTTGTGCAGACACAGCAATGTACTCTTTGAAAAACATAGATGGGCACCAAGATAGCGAAAAGGACGATTGTCTGTTTTTGGATGCCTGTTTGGTCACAAGAGCCTCTTCAGGCATCAACGGGGTCCAGAAACGTAAGTTATTGGGGTTGGGTGCCTCATGGATATGGAAAATTCCCTCCGAATCTATGCTCGCAAGCTTCAGACCCATGTGACTCGGTGCAAAAGCAATATCATACACGGCCCCATGGAAATCTGTAATGGTTGCGCATTTCTTCCATCGTCGTCCTGACTCAAAGGGCTCGCGCGGGTCCTCCTCAAAAACGCGTACCGTTGCATCATACGAGCACGATGCAATCACCTGGCCAAACTCAGGATTTGCCCATACAACCTTGACAATGGATGAGTCATGTGCTTTCCAAGAGTCGCAAAGTTTCCACTCAGGCTCACTGTTCTCCTCGCCGTTTTCGGTTGTGTTTGGTGCAGAAAGTAATGGGGTATTCTTCTTATCAAAAACTTTGATATATTGATCAGATGAACAAGTGACTATCCGCTTGCCGTAAAAATCATAGTTAAGGTCATGAATCAGTTCTTCATGCCCGGCGATAAATGGTTGGAATTGTGACATGTTTGAAGGTTTTATAGTTTGTAGAAAGGAAAAAAACTGGCAGTGTGTTGACGATGGTTTTTTGTTTTGATAATCCCCTAACCCACACTGCGTTCCCCCTTTTTTATGAAATCTATTTACCTGTTTCATCATATTTTTTTTTTGTTATTCCTGAAATCTAATAAAACCCCTAGATATCCAAGACGTGTTCTCTCTGCAATTTACATCCCAAGACTACAATGGCATTAACAAAACCAACCGTGCTTTCTGCTGCTGGCACGGCGGTCGGTCTGGCACTGGTCTTTAACCCACAGAGTCAACCAATAATTTCCTGTTTTGGATTCTCGGTACTTGGTGCCGTAGCCACCTTCCACATGATTCCCAAAATGGGCCCGCTCTTCATAAAGGTAGGCCTTAGTGGCAAGGATCTGCTCAAAAAAGAGAAGAAGGTTCTTCCAGAAACAATGGGTGCAGTTGTTGGCCTCGTATACATGTTCTGTCTATTCTTCTTTATTCCCTTCATGTTCTACCAATACCTGGTTACAGAAACATCCGGTGCTGGCAACCGTGATGAAGGTCTGGAAATTACCGTTGACCCAGGCGATCCAGGTACAATTGGGCGCACACTTACAAAGTTCCCGCATAACAAACTGGCAAGTTATCTCAGTGCATTGCTCTCACTCCAGAGCATGTTTATTCTCGGAGTTGCCGATGACCTTTTTGATATCCGGTGGAGAAATAAGTTCTTTCTGCCTGCCATTGCTGCCATCCCCCTTATGATTGTTTATTACGTGGACTTTGGAGTCACTCGTATTGTCATCCCACACTTCATCCAACCTCTTTTTGGCAACAAGTCAATTGATCTTGGGTTTCTTTACTATTTATACATGGCAGCTGTAGCCATTTTTTGCCCTAACTCAATAAACATTTATGCCGGCGTCAATGGCCTTGAAGTGAGCCAGAGTCTAGTTATTGGTCTTTCTATTCTCGCAAATGACATTTTATATCTGGCTCGCCCTCATAACTTAGCCACTGAGTCCCATCTTCTTTCGCTCTACTTGGTGCTTCCCTTTCTCGGAGTAACGTGCTCCCTTTTATACTACAATTGGTGGCCTGCACAAGCCTTTGTAGGCGATACATACTGCTATCTTGCAGGAATGGTATACGCCGTTGTGGGAATTTTGGGTCACTTTTCGAAAACAATACTCTTATTTTTCCTCCCGCAAATCTTTAATTTTGCATACTCAGTACCGCAGCTTTTTAAAATTGTTGAATGCCCGAGACACAGAATGCCGCACTTTAATGAAAAAACAGGCCTGTTGGAACCTTCCAAAGCTCATTTTACGAAACCGCCACACCCTGTTGTTGCATTTGTATTAAGAACTCTGGGGAAATTGAAACTGCTGGGTGTTTACGAGGAGGATGGAAAACTGGTAGCAGTTTCAAATATGACACTGATAAACCTGGCCCTTGTGTTGGGTGGCCCTATGCGAGAAGATAAACTAACCACTGTTCTGCTGTCGCTCCAACTTGGAGTGGGACTCGGTGCTCTTATTGCACGCCATACAATTGCAACCTTGGTTTTTGGATATGACAATATTTAAACCATGTGTATATGTATATATCTTTATATTAATCTATCAGGACAAATCCTTCTTTACTTTGACCCAGTAGTCCTCTCTAACACCGAGGAGGGTGTCAGCCCATTCGCTGACCTCTGGAGTCTTGATTTGTTGTCTAGTATCTAAGAACTGGGCAAGATCCTTCTTACCCTCATGCTGCTGCTCAAACTCGAGTGTTTGCACAAGGAGCTCAAATTTATCAACATCTTTAACAAAACGGGCCTCTGGAGATGCCACATTCTCATACTCGTTCCACAGGTCAAGAATTTCTTGGGCAGCAGAAGGATTGAAAGGTTCAATCAGACCCTTCGTCAGGTATTCCATAGCTGCAAGCTCCCGACGATGCTTTTCCTCCTTAGGCACGGGATCCTTAGGTGTGATGTCACCCACAAGACTCTCTGCCATGTCGTGGACCAATGCGATGCACACGCAGCGACCCGTGTCAAGGTCTTTATTGTTGGAAAGCATGGAAATGATGCCCATGCGGTACATGTGGTCAGCAATAGATTCGGGATCCTCAACATCGAAATTGAGCCAGCCGGTACGCCGAGTCTTCTTGAGTTGTTGAAGAATGTGTAAGAATATTAGAAGGTTGGAAATACCCTTAGTTGAAGGTGTTGACGAGCTGTTCAGCTTCTCAATAAAGGCAGAATTACGAATCAATTCGATCCGTTGACGAACAATCTCTGGGACCGCATTCTCTGGAGTCCAAAGAGGCTCTTCAAAAGTTTGTTGTTGTTGGGTGCTCATGGTTCAATCAGGATTGAGGTAATGGTAAGAGAAAGAAAAATGTTGATAAGGAATTTGATTTAATTTATTTTTTACACACATATGGCACTGTGGCTAACTTGTTAGAAATCGTATTTCCTAAAAGGGCCTTGATTTTTAAAACAATTTTTTTTTTTGGCATCCTCCTACACAGACGATTCTCTTTTTTTTTAATTTTTTTTGGCAAGTTCATTACATTACTATCATGATATATTTTTTATTCGTGTATATTTCATGTGTTTAGGCAACGAGCTCAACGACGCCACCGGCCTCCTTGATCTTCTGCTCAGCCTCAGCAGAGACAAAGCGGGCCTTGACAATGATGGGGACCTTGGGAAGAGCACCCTTGCCAAGAACCTTGCCGTAACCAAGAGCAAGAGTGTCAATGACGGGGGCAGCGCTCGAGGAAGACTCCTTAAGGTACTTCTCTCTCTTCTCCTCAGGAACAAGAGTCCACAGACGCTCGACGTTAATGACGGGTCTCCAGAAGTGGTTCTGCTGCTTGTGGAAGTATCTCATACCGACCTTACCAAAGTAACCAGGGTGGTACTTGTCGAGGTTGGTTCTGTGGTGGTGCTGACCACCGGCCATACCACGACCACCGGGATTCTTGCGGTGCTTGCCAATACGACCGTAACCGGCTAGAATACAATGTTAGCAAAATTTAATTCTTCAAAAACAAAAAAAAGCGTCCACTGATCAAGAATCAAAAGTTGTGATTTTTTCATCATCAAACGGGTATCATTTCAAAATATGGGTTCTTCAAATCAGCTTCTGCATCAAAGTCGAAAGAAATACACACCGGAGACGTGGCCTCTGTGCTTTCTGGTCTTAGAGAATCTGGTAGGCATTGTGTCTGTGTTGTCGATGGATAGACGTCGTGGTACTATGAGAGCCAAAAGAGAAAAAAAGAAGGGAAAAAAAAAAAAAAAGAGAAGGGAGGGGGGAGACCAAGCAAAAAGGTTGAGTGGTGTAAAAGTCTGTTACAACTATGAAAAGTTTTTCGTATTTTGCAGGAAAATTAAAGAATTTAATGTAACAAGTTGAGCTTTAATTGTTCACGTGACTTAAAATTTGCAATCGAGATGTTGATGGTCTTTTGTTACATCTTAAAATTTTATTTTACAAAAATTTAAAAGTTGTAATGAGTCAATATATTATAAGATATACTTAATTCTGAAATATACACACAAACTCATTTCCTAATTAAGAAACAACAGTCATTTCAAGTTATTTCATTGTTACAGCCGTTTGAACGGCTGAAAATAGTTTTCTTGGTCTATTCAATGAACTTTTCCCAAATTTACCTTGAAATTATTAAAAACATAAAACACCCATACATGAATACTGAAATAAATAAATAAATAAATTAAAAAAGATAATACCCTACTCATTAGTCTCGTCAGGCTTATCTTCAATGCTGACAGTAGACCAAGGGACTAGTGCCCAAATAAACGTGATTGAGGCAAAGCAGAAGAAGGTAAAGATGTAGTAAGTCGAACCACCCAATTTTGCCTGCAGTATGGGGAAGAAGTAACCGATAACAAAGGTAGAGAGCCAGTTTGCAGTGGTTCCCACACTCTGCGCCGCACCGACAGCATTATGGGGGACTAGCTCCGAAACAAGCATAAAGGGCACGGGTCCAAGGCCAATTGCAAAAAAGACAACAAAGAGAGTTGCCGAAAGAGCTGAGAGAATAGAGTGCGAGTTATTAATCCCAAAGCCAAGAAGTGCGGAAAAAACAGCCATACCGCTGATGGAGCAGAGAAGCAATTGTTTGCGGCCGTATTTATCTACGAGAGTGGATGAATACATGGTAACAACAGTGTTGAGGACGGAAATAACACAGTTGATTGTGGTTGTAAGTTCCGGGAAAAGCTTTGCAAGAACAGAAACACCATAAAAGATGATTGAGTTGATACCACAGAATTGTTGTGCTGTGAGAACGCCGACAACAACAATGAGTTCCTTACGATAGATTTTCGAGAAAACAAACGTATGCACAGAAACATTATTAGACTTGACAGGGGTACTTGACGCTGGAATAAGTGAGGTTTCCGGGGTAGACTCAGTGGCAGTCAACAAAGCCCGGTTTTCTTCTGTGGTGGCGACTGGAGTATCTTCTTCTTTGGAAATGGAAGCAAGAGAATTAAACTCTTTGTCTACGTTGTCTGAGTCGCGGAGAAACTGCAAGGTTGTTCGGGCCAATTGATACTTCCCGACCGAAACGTACCACTTGGGAGTCTCAACCAAAAAAGATACAAGAAGCGAACCGTAGAGAAGACCCAGCACAGCTCCAAAAAAGAGAATGAGACGCCAACGAGCAAAAGTAGAAAAGAAGATGCCGAGAACCTGTGCAATTAAAATTCCGACATTGATTGAAACCTGGTTCATAAAGCCGAGCTGGCCACGGAGGTTTGCGGGTCCAATTTCAGAAAGATAAAGAGGAATAACTACAATGGCGGCACCGGCACCAAGTCCTGAGATAAATCGGCCAATTTGCATGTGCCAAACCTTGGTGGCGGCACCGGTTAAAACAGACCCAATGATGAAGGGGATGCATGTGATGATGGAGAACTTGCGACGACCCAAAATTCCGGCCGCGTTACCTGCCAGCAATGCGGTGATGAGACCACCAATGGAGATAAGACTGGTAACACTTCCAATGTCCTCAGCGGTCATAGGAATGCAGTCAACATCAGCATGTTCACCGGGTGGCAGTGCACGACAAGAAATGTATGCTTCCGGGGCATTAAGTTCCGCCTAAAAAGAGGATTAGTTAATACCGGCATGAGAAAAAAGGGTAGAGAGAGATGAAACCCACCATGTGATAGCCATACTGGACTGCACCGAGACATTCGATGGCAACCATAGCGTAAATACGCATGTAGGCCTTACGACTAAGTGAACTCATTGTTGGATTTTGTTTTTAATTGAGAGATAACGAGGAAGGAGAACGTAAACGAGATAATTTTTTGTAATGCTCCAAATAATAACTTTACTACGTGGGAGATATCATAAATGAGTAGTTATGAGAGCTGTTTAGCTTAACAATGTGGATAAACCCTAACCTGTTAATTAAGATAAAGTGGGAAAAAAAACCACTGATACATTAAACCAATCTAGACTAATGCTCAAATCACAAGCACACAAATAATAATATTCAAAATCACATAAACCATGGGCTGGTTCAGCAAGTCCGAAGAGGCCCCGTCGCCCATAGAAACACCCAAACAACCCGAAAATGCGCTTCTTACTGAAGCTCTTTCAGATGTCGCTCCCATTCCTGAACCGGCTACTGCTGAAGATCTGGAAGAGGCCCGATTGAAAAAGGAAAGAGAGGAGGCTCAAGCCGAGTATCTTGCCTTCAGTCATACACAGCGTCTTGGAATAGCGCCTGGCCCGCGCCTTGTACTAACAGGTGTGACAGCAGGAGGTTATGGATTTTTGTCTGGGTTTTATAGTGGGTTTAAGATGGGTGGTCTGCGGTACCTTGCGCAAAATGCGCACCGACTGCCGCGAACCAAAGGTGGATGGTATTTTTACCACAAGCGCAAGAACTACGTAGTGCTCAAGGAGGCCATTATTACGGGTACTCGAACTGGATCCAAGTATGCAGCAGCGGCTGTCGCATATTTTGGAACAGAAGCATACTTGGACCATGTTCGTGGACGGATTGATTTGCTGTCGACAACTGTGGCTGCTGTTGGACTTGGTGCAGGTTATTCCTTTTACAGTAAGTGGCAAGTTTTTTTTTAAAACGATTGAATCTAACATCTTTTTAGGTCGCCTAAGTAAGGTTCAGACTTTAAATACCGTACGATCATTTTTTGGGTTTGGCATTGCAGCCGGCTTAGTGCAAGACGGTTTACGCTACATGCGTGGCAACGACGTGTGGTATCTCAACTGGATTCCCAGAAAAGCTTCCTCAGAGCCAGTTTTAGAGTCTTAAAAAAAGTCACTTTTGTTATTAATATTATTAAAAAATTGTAAATAATGCATTATAAAAAACCCTCCATCGTTTAATCTTCATCTTCGTCTTCACTCTCGATATCCTGTAGTTCTGGTAGAGGAAACTTGAGAATAGCAGCAATGCCGGAAATATCATCAAGTTGTTGGCCAGCATCGTGGAGAGACGAAAATATTTCAACGGAACCGCCTGAATTCTTAACTTCTTCAACCATTGCAATGTACTCCTTGCGCTCGGCAACATCGTCACTGCGAAACAGAGAATCTGAAACCATCAACGAGTCGACAGCACCCATCTCAACGGCCTTTGCCACGTGCTTGGGACCGTACCATGCACGCATGTCGTCGCGGTTCATAATGGTGTAAAAGTTTTCCAGCATTTGGAGCTGATGACCGTATTTTGCAGAAGAAAGATGGCTGACAACATTAGGGTCCTTCATGACTTCCTTGAGACTTTGAAGGTACCCTGAAGATGCATGGGCAATAACAGTCTTGTCCTTGAAGCGAAGGATGCGCTTATCTGATTTGAGAGCAGCTTCTTCAAACAGATAGTTTTTAAACTCTGTGGCATAAAATGCTGGTGACGCAATAAGCAGCGCCTTCAGGGTATCAAGAGGTAAAGATTGTGAAAAGACAGTGTAGAGCTGCTTGAAGAAACGCTCATGTGCTCGGCCAATTTTCTTGATTGAGGATTCGTAGGCTGTCTTTTTAGGAATGCTCACTTCAACCTTGGCCTTAAGAATAGTCATGTTACTGGTAACTATGCAGACATGGGCCACACCATCTTCCATGATAATAGCGCCGAGTTCTGCACGCTTATCCATATCACAGGCATCGTTAAGATCATCGACTTCAAGCTTGTTCCATTCATCCTTAGTGATCTTGAGCTGTCGGTTAACCTGGACATCGAGGGTGTGGGCTGCACCAGGAGAGACATCCTCAATTTCGTTTTCAAACGTGCCGGCAATTTGCAGCGATGCGGACCGAGCATCATAGTCCGTTTTTGTGACACGCAGAACAGCGCGGATGGTTTTGCGGTAGGTACTGTTATCACTCTTGCGAATGACCTTGCGGGTGGTAGTACCTTCAACTACGTCTCCGGGGTGGATGTGGTTGTAGAGTGTCCACATGTCGTCAGCATCTTGAGGGACAACCACCATGGATCCATGACCATAGTCTTCGGGGACAGTCGAGCTAGTGATCTTCATTGTCTATTTTTCTGAAAAAAAAAGGAATAAATTATTATTGCTATCTAGACTGATTGTTGTTTGTGAAAATAGTTTAGCTATTTATTTAAATATATATATATAAAAGACCAAGACAAGAGTAAGCATAAAAAAAAAATTGTAATTGCTGGGTAGTGATTCATCAAGATATGCGTTAACGGACCCGCATGATTTTGACGTGTAGCCGCACCAACCATAGCCAAATGCAAGGTTTTCATAAAAAATTTTTCAATGTCTGACAAAAGAGAAAAACGCTATCTTCATGCTATTACTATACACACATGCAAACAAACAAAAATAAAAGAAAGAAATGGGAAAGAAAGAACACAATTTATCGGACATTGGCAGCAACAAGAGAATTGACCTTGCATAACTCGCCGGCCTTGTTGACGAGACGCTTGTCAGACTCACCCTCCTTGCGGTAAATGACGGAAAGGTCTTGAGTAGTGCTGAAGCCAGGCTGGATCTGCTCCCAAATCTTCTTCTTGGGGTTGAGAACAGCCTCAGGGGTGCCATCAAAGGTCTCAAAGAAGATCTTGTCACCGGGCTTAGAACCAGCAGGAGGGTTGACAAACTCAACAGTGTCTTCGTTGGAAGCGCAAAGAACCATGGCACTGGACTTGATGCCACGCATGGTGACGGGCTTCAGGTTAGCAACGACAACAACGTAGCGGTCCTGCATGGCCTCAAGAGGGAAGTACTTGACAAGACCACTGCAGACAGTGCGGGGACCTTCCTCATCACCCATATCAATGGTAGAAACGTAGAGAGCATCAGCGTCGGGGTGCTTAATGGCCTTTTGGATGTGGCCCACACGCAGATCAATCATTGCAGGGGTAACAGGAACCTCGACCTTAGCGGGCTGGGGCTTCTTCTCCTTCTTCTTCTTCTCAGTCTTCTTGGGAGCCTCACCAGCGGCAGTGGCGGTAGCAGCAACAGCAGCATCCTTTTTGTCAGCCTTCTTCTTATCAGCCTTCTTGTCGGCCTTCTTGTCGGCAGCATCAACAGCGGGAGCATCGGTCTTTTTCTTCTCAACCTTGGGCTTGATTTCTCTGGGAGCAGACAGGTCAAGATCAACTTTGATCTTAAGGTCGTCAGCGACTTTGAGAGAGTTTTGGATGAGATCAACCCATCTGACAATGTGGCGGGATGCCTTGATTTCGTCCTCGGACCACTTGGAAACAATGGGACTGACACGGGAGTATACAACGGCATCGGCGAGAGAGGGCTCAAGGGTGTTGAGCAGGTAGGTGCGGTGCTTCAGAGTCTCGTTAAGCTCGGGGAGAGATTCAGGGAAGCGTGCTGAAAGAGTGAGCCACTGGAACTGTTCGGCAGTTTCTTCCTTAGAAAGAGCGGGGAACTTGGAGCCTAGTTCGCGGACAAAGTCATCGGAAGAGGACTCAGCGGTGAGAGTGAGTTTCTGGGCAAGAGCCTTAGACAGGAGATCGATAGAGTCGGCCATTGTGGGTTTTCTGGGAGGAATTGTGCTGAAGCAACGGTTGGTAGAAACAACGAGAAGAGATCGGGGGGAAGAAGTGGTGGTGGTGAAACAGCTAGTTGAGAATGGGGAGTAACAGAGATTGTAACAAAGTCTGTAACTAAAATTGTAACATCTGTATAGCTGAGTCATTATTAGTAATCAAATGGTCAAACTTTATGTTAACTCACAATCGGGCCAGCAGTGGCCGTGCGAAGACCAGCGAGCATTTTGTTTGTGTGTGTATGTGTGGGATAACCGCTGGTGGTTGTTGTTGTGGTGGTGGTAAAAGAAAAACAAAACTTCTGAGGGGCCGCTAGCAATTTTGTGGGAAAATTTTTTCAAAGAGAAAATGTACATTGAGGCCAAACCACGTGACAAAAACTGCATCTCCACATCCCACATCTCCACTTCCACTTTCACTACCACCTTCGTTAAACCCATCCCGCCAGCTCACTCTTTCCGGGTCTTTTTCGTCCGCCCTGCCCAAATTACCCCCACCATACACTCATTTAAACATACAAAAAGCGCGTCCCGGTCATTTCTTAAGACCCGGTCCCTCATGTCTTCTCTTCATAAACCGACACCTGCTTTGCTCAGACCTTTATGCCGCCGCCCGCATCTTCATCTCACATGCATCCACATTCGCACTTACCGCCGCCACAGGGCTCCGGCAGCGCTATGGTTGCGGCTCGCGCAATTGTTAAGAGTGAGCAGCAGCAACATTCGCTGGCTACAGAACCGAGCGACCTTAATGGTTCTGCCGGTGTCATTCCAGGCTCATGTTCTCTGTCTGTGACTGATGCAACACCAATCGTTATCAGTCCGCGTACAGGAAAGCCCAAACGACGAAAAGCTACGCGTGCATGCATTCACTGCCAGCGTACACATCTCACCTGCGACAACAGCCGACCTTGCGAGCGTTGTGTAGCTCGCGGCCTAGCTGATACCTGTCGTGATGGCGTTCGAAAAAAGGCCAAATATCTGGCTGACGTTCCTGAGGCTGTTGCCAACTCTGAAGAATCTTTAAAATTTGACCCGCGGTACAATGCCAAACCTGTTACTGGTAAGCGCAAGGCTGCTGTTGCTGCAACATCCTCAGGTTCTGCTTCAGGTTCTTCAGACACTCGACCTGTAAAGAATAGAAAATCAGATATTACGCAACAGCAACAGCAACAGCAACAGCAACAGCAACAGCAACAGCCACAACCACAACCACAACCACAACCACAGCAGCAACAGCAACAGCAACAGCAACAGCAACAGCAACAGCAACAGCAACAGCAACAGCAACAGCAACAGCAACAGCAACAGCAACAGCAACAGCAACAGCAACAGCAACAGCAACAGCAACAGCAACAGCAACAGCAACAGCAACAGCAACAGCAACAGCAACAGCAACAGCAACAGCAACAGCAACAGCAGGAACAGCAACCATTGCAACAGTCACAATCAAAGTCCACAGATGTGCCAAAGACAGATTTGTCCGAATCTATACCACGACTGCTCAAGACCGGAACAGGCAGGGCCGACCCGGAAAACGTCCCAAATACCAACATTAACAATACCCACAATAATCCCCTTTCAGGTATATCACTTTCATCTTCATCCGAGCCATCTTCATCTTTTGGTGATATTTCTCTTCTCAAACCTATATCTTTTACAGACCCTAAGATCTCACAACCAGCTCTCGACTCAAACTCTGATCAGAACAAGCAGCAATCAGGAAGCCCAGTTGGACAACAAAATGCATCATCAAGTCTTGGGCTTAGCATCAATACAGCATCAACGTCTCCATTTAACTCGCTTCTGGCACCAATGGAGCAACAACAGCAACAGCAACAGCAGCTGCAGCAGCAACCACAACTATCCCAATCCCAACACTCGTCTTTACAAACTTCTCAAGCGCAACAGCCGCAGCAGTCTACACAAATCCTGGGCGATAACCCAGCAGACACAATGCTTTTAATGCCAACATCCACACCAGGCTCCACCAATACTCCAGGATCTGGAATTAACACGTCGTCGTTAGCAGGTCTTGCAGATGCTGCTGCTAGTCATGATTTGTCTAATAATTCTAATAACAACGACAACATTAACAATAATGATAATGATAATAATAATAACAGTAATAATAGTAATAATTACAACAACAGTGGACCGACTAACAATGCCCAAAGATCTAACAACCCGCAACAGCCGACACCTATTGTCAATCTCAACGATCCTAACACATGGCTCTACAACTTACGCCCGTCTCGCCACAACTTCCAGTCTATGGCTGTTAACATGGAGTACTCAATCATAAGTAACATCATTAACAATACCCCATATGGCTCAGACCTCGGCTCAGTCTCTGTTGTGCCCTCTAATGCGGCTACAGGCGTTCCAGGGGCCTCCTCAGCATACTCCCCATCACTTTCTAGCACTGGTGATGATTCACCATCCTTGGGTAAACAAAACAATGATATTTATGGTACCCCAACCAATCCAGGTAGTGCCGGTAGCACCAGTAGTCACCCTGGAGTTGGAGGGGCTTCTCATGGTAATCATTATAGCCATGGAAATTCCAACAGTTATGGTGGGGGGAGTAGCAACGGTGGCGGAGGTAGTTACTCCTTTAATCCACAAACTTCGGGGGTTTTCCATCTAAACAATCTTAGCCAGTATGCCTTGGGACTAACATATTCTGTGCCATCATCAATTTCATCCACAAATGGTGTCAGCAGTAATGACACTGTACAGAACTTGCCTGAGATTTTGGACCTGATTGACCGGCTCAAGCAGGCCAAAAATGACAAGAAAATCACGGCCAATCCATTCTGGGCAGAGCAGCAGGAAGCATTGCCCGGACCCAAACGGTTTTTATCATTTACGATATCTACAAAGCCTATAACGCCTTATAACACACCAGTAGCAAGTTCTGATGTGGAATCACCTCCTCTATCCTTGCCAATGTTACAACCACAACAAAGCTCCTCATCAAACGGACCCAATGGCAGTATAGCGCCATCCGATGAGGGCATGATTTTCCGCAAATACTCGGAACCAGCCGACATTTATGCAAATGTGCGGCAACCGTACTCTTATACACCGGCATACCACCAACTGACACTGTATATACGGACACGGTTCACCCGCGAGCAGCAAATGCGCATTGCACGGTGCATGGCTTCTTACCGGCCCTCGTTTATTGCATGCACCAATACGTTAAAAGAGGATGACCTGATTTTCATGGAGCAGTGTTTCCAACGAACGTTGTTGGAGTATGAAAAGTTCATTTCTTATTCAGGTACTCCAACAGTTGTGTGGCGACGAACAGGTCAAGTTGCAGCTGTAGGCAAAGAGTTTTGCATGCTAACTGGGTGGCCGCGAGAGCGGTTGCTTAACGAACACACATTTATAGTTGAGCTTATGGACGACAAATCTGTGTTGGAATATTTTGAAATGTTTTCAAAGATGGCTTTTGGTGACTCGCGTGGAGCCAACATGACCGAATGCACCTTGTTGACGCCGCAGGGCAAACACATTAAAACGTCATCGACGTGGACATTAAAACGTGATGTTTTTGGCATCCCCATGATGATTGTGGGAAATTTTCTTCCCATTCTTAATTAAATTTTTTTTTAAAAAAAGAGTTTATTGAAAAGTAACACTGAAAAAATAATAATAGAAACCAAAGAAATATAAATATAAAACACAAGGAGGAAAAAAAAAACATATAAGTAACCAGCCAATTTACTGAGCAAGAATGGACTTGACAAACTCGACGTAGTTGACGTTACCATCACGAGTAACATTGACACCCTTAAGAAGTTCATCCATCTCAGCATCCGAGAGCTTCTCTCCAAGCGATGTCAGAATGTACCGCAGCTCTCCAACGCCAATATAACCAGTTTGGTCCTTGTCAAAGACTTGGAAACCACGGATGTAGTCCTCGGGTTCACCCAGCGACTTGAAGCCATCTGGTCTGTTGACAATCTTGACAAAGGTCTCAAAGTCGACTATTTTTTAAGTTAGATGAAAGAAAAGAAAATGATTGCTCAAGAAACTTACAGTCACCGGAAATAGAACGCTCAAGCTCGTCAATTTCACCGAGAGTGGGATTCTGACCGACAGCACGTAGCAGATCGCCGAGAGCCTCTGATGGAATACGACCAGTTCCTCGCTTGTCAAAAAGAGCGAAAGCGTCTCTAAAAGCCTTTGTATTTTGAGTAGACATGATGTGTTATTGAATGAAGATAATTTGTTTGTTTACTTATGAGCGGATCAGCGTATATATATATATATAAAAAAAAGGGGAGGGAGGAAAAGGGAGGTTAAAGCAAAACAAAAAAACGCTTCTTGGGTGGCCAGCTCACCGTAATGTAAACAATAGTCACGTGCATTTGTCTTAAAATGTTTTCTTCAGTGCGGCTCAATAAAGATTTTTTTTTTTTTTGATTCCATACACGACAAACACATCATATACAAACCTGCTTAAAAATGCCCGACCAAGAGTACGCTCAAGGTAAAGTTCTGATTCGCGCAGAAACAAACCTTCCACCATGTTCTATTGTAGTACACCCCGAATTTTCATCTCTTATTATTTTTGGTACATACAAGCTTGAAGAAGAGTCTCGCAAGCGTCATGGCACTTTGGAGTTTTGGCTCCGAGTCACCTCTGACGACGACAAGGAGTCGCTTATTCGTGTTGCCGAGCTCGCAACACCCGATTCCTCGATTCTTGATGCAAAATTGCATCCAACAGACCATAACATATTGCTTACTGCTCAGTCGACTGGTGAAATAGTGATTTGGCGGTTTGCAGGGCTTCGCGCGTGGGCAGAAACAGTTCACGCAGAGTTGTTGCAACATGCCAACAACGGTGAAACTAAAAACGAACGCAAATTCGATTTACCTGAACACACAAAATCCGCAGACGTAATTACAGAAAATGAAGACCGCTCGGTACTTGTACTTTCCCTATGCTTTGCACCCGTATCACCGTACAACACATTGGCTGCTACATTGACTGATGGTTCTATTGTTGTATGCGTACTGACAAACTCTGGTATCAAGGTACGTCATAGACTAACTGGAGCACATTCACTTGAAGCTTGGACCGCTTCATTTTTAAACGGTTCTGAGAACGTTCTTTTTTCTGGTGGTGACGATGCAGTATTGGCTGCCCACGATCTCCGCATGGCATCTTCCTCAGACAGCGATAATAATGAGAGTGACAATGGCTACGGCGATGACATTGTGGCCCCTGTATGGTCATCGCAACGGATTCATTCAGCTGGTGTTACATCCATTCATTCCTTCATACCAACCCCTGATTACCAGCTTTGGACAGGCGGCTACGATGATACGCTAGCGCTTGTAGACCTGCGTATCACAGATCCCATGCTGCCCATCCCCCCACGCGGACCTACTGCGTCCATTAATCTTGGAGGTGGCGTGTGGAAGCTGCTTCCGAGCCCTGTGGCCCCTGAAAGTCGAATGCTTGTATGCTGTATGTATGGCGGTGCGCGGATTGTGGACCGACTGAGTACGGAGGAAATTGCAAGCACCACAGAGCCAGCAAACATCGTGGCTTCGCTGACACAAGGCCATGAGAGTATGGTTTATGGCGGTGCGTGGCTTGACGAGAAGACCGTTGTTACATGTAGTTTTTACGACAAGGCTGTTCAAGTTTGGAGATGGTAAAAAGGTATCTTCTTCATATTGTTTTCTAAACAATGAATTGATATCAAGTTGACTATACATGATGCAGTATTCTTAATTAAAAAAGAACCTCACGCTTTACTGGTATATTTCCCCCCTTTCTTTTTATAGTATCCGCTTAAAGTTGGCAATTTTTCATCTTGACATTCGTTTCCTTTTGAATTACGATGTGATTTTCAAAAATTTCAGTCTTTTTTTGTCGTTTATTTATTTATTTTTTTTTTTTTAATTTTAAAAATCCCCACCCTCATTGGAATGCAGAATACTCCCAATATGAAGTTTTTTTTGAATGCTCATCCTCGTATGATTTTTTTTCTTTTGTTTCTCTTAAAATTTATTTGGGCGGCCCCAAATCTCTGGTGCTTATTATCACCTCGGTACCGGGAAAAAGAAAAACTTTAAATAACCTTGTTTGAGTGTGGAGCGTCCAGCTTAAAATTGAATCAACTCAAAAAAAAAGTTGAATACAAATACTATCATAAATTTGTTCATACCCCAGACAATATTACTCAAATTCTTCCGTTATAATCATTATTATTTCCCCTGAAATTGTCTTTATTCTATGGGCTTGGAATTAAAAAAGGAGCTAAAGCGATTTGAATTGTATATCTATTTTAAAATTACAAAAAGGAGGTCATAATCATTCGTAAAAAGAAAAAAAAACTGTTGTTCGTTATATCGTAGAGTCACACTTTAAATTTTTTAGTGAAGCTTCAATTCTCTCCATCTGATATCCAGACACTATGACATCATTCAATTTAAATAGTCCACCTTCAATGGTTTGCAATTTTGTTGAAGCGTCAGATAATTCACTCACTGCTTCTCCAAGACGAACCGAGGTTCCTAGTCCGTATGTTTGAGACTGTGGCAAATATCTCCATGAATAACAACGAGCCCATCTGTCGCACGCGTTTTTGCATTGGATCTCGTTACTCCACGGCCGCGCAAGCCCTACAGACATACTCTCCAGGCTCTGCTCTTCAACAAGTTCCACGAATCCTGTTGGCGACTGCGCATCATCCATGGGAAAAGCGTTGCGCTTGAGACGAGCCCTAAAATATTTGCTGAACTGGGGATCGACTAGTGCACGGTAGTAATTTTTCTGAGAAAGAACAATGTCTCCGGCAAAATTGTCCCAAGCAGATATGCGTGTAGCAATATGATTGGCAACAAAGGCATTATATATATGTGAGCCACAAACAAAATTCTCTTTAACAGAATTTTCTAAAGCCCATAAAGCCTTAATCTCAGTGGATGTTTGATGGCCAACAATGTAAACTGGAGTGCACCATGTTTTGGGCCCAGAACCAACGTCCTTATTCATGGTCATTTCTTGAAATCCAGATTCTAGGCCAATCTTCTGGGTATTTTTGATTTCCTGAAGTTTTTCAAGCACGGCCAAGTTGCCTCTACACGTCCCGCGTGGCTCGACCTCTAAATTATCGTCATAATTATTATATTGATTACTTGATTTTCCCAGGCTTTGTTTGATTGCTGCCCGTGACAAAACACCTCCTGTCAAAGTACCCAAAAACAATGGCTGTGATGGATCTAACGTCGTCAAATATTTCGCCAGGCTTTCCACAAAAATATATTTATGACTGCTGTCCATCAGAATGAACCAGTCGACTGATGATGGTGCGGTTCCGAATGCATGCTCAAGCATGGTGGGAATATAAATTTCCTCGGGAGATATTTTTGAACACTTTAATACCTCAGATTGGTTAACAAGAAGGTCAATAGATTGATAATTGAGATTGTGGACCGAAACAAATCCTTCAGTGTAAACCGAAAAATTTGGAACGCGAGTTAATGTGGTTTTTAGATGAGCACTTGTGTTTGGAGCAAAGTCTGCTGTTTCTTTAACCATAAAAAAAATGTTTTCTGTGTTTTGAGCATAGCCTTGGGCAAAAGCTGATTTCACTGTTTCAATTGAAGCTGGATAAGAGGCTTCATCATTTTTAAATGAATATTGAGTATAAATTGTAAGCTGATCAAAAAATCCCGAAAGCAGAATGGAGAATAAAATAATTGCCAAAAGAATTGTAAGAAGGGCTGAAAACCTTTTTTTTTTAGAACTAAATGAAGACATAATAAAAAATGAAAAATGAAAAATAATTGTCAACAGTTCATAAAAAAATGAGAAGAAGAATAATAATAATAAATTGTTTATCTAGAGGAAATTATCATTCTTTTAAACCAGTCCGGGGTGAAAATAAAACAAGAAAAACTGAAAATATGATAATCATACTTGGCTTCATTGTGTAATCTACAAAATCCACCATTCTGGGTTCAATAATTATCTGCACATAATATAACCCGGTGGCATGGCATTAAGAGGGTAATAACGGTATTTTTTGTTTGTTTTTTATTCAAGGGCTATAGAAAAGTACCATTGTATAAAAAAGAGGTGATATATTTGAATTCTCATGAAACCTACATGTAGAATCCATGTATTTCAAGTTTATTTCAGAGACCCAATCCTATTCTCGATACAGAATCAAAGTTGAAGCTAAATAGCACTTTAGTTTCTTAAAGGTGTATTATAATACTGACATGGAAGAATCGGGAAAATATCCGTTTTAAAATAAAATATGTTAACCGAATGTTTAAAAATCACGTTTTATCCGCGCCAAATAAATTCACTTTAATTAAAATAAAAAACACTATATTCAGTATACGCATTTACATAATGAAATAATTGATTCCGTAATTCTAGTTTAATCCTTGACCATATAAAGATCTTAACTTCTGAATTGGAGACATTTCCAAAGCACTAGAGTTAACTGCAGAGCCTTTTAAAAACTCTTCAAGGCCCTGTGCTTCAACTTCATTGCGAAATAGCTGTGCAATTTTCCCGGTAGCATTCCCCCACCTGCAGTTGCTTAGTCTATCCATATCGCGACCATAAACACGATATAAAGCAATAAGTCCAGCAACAACTCGTTGTTCAAGACCAACAAGCGTGTAAAATGGCAAATCGAAAATGTCTTCAATAGAAATATCATCCTGGTCTTTAATTATATCTGCAACGCCATGTTTTTTAGGGTTTACCATAGCTAGAAATACATGGTGCAAAGTATCCTCAACTTCATCAACTTCTATTCCGTCAAGCAAAGTGAAATTCCCGCTCGGCAGTAAAAAAGATGTTCCTACTTTAGGATTAATGAATACATGACGCTCTGCAAACTTTGGAGTTTCGTAGCCATGCTCACTAGGGCTTGGTGGGAATTTTCCCGCCAAACTCAATGATGTCAAGTCATAGGCTGCATCACTATAATCTATACGGTACTTTTGATTAATTTTAGTCTGTCTATTTGCAGCAAGAACAGATTGTGGGAGTTTTTTAGTGCGACGGTTCATTCTCACACGCGCCACCCAGTTAAGATACACATTTTTGAATGCTGAAAACCCAAAACTTTCTTGAATAGGAGAGTAACCAATCACTGAGCAATCTAAATCAAAACTGCTTTTTATAAGTGTTTGTAGTTGTGTTGCCTCAGTTAAGTTGGAGGATTGACGATGATGATGCGATGACGTCGAAACACGTTTTGAAGAGTCTTGAGCTGAATACTTTGGGTTGAACTTTTGAGGGGTACACGTAAATTGTTCCACTTTAGCATCCACATCAGTAATATCAAACGAAATTTCGTTAGCCATTATTGATGGTTATTGAAGATTATTGAAGATTATTGTAAATTATTGTGAATTATTGAAATAGCTATTAGCAAGTTTTTTTTATTTTTTTTTAAAAAAAGACAAAGTAAACACATTTTGAATGAGTCAATCGGCTTTTATATATATATACATTTTTTTTAAAAAAAAGAGCACAATAAAAAAATGCATAAGCTAAAAAAAACTTCAAATTAAGGCCTTTTTTTTAAAAATATATAAGGCATTATTATCAGATTCTAATTAGCATGAAAGTAAGATGATCGAAAAAAATCGAGTTTTTTTTTACAGATTACTAGAGATCTTCATGCTTCATTGATTTCTCTTTCAACTCATGAGGATTGGCCTAACTAGCTAGTTTTATAGTAACGGAAAAAAAAACCCCCTCACGTTTTTAATATGATTAAACATCAGACATAAGTTATACTCAAAAATAGTTTAAATATATGGAAAATAGCATTAAGAGGAATTCAAATTGGTTACTTTACATTTTTCAGAAATAAAAAATCAAAAAAAAATAATTTGAAGTCTCTAAAATAAACTGCGGAAAATGGAAAAGCCGAGCCATGACATGCTTTGATGACTAAGCGCATTGTATGTTAAAAAAAAGGCATATATTTATGGGAAAGCAGGTTAGGGGTTTTCCGTTTTGGTTAAAGTTGTAACATGATAAATTGCAACAAATCTTTAAAGAAACTCAAAGGTTGCAAAAATAGTACTCATATTAAAAACATGTTTTACTTTCATAAAACTTTTTAAGCCTACGTGATAGCTTTTTTTTTTTTTTTAGTATGCATGCACTGTTAGGCATCGTGTTTTATCAAGCTCCTTGTTGGACCCAGAAAGACGGAATATGAATTCACATAGACTTGGTAGCAGTGTTATTATTGTTGGCTGCTACCTGGCTGCTACCTGGCTGCTGCTGCCTCCGCAGTCAGTGCCACCAGAAAAGTAGCGTTAGCAACAGTACCTGCAGAAGCCTTTCCGTCTTGAGCCCAAAAGAGACAAGAAACATTCCCTCTTTGGGTGGGGCCCTTAGTAAATTTATAAAGAAAAAAAAAAAACAAAAGAAGCCGCCCCAAAAAAAAAAAAAAATAAAGTCAACAGAAAGCAGTCAAGGTGCAAGAAATCAAAGATGGTATTAAATGGCAGGGATATTTCCAGATTAAGAAAATGGCTGGTTGTGGCTGGGCCAGAATAGAAGTGAATATCCAAGTTTTACAAGAAAAAAAGAAGTAAAAAAAAGGGTTATTATAAGAATTATCACAAAGAATCGTTCAAACGTAACAGTGTTTATGTGTTAAAGGGTCTTTTTGATACTGAGACTTGCCATCTTGGGCTATTATGCCTTGAGAGCTTGTATACTTTTACTGGAGGCCGGGAGATTTACTCTATGAGCTCTTTCGTAAGGGTTATCGTACATATTTGACGGCTTCTCCTTTCCCTATGGATATTGACAATGAGAGTAAAATAATATTAAAAAAATATAATAATATTTCTGGCTGGTACCACCAAATATATTAGAAAAAGGGCCTGTAGATAGCGAATTTTATGCTAATGAATGTACATTAGCGTCGATATAATATTAAACGTAGGCTTTGGAATTCAAAGAAAAAAAAACAGTATTACATCAATATCAACAAGTAAGACTTTTATTTGTTGATTTTTATTTTTAAGAAAGTAAACTTTCAAATTTTGATATCCTTTTTTTTTTTTTATTAATATTTTTATTTCTTGATAATTTTTATCCAAAATATCCAAAACACTTTATTTAAGGGCTCTTGAATTTTTTTTTTGAGATTTTCAAAGACTACTTGTCGCAGATTTGCAGTGTTGCAGTTAAAGTCAAAGTCAAAGTCACAGTAACATTACAACATTTTCAGAAACCCTTTTCTCCACCACCACTACCACCAAAAAAAAAAAAACTACTTCTTCATCACTACCACCACCACCACCACCACCAACCACAGCCAATCTAATATACTTCCCCACTGACAAGCTCATAGCACCGGGGCACCAGTAATCCAGCAATAGCACTCATTTTGTTTGCCAGATCTTTTAAATCAAGGTCTTTAGAAAAGAATATTGGTTTTATCTATATACTTAGACATTTAATATTTCCCAAAACACTCAGATACATACGCACCAGATATATACCCATAGATCTATCTTTCATCTGACCCCCTTTTTTGATCTAAACCTTTTTCATTAACTCAGTCGCTCTTTTAAATAAACATTAGTTTCTCATTTCTGACTTGCTCTCATGCTGATGTCTTGAGAAAACCATTTTAGATCATTTTTTTTTAAAAAAAAGTCATGGAAAACAAAGCCAACAACAGCAGTAGTAACCAAACAGCTAGAAACAGTGACAGCAACTGCAGCAGCTCTCGCTCTAGCAGTAGTTTCAACCTAACTGGAAATTCTTCAGGTATGGAATTATGAGTTCTGATTTTTCTCTTTTCGTTTTTATATCTACAATTGCATTTTTTAATATGAAACTGGCTTGTTTTCAATGTTACATGAAAGTTCTCCTCTTTTTTTTCTTTTTTTTTTCCTGCTCTCTTCCCCCTTTGGAAACACCATGTGCAACGAGAGGCTGATACTAGCCCCTGCTCTACCAAACATGATGCGAAAGACAACAGAAAGTTTTTAAACCTTTAAATTCTTTTGAATATCACACTCTCTTTTCACTTTTTTACTTTTTTACTTTTTTACTTTTTTACTTTTTTACTTATTTACTTATTTACTTATTTACTAACGTGTTTTAGGATTACAAGAAGGTATTAACTTTTCCAATATGAACGCCTATATGTACAAGAGCCCTCCTCAGAGCAAATTTGCAAATCCAAACCGCTCTCAAACAACTATCATAGATACAGATCCATCCTCTTCGTCTGAGGAAAATGACCCAAATGACCACACATATGAGGATCACAATAGTATCTATGAGGAATACGAATCTTCTCCTCTTATCGACACTTCCCATTCTTTTGGTCAGCTCCCAGCAACCAGTGCGTCAATTGTGGACACTACTCAAGACTTGGACAATAACACTCACACGCTAACCTACTTTGATCCCACTCAAAGCTCTCATTCGTCTCTTGAAAAAGTGATTAACAATCATAGATACCCTACCAATGGATCCGCAAAAATTACTTCTCCCAAACCTTTTCCCCAAGTTCAGCAGCCATACCAACAAAACAACAACCTCACATCGACTCCCACAGCTCCCCCACCATCTTCGATTCAATATATTACCTCTCCTGCCTCGGTCAGAACAACCGTACCCTCTCCAACTGCTCAAGACTTTCCGTTACCAATTTCCAACGCAATAGAGGAGCCAATGACACCGTCATTTCATTATCATTCACAGACCCCTCAGCAGTTTGCTCACTATTCTAACAATTACCGCTTATCGAAGGATAATCAGAACCCACGCTCTTCTCCTACATACACATCTTCTAAAACTTCCTCATCTACTAGCTATTCAGTCAGAGAAAATTCTTTTGGTGAACATTCCGCCAACTACCCTGCTTCCGAAACTTCTACTCCATCAATTCCAGTCAAAAGCACTGATCCTATCTCTCATATTTCGTCTCTTTCTATTTCGTCATTAAACTCGTCAGCATCTTTTAGTTTTGACAATGCACGTAATAGTCAACACACTGGTTCTAGCAGGCATCCTTCAACCCACTTAGCTCCAGCTTTTGCTGGTTCTGCGACTGATGTAATTCCGGCTACCCCGCAACTCCCACAAGACCAGGATGTTTCACGTAGCAGCTTAAATTTTCAAAGCACTACTCCCTCGGCCTCGGCCTCGGCCTCGGCCATCGCATCTGCATCATCCGCCTCTTCTTCCAAATCATCCTCATCCTCTTCGCATCATTGGTCTATGGGAAAGCAACAATCAAATAAGTCGACTGATGAAATATCAACAAAGTTGCTTGATGCAGCCCCAATATCTTCTTCAAGTGCTATTGACCTGTCTACTTCCTCTTTCACTACAGCTCCAAGCACTCCCATAGACCCCGTGCAAGCCCGCAAATCAAATCCCACGCATCCCATTAACAACAGCAATCCCATTCTTTCCCCTTCCGATCGTTCGCTCACTTTTTCTTCTTCTAACGAAAATAATAAGCGCCGAAGTGGTGGTCGAGCAAGATCAAAGACAATGAAGGGCGTGTTTTCAAACATGTTTAGCAGTATGCGCAGCGGTAGCAGTTCTAGTGACCAAAGTAGTAGCTCGTCTCGCCGCATCAGTGCTAGTTCTGATAAATCTGGTACCTTTAAAATCTCGCAACCATACGATATGAAGATTGTGACACATGTGGGATATGACAAGGATAACTCTGAATTTACAGGCATCCCCCAAGAATGGATCAAAATGCTTACCGATAGTGGCATTTCGAAAAAAGAAGCCGAGCAGCACCCTCAGGCAGTTCGAGATGTCATGGCTTTTCTTAACAACCAATCGGATGACCAGGAGCAAAACGTTTGGAAAAAGTTTGATAAGGCAAAAGTTGCAAATCCCACTCTCAAACTTGAGTCTGTCCAACCAACTCCAGGGACTACGACAGGCACGAGCACAGCTGCATCTTCTGTTCTTTCGTCTCCAGTACATACTTTAAATGGCTCTTCAGATTACTTTTCTGCACAAAGACAAGCTCCATCAGTTCCTAAAACACCAAGTAGCGGAAGCCACAATTCCCCGACTTTTGTTTCGAGTCCTTCGACAAATAACATCGCTACCCCTACAGTCCCCATAGGTACAGCAACAACCACTAATGGACATGAGTCGCGATCTCGTTCAAATAGCATCCTTGATGGGCTCAAAAAGGGCTCTGGAAGTTTCAAGGAGCGTGCACAATCACTCCGCAGAAAGCCAGAAAATCTCAAGGATGCTCTTATTTCTTCTCCACAACCGATACCCGAGCGAAAGTTTATCCCGACCCGGCCTGCACCAAGGCCTCCAGGAAGTCCCCAGTCCCCTGGGCCACAAGCAATTGGTTCAACCACGCCTTTTGCTGAAACCATTGATTCCAAGATTGAGGCCCAGCCGCCCCATTCGCCAATATCTGCGACAAACACGGCGGCTGCACTCGCTGCCATCACTTCGGCACCAAGTACACCGTCTTTTGGGCCCTCATCTGCAGCAATTGGTACAGCCACCACTACTGCAGGTGTAGTGATATCCCCAAGAGAAGCTACTGCTACGTCAACTACATTTTCCAACTCGTCTGCATCCACCGTCAGCATGCGCATTGATGTTGTCAAAGCGTCTGCTTTGACATCAACGTCTTCTGTTTCTACGCCTTCTAGCGTTATATCTCAAAAGAAGTCTTCAACAATCCAGACACCTTTAGCATCCACTACTGCTCCAGCATCACATCAGCCTCCTACGACAAACCATCAAACGCATCCCATATCGCCACCACCACGTCCACCACCTGCGCCTCCATTAGGTGTTCCATCTGTTCGTTCCAATTTTGATAAAAACAGAGATATAACAGCAGCTCAACGGCAGCAACAGCCAGGCGGTGGATTGGACCCTGCATTTTTCAGCCCTCTGCAACAACAGCATCTTAAACATGTGCCTTCTAATAACCAGATAAATGCTGGTGGTGCACGGATCCTACAACAACCACAGGTTGCACAGCAGTACCCTCAAGTGCAACCTGGATCTAGTCTACAAGGACCTCAGACGCAGCAACAGTTGCAAATGCGGCTTCAACAGCAGCACCAATGGCACATGCAGCAACAACAAGAGCTCATTCAACAACAAAATCGTCGTCTTGAGCTACAACAGCAACAGCAGCAGCAACAGGCTCAAGCACAGGCACAACAGGCTCAAGCACAAGCACCTCCTGTTGAGCTATCTAAATCTGAGCAGATGGCACAGCTTGCTGCAAACCAGAGTGCGGCAGCAAGTGCAAAAGAAGCAGCTATTACGCGACGCCGAGATGCACGGAGACGTAAGGATGCCGAAGTTATTGCTAAGCTTGCGCGTCTATGCAACCCCGACGATCCAACAGCTCTGTACAAGGATCTGCATAAGATTGGACAAGGTGGTACAGGTGGTGTTTACACAGCACACCATGTTAAGACAAACGAATGTGTTGCTATCAAACAGATGAATTTGGAAGAACAACCTAAGAAAGAACTTATTATTAATGAAATCATCGTCATGAAGGAAAGTTCTCACCGCAACATTGTCAACTTCATTGACTCTTATCTGCTTCATGGTGATCTGTGGGTTGTTATGGAGTACATGGAGGGTGGAAATCTTACCGATGTGGTTACATACAATGTCATGACAGAGGGACAGATTGGTGCGGTGTGTCGCGAGGTGTTGCAGGGACTTGTACATTTACATTCCAAGGGTGTAATTCACCGTGATATCAAGTCTGACAACATTCTCCTTTCTATGAGAGGTGACATTAAACTTACTGATTTTGGCTTTTGTGCACAACTTAATGAGTACAATGCGAAACGTACAACAATTGTGGGGACGCCTTATTGGATGGCTCCAGAAATGGTTCGCCGCACTGCATACGGTCCTAAGATTGATATTTGGAGTTTGGGTATCATGGCGATTGAGATGATTGAAGGTGAACCACCATACCTGAACGAAACACAGCATCGTGCACTTTATCTTATTGTGACCAATGGCACGCCTAAGCTCAAGGAGCCCGAAGCATTAACGGAGATTTTTACTGAGTTTTTGAACTGGGCCTTGCAAGTGGATGTTGATGAGCGTGCGACAGCTTCGCAATTATTGAAGCACGAATTCTTAAAGACTGCAGAGAGTGTGCGCAGTCTTGCGCCGCTGGTTCTCAACGCCCGGCATCAAAAGGAATTAGATAAGAGGAGCAACTATGCACCTGCACCTCAATCCAAAGATTAAAATTGTAAAAAAAAAAAAAAAACTAAAAGGATAGAATGGAGTTGAACTAAATAAGAAAAAAAAATCAACAAAAAGTAAGAATTTAAATGGATGGAAAATTTAGGAAAATTTAAAATTTTATTAAAAAAATTAAGGATAAAGAATGTAATTATATGTATTTTTTCATTGAATAAGAATTATGAATAGCTTCATGCTCATGGTGGATAAAAATATCTTTGTTTTTTTCAAATATTTTAAGAGCTAATCCATTCGTTTGAATTTTCCAAGTCTTTAAAAGCATTAAAACCACCTTTAAGGATTACAACTTGTGGACCTGAACCCTTAGACCTTTTATAATCTTCGAACCATCCCCACACACGTGTAGCTCTATTTCGTGAACTAGCACAGTGAATAACTAGAACCTCTTTATCTGCCTTTTCAAACAAGTCATATAGATCGTCAACACTATTGTTAATACTTTGAGCAGGAATGTTAAATGCACCTTTTATTTTCCCATCAACAAAATCATTTTTGCGCAGATCGATAATGGCAATACTATCAGGGGCTGTTTCAAGAGAGTCAACAAGAGCATGGGGTTCGATGTAGTCGCTTTCAGTAGGTTTAGATAATGACTCGGGGCTTGATTGAAGCCAGTTAGAAACTTCAGCTGCCATAATTTTTTTTTATAAAAGTTGATTGATGTAAAACTTTTTATTGGTCTCTCTCTCTCTCTCTCGAGGATTTGCTGGATATTTATGTTTTTTTTTCTTCCTAAATAGCCTCTTGAAATTTCTTCTTTAACACAATTTTACAATTACACAATAAAGGATAATAAATTATGCAATATGGTAAGGCGAGAACTTGGGGCTAGCCTCTAGGTCTTTTAAACGGATATGAGGACGAGTATCACATTTTTAAATCTAGATTTAGTGTGTGGTGTATCTGGGGCCTTCCAGCCCTTTCAATATATATTTATCACCATAATGACTTCTTATATCCAACAAAACTGATGTTTTAAAGAGGTGATTATTCAGCTACTGGAAATGAAACTTACTATCTGGCTGTATAAGTTTTTTTTTTCTTAACTATCATTGCTTTACGAAAAAGAAATTATTTTTTTTTCAATACTAAAATAAACAAATTCCAGAATTCCAATCTAGAAGAACTCCAGAACACGTGATGCTTCTGACGACAACAAATAAATCAGATTTTTTTTTGTTAACTTATTATTCTAGATTTATTATCTAGATCTAATCCAAAAGATTAAAAAAAAAAGTATGACAAAATCCCATAATCAAAGGAAAATTTTTTTCCTTTATTTTTTTGAAAAAACATATATAAAAAAGTAGTTTTCTGTGATGTAGTTTCTTTTATACTTATCTCCAGTTTTCATTACTATACTTTACCTACGTTTACCTCAACTAGCTATTATGAACCACAGCAATTCAAACCAAGCAGAATCTTCTTTTGAGTTCAATAAAGAATCTAGAACTTTATCTAATATTCATAATAATAATGATGATGAATTAAAAATAAAGATTTCTGATTCTGAATTAGAGAAAGGCAAAAATGAAAGCTTGGAAGAACAAAATAATGACACAAATAGCCTTCAACGGTTTGAAAACCATTCTGTGTTTAAAAGCTTAGGATTTTTAGATAGATTCTTATATATTTGGATATTTTTAGCCATGGCAGTGGGAATTATACTTGGTAATTTTGTTCCCAATATAAGTCATTCTCTTGAAAAAGGCCAGTTTGTTAGTGTGTCTATTCCTATAGGTGAGGCTCTTACTCTTTACTTTTTTTTATATATTCATCTAATCTAACAAACAAATAAAACAAAAAATTAAAGCAATCGGATTAATTGTAATGATATATCCTATTCTATGTAAAGTAGAATTTGAAGTTCTTCATCATGTTTTCGCTCAAAAACAAGTGTGGAAGCAACTGGGATTCAGTGTACTTGCTAACTGGATAATATGCCCATTTATTATGGTGAGTAAACTTCTTCGTTTTTTTTTTCATTTTAGTATACAAAAAACTAATTTTAATACAGCTTGGATTGGCTTGGGCATTTCTACCAGATAGAAGTGATCTTAGAGAAGGTCTTATTTTTGTGGGTCTTGCCCGGTGTATAGCAATGGTTTTAATTTGGAATGGATTATCAGGAGGTGATAGTCAATACTGTGCCATTTTAGTTTCCATCAACTCTATTCTTCAAATGATTTTGTATGCTCCTTACGCCATTTTTATGATTAAAATCATCAGTAAATCAAATACTGATGTGATACTTTCATATTCTCAAATTGCCAAAAGTGTGGGTGTTTTTTTGGGGATTCCCCTTGGTGGGGGTATTATAACTCGGTTCGGGTTGAGACCGTTAATTGGTGCTCACAAATATGATAATGTGCTTATGAGGTGGATGGGCTCACTTTCTTTAATTGGTCTTCTTTTTACCATTTTGATTCTTTTCGCATCTCAAGGCAAGCGTGTAGTTCAGCAAATTGTTTCGGTTCTCAGAGTGGCTGCCCCTATGGTGTGTTACTTTATTTTAGTTTTTTTTTCAACATTGGCTATTACTCTCAAACTTGGGTTTGGATATAAACTGTCAATAACTCAAAGCTTCACAGCATCAAGTAATAACTTTGAGTTGGCAATAGCTATTGCTGTCGCCACTTTTGGTCATAATAGTAACCAAGCCTTAGCTGCAACAGTGGGCCCTTTAATTGAAGTTCCAGTACTGTTAGCTTTTGTATATATTGTTAACTTTTTACACAACAAAATGAATTGGAAATGATTAAAACATTTAAAAAAATTAAAATAATAAATTAATAGACTATTAAATACTATATATTTTTTTTAATAAAAAACTAAAAAAAACCAAAAATATAGCACCAAAAATTTGCCTCGAGCCGGATTCGAACCGACGATCTCGTCATTACTAGTGACGCGCCTTACCAACTTGGCCATCAAGGCAGCTGATTCTGTTGAACAATAAATTAATTTTGAAATTATAAATTAAATCTATTTATCTGATTAGTAAGAAATTAATAATTTTTTTATTTTTAAAATAAAATCAGACATCTGTAGTTTTTTTTGTAGATTACTTTAAATCTATACTAAATGTTTAAATAATTGATACAGTTCAAAACAAAAAAAAAATTGTTAAACATATAATATTATCAATAATATAAAATAGAATGTTTTTTTTTAAAAAAATCAATTTTTTATTTATTTATTTCTTTATAATTTACACAAAAGCAAAAAGTTTACGATTAATAGAAAACCTGACAAACGTTAGGGTGGCAGCACTTGCCAGAAGCACTACACCAGTAAAAATGATTAACTTATTATATCCTTGCAATGAGCCTTTACCATCCACATAGGAGTCTTTTGCATTTGGCAAAAATGAAGAACCAATGACAGGACCCAGTAAAGATCCAAAAGAGCACGCCAAGAAAAATATACTAAGACGGGATTGTAAGCCGTGATACCCAAAAAGTTGACCAAGAGCTGCAGGGGCCAAACTGACTAAAGCACCACTTGTCATACCGTAACAAAAGCCGGCAGCGAACACAGTGGCTGTATTTCTGCTTGGTAGCCATAAGCATAAAACCACGAGACTTGAGCTCAGTACAGCCATGATGAGCATGTTGAGGCGACCAATTTTGTCTCCAATTATACCTGGTAGAATACGGCCGAGAACAGAGCCAGAGTTTGTAATGGTCATGATGTATGTTTTGATATTGGGGTCAATTTCAAGGATTTCAGAATATGTGACAATAAAAAATAAAGGGTTGAAAAGACCAAAGAATCCTATGAAATTCCCGAAAACGATGAGAGAGTAGTGGTAGTCTTTAAGAACAGACCAATCTACAAGAAATCCACTGTGAAAGACATTTTGTTGAAGCCAGTGTTTTTCTCTTACTGAACAAGTGCTGCTGCTATTTGAACTAAAATTATCTTGAGTTTCCATGTTTTCCACATGGTCTGAATGTGATTTAAAATCACCCTCATGTTGCAAATCTTCTACTTCTTCTTCTTGCAAGCGTATGCTATGTTCTTCATTGGACTCTGTGTATTCGACAAAAAAAGTTTCTTCCTCTTGTGTTTCTTCTTGTTGAATATTATTATTATTATTATTATTATTATTATTATTATTATTATTATTATTATTTTGGCCAATTAAGTGTTCCCTAGATTTTACAGCAAAAGTTGCAAAAGCCATTAAAGGAATGAATATAAATCCCATGATTCTATTTGCCCAATCGAAGCCAACCTGTTCAGTCAGATTGTATAAAGCAAGTGGCCAGAGAAGACCGCCGACTGAAGATCCTGAGGCAACAATTCCTATGGCTGTGGCTCTTTTTTTTTTAAACCACTGTTGAGGCATAGTATAAGACACAAATACGGAGATTGATGAACCCATACCAAAAAGAACGCCTTGAGCCAATGCATACTGCCAGACTTTACTACATAGAGATGTCATCATCAGAGAAAAGACTAGAATGAAGCCAGAGGTTGCAACTGCAACATGAGGTCCAACACGTTTAATAAAGATAGTAGATGGGATGGCAAAAAAATAAATGAGAAAAGGTTGGAGAGAGCCAATAAGAATGAGAACACTTTGTTTTGTAGTTGGGAAGACTTCAAGATAATGACGTTGGTATTGGCCGTAGATGCTAGCCATACCAAAGGAAGCTCCCATAAGAACAAAAGTACCAGCGACAACAAGCCAACCTCGTCCACCTTCTGGGAATTCTTCAGTATCTTTTTCTGCATTGTGGGTGTTTGTTGTTATTGTTGCTGCTGCGGTTGTAGCCGTGATAGTTTCGGCAAGTGGTATTTGAGGAAGCATATATCCGGGGGACTTTTCCGAGTGTGCATTGTTAGAATTTGTTGCAGAATTATCTGCATTTTGATTTAAATAAGTCTGGGGTATTGGATTATTTTGGGTGTCCATTTGGTAGTATTTATCGGCTAGTGAGTATTATTATTATTATTATTATTATTATTATTATAAAAGTTTAAGTGTGGGGGAAACAGAAAAAAAGAAAAAAAAAAGCGGGGAACGGTGATGATATTAATTTATAAAAAAAAAAGACAAATCAAATAAATAAATAAATAGATAAATGAATAAATAAAATAAAATAAAATAAAAAAAGAGACTTTTGAAGAGATTTTGAATGAAGATAATAATAATAGAAAATTCAAAAAAAAAAAAAAAAAAAAAAAAAAAACATTGACGAGGTTTCTCTTAGGTATTTATATATATGTCAACTTAAATCTGTATTTTATTATTATTATTTATTTATTTAACCAATGCCAATATATTCAATATCAAAATTTAATATGACATCTTTTTTTTTTTTTCCTTTTTCGAAGACTGCCAAAAAAAAAAAAAGTTCCCCCACACTTTTTTTTTTGACGCTCACCACACACAACAATTTTTTTATTATTATTAGTTGGCTCTCTCTCTCTCTCTCTCTCTCTCTCTCTCTCTCTCTCTCTCTCTCTCTCTCTCTCTCTCTATCGTCCTCTAAAACAAACAACCCATTGTGGTGACTCAGATAGAAAGAAAACAGATAGAAAGAAAGAAAGAAAGAAAGAAAGAAGAAAAAAAAAATAACTCTCGTTTGAAAGGATTACTACTAGGTGGTTTGTATTTGTCATCCAACTACCCAACTTTAAGTCATTTTTATCTTAATATATATATATATATATATATATATATACATAATAAGCGGCCGTTGAAAAACTTACTCCGAAGATTCTCCATTGTGATGGGAGTTTTATGAATATTTATATTGTCATGCCCCGCTCAGGATCACCGGGTCATTTTGATTAAAAATACAAATGAAAACAAACAAAAAAAAACTTAATCCTAAATACTTCTCCTTTTTTTTCATTTTTTCAATTGCAAAGTTGATTCAATCATTTTACCATCTTCAACGGCTTTTTGTTATTTCGTTATATTCTATATACATATATAGATGTATATAATAATACTCAGTTGTTAACTATTTTTATCTCGCGAGGACATAAATATTCAGCCGTACATTTCCTAATCTGTTAAGGTTCACTTTTCTTCTAGTTACCCGCCCGAACCATATATATATACACAGACACACAAATACAGCTTGCCTCGTAATACACGTCAACGTTCCGAATGCGTGTCCCCTTTTTGTGTGTGTGTATGTATGTAAAAGTGTGTACGTTTTTTTCAACCTAAACCACCACTCTTTTACAAATACCAACCACTACCACCACCACTCCCTCATCCACCATCAATTGGCTCCACCTGGTGTGTTTGAAGCCTTCCACATCATCATGAAACTCTTCAGTAGCCTTTCCCTGGTGACCCTCACGGCCATCAACTGCCTGGCCAGTTCCGTACTGGCCTTCACACCACCTGCCGTCTTTGAGAATCTGGTTCTTTCACGTAAACTCGACCTCTCCGGATCTTATGTTCGCGAAACAGTCGCTCTTAGCATCAAAAACACAGGCCCTAAAAGTGAATCTGTTTATTACTTTGCTTTTGAGCCCGAACACTTTGCCAACATTGCTGTCTTTGAAGCTCGCTTAAAGACTTCAGATGGCTCTCGCATAATACACGCTGTTCCAGCAGAGGAAACAAATGACAAGGAAAATGTCAATTATTATACCCTTACCTTCACTGAGCCTATTGAGCCTAAAGAAGAAGCATCCATTCAAATTGGCATTGCTTACATAAATTCTATCTTTCCATCTCCTGAGTTTGGTGAGCAATCCGACCCCCAGCTTCTTGCTTATGAAAACTCCCGCTTCACTGTCAGCGCTTATCCCTCGGTTCGCCAAAACCTTAAGATTCTTACCATTGGTCTAGGCCCTCAGGACATCAACTACGAGGATGCCCAGGAATCATTCTCAGGAAATTACACCCTTGAGCCTACTGTCAACGAAGGTGTCTTGGTCTATGGACCCTTTGACAATGTCCCACCCTACACTTCCAACAGCTTTATTGTCCAATATGAGTACCCCCGTGCTGTCGTTAAGACTGTTCAGCTCCAGCGTGATATTTGGATCTCCCACTGGGGCTCCACTGCCTCTTTTGTCGAGACTTACCAGTTTCATCACTTTGGTACCAAATTGAAGGAGGGCTTTTCGCGTCTTGGGTACATGCAGCGTGCTACCTCCTATAACCTCAATGTCGCTTCTTACAAGGGGATTGAAATCCATCTCCCTGAAAAAGCTCGCGAGCCTTTCTACACGGATCTCGTTGGTAATGTTTCTACCAGTAGTTTCTCTCAACAAGAAGATCACACATCTCTTGTCCTGAGACCTCGCTATCCTCTCTTTGGTGGCTGGAACTACAATTTCACCATTGGCTGGTCCGTCGATCTTGCCGAGTACGTCAAGACTCTTGGTCCCGATAAATACTTGCTGCGTGTTCCTCTTCTTGAGGGTCCCGGAGAGATGTCTTATGACGAGGTCATTGTCAACCTTATTCTTCCCGAAGGCGCTACCGATATTGATGTTGCCGCTCTTCAGCCTTTCCTCCCTGAAACAACTTACATCACCAAGAGTTACCTCGACTTTTCCGGGAGACCCACTGTCCAACTTGTTTACAAGAACCTCATTGACAGCTACAAGCGAACTTCTATTTTTGTTACATACACCTACACTACTCAGGCTGCTTACAAGAAGCCTTTGGCTGTTTCGGGTGTTTTTGCAGCTCTCTTTACTGCTATTTTGTTTTTGAGCAAAGTGGACATTAAGATTTCTTCTTACAACCCCAAAAAAACTAAATAAACAGTGGGAAGATAATAAAATAAAATAAAAAAAGGAGAAAGAGAGAGATTGATTAATAGAGGGGATGTTTGTAAATGATGTATAAAGAAAAAAAAATTGTGAATTGTATATTTTTCCTCTAAAAAAATTAAAAAATCAAAAAAAAAAAAAAATCCAAAGAAAAAAAAAGATCTAAGATTGCAAATGTACTTTTTGTATTTTAAAGTCCACGCCAGACTAGTTTTTCAACACATTCAAACTTGCGCTTACTATCACGCAAAATACCCAGTAGTTTCAACTCGGCCACACCTTGTAAAAACCATGCGAGCGAACGTCGCTCAAATGTTGGGTCATTTTCGTCTTGAGGCTGTTTGATTACAGACGAAAAGGCTGTATAATAATCATAAATGTTGATAAACAACGACGACTCACGATACAATGTATAGAGAATACACAAATGTGGGTCATATGCCATTGCTGAAGCCGACCATTCGTTTTCACTTGGCTGCTTGGTCAACGCCGTGGAAGAAGAAGAAGACTCCAATGACTCTTCTAACGATTTTGGTTCTTCAGCAGCTGTTACACCATTCTCAGTTTCGTCATTGTTCTCAAGCAAGCTCGGATCAACAATCTCATGGCCATTGGCCACACCGTTCTTCTGCTTCTTGGCCATGTACTCTTTAAACAAAACCTTTTGTCGTTCCCGGGCCGCAATAACTGCAATTTCACCCCAGTAGTGGTTGGGATTGGATAAAGCCATCTCGATAGCTGCACGGTATGTTGGCATAAACACATTATCCTGGAGCGATGGCGTATCAACAATAAACAATTCGTGCAAGAAAAACGCCTTGTAGGAGCCTCCGACAAACACTTCTTCTTCGAGGGTCTCGAAAAACATGTTGCAAATGCTACGAAACAGATTAACAAACGCAACAGCTTGATCCTGTGTCTGAGTGGACCCCGAGATGATAGAAAAGTTATTATCGAGCTGCAAAAATTGTCCAATTGTGGTATTATATTGCTCAAGTATTCGGTAGTATAAATCCATAAAGGGCTTGGGCATTGGGTTAATGTAGCATGGCCATAAATCATCTGGGCGGTCTGGCTTAAGCATGCGCAGAAGTTCTGATAAAGCTGGAACTGTGCTCTTGGGTAAATAGATCTTAAAGTTACGGTAAAACTTGGACTTTAGGATTTCACCCATAAGTGCTGCTGAGTATAGATCGATGCGGGAAACAGGAGCACGCGGAGTTGACGGGCTGGAATTTTTGTCAAAATAAACATATTGCTGCAGTGCCTCAAGAATATTGATACCATACAGTAGACGTGCCTTGTATTGCAAAAACGCGCTCACGCCGTGTCGAATATGTGGGAAAAGCTTTTCATCATCATCCAAAATGGACACCATTTCTTCAGGCAAATCCTTTAAGTTGTCTTCAATATATACCTTAAATGATGGCAACAGCCTCACAGCACTGTAATGGTATTTAGTGATGAAGGGGGTGTGGTATGAAAGTGTAGAGTCATGCGCCAGCAGCGATGGGATAATAGACAGAGGGTTGGAGTAAAAGTAAGTCATGTATGTGTACTTGAGCGAAGACACAAACGAGTCAATTGACTCGAGACTTTCGCGCTGGCGTCGCACAATGTTACGGAAAGCATTAGGGCCAATAAGCAAGTCTGTGGGGTCATTGGCCTCCAAAAGAGTATCAAGCATAACTTCCTCCAGGCACCCTGTCAAGTGTGCATTGATACTAATTCCGTGAATCAGTCGAATGCAAGAGCGTCGCATGTTTTCTTGGAAAACGTAAATAGATGTGGCCACCGACAAGACAAGTTTAAGAGGAATGCGAGTAATGTAAGACTGGAGCTGTTTAATTAAGCTCGTTAAAATGCCAATGTCAAATGAGTGTGCATCGTCAATCGAAATGACAATTCGCATATCATGCAGCGAGTTAAGACCTTCGTCCTTGCGTACTTTGGTGCGACACCATTCGGCTAAAATATCAAAATCGTAGCGTAGTCTTTTGTCGTAATGCAAGCCTTCTTCGGTATCATCTGTGCCGTTAACCTCTTCATTTTCTGTTAGATTTTTGATTAAAAAGGCAATGGCAGTTTTCAGATTGCACATGTCTTTGGAGCCTAGTGATGCAACGTAAACATGAGGAGTTTGGTGCAAAACTGCCTTCATCCGATCAAATAGTTTAATGTGATTTGCAATGTTGGAGCCTGGTAAAACAATTGCAGTGGATATTCTAGCATCTGGGTGACTAAAAACAAAAAACAAAAAATCAGGTATTAGATTCAAAGTCATGTGTAGTCCAAGGTTCCACTTACTCGTCCCAAGGTTCCAAAACAAAATCTTTGATTTCATTTACGGCGCGTTCGTTTGCAGTATGTAGAATTTCCTAAAATATTGTTAAAAAAATAAAAAAAAATTATATATATATTTTTCACACTGAAAAAAATAAAAATAAATAAATAAACATACCTGAACGCGCCTTTGATGACGATTCCACGATTGGTTATAATACTGCCACCTTGCTCGAATACTATCTACCGGCTCATTACCGCCCAGTAAGCTAACAAATGGTATTCCTAGTCCAGGGACGATCTTAGATTCGCGCTGAAGGTCATGGTAGTATTGTGTACTAGTGGACGAATGGAGGGGTTGTTTTGCATCGCGCTTAAGAAAGTAAAAAGACTGTGTATTTATAAGGAAAGACAAGGGAATGGTGTTAGCAGTTGTGTGTGTATATATAAATGAGATTTAGCTTTCCGTACCCTTTGGCTATCTTGGTCATGCTGGTTTAAACCCAGTGAGCTTGAGGAAGCCATTTTAAAGAAAGATCTGTGTGGGTTATATGGGAGTTTGGTTTTATTTTGGGCTATGGAAGGAAAAAAGGAGGTATATGTACAAAAGGGTCAACCAAAATAATAAAATCACAACAGCAACAGCAACAACAACAACAACAACAAATCTCCCCCAAAAAAGTATTACATTGCATAATTTGTTACAAACATATATTACATTACATTACATTAAAGTTTATCATCACGGTCATTTCGGTCATTAAAAATCTCCAAGTCAAATGGAAAGGAGCTGGGTAAGCCATTTTGCTTCAATCACAAGAAACAAACCTTTCACTCAATGCCCTCTTTTTCCTTCAGCTGCTCCAAGTTCGCTCGTCTTGTTTCCAGATCATACTGAACCTTTTTCATGCGGTTAACTGAGTGGAACAGCACCACCAGATACCGGTTCTGGTAGTTAAAGCCTGCAAGCTTGTTGTACGCGCTTTTGGCGTCTGAAATGTGATCGTACACTACAAATGCAGTGCCCTTGGTGTTTGATGCGTTCCCCACGCGTATTTGACTAAACCATGTTAGTTTCGAAACAATTGTAGTTAACAGATGGTAATAAAAACTTACCGGATACTACCAAACTGTCCAAAGAGATTATACAGATCATCTGAGGTGGCGTTGAATGGCAAATTCTTGACAAAAAGAATCTGATTTTCTTCTGAAATTTTTGGCCTCTAAACCTTATATTAGAATGATTAAACCACATAAAGATGAAAAAAAATAATCCAACATACATTGACTACTGACATGACAATATTTTCTAAAATTGTTATGATTTTGACTGATTGTGTTAATATTTCAAGTGCTTTACTTGAAAAATAAATAGTCTACCTATTTGTAAGTCTACATGAAAAAAAAACTTTTAAAAAATTACCCTACCTTAACTACATCAGATCCATATCATCTGCAAGATCATCGTAAACACCATCCCAACCTTCCCTGGTTTCAGTGCTTTGAGGTGTTGCAGAACTAGCCCGCGATGCTTGAAGAATTTCTTCCCATCGATGTCCGTTAGCATTGTAGCTTGGGCGCGAGTAAGATGTCGGCAAGTTGAACTGTCTACGGGCGCGTGGTGTAGATGCGTTGCTTGGCCTACCTTCTGCACTTCCCATGTTGTCATTATTATTGTCCGAATCATTCTCATGGCTGCTACTTAGGCTACTCCCATTCTCGCTACTAGGGGGTTGATATTCTGAAAACCCATCACGCGAAATGTCTCCTGGATCTCCAGAGCTGGAGTTGGGAAGTGACGATGTCCATACATGCGATGGTGAAGCGGTGACCGTTGTAGCTACTGCTGGTGTTGCGGAAACCCCAGCGGTACCAATACTCGAAGAAGAAACAGTAACAGCGCTGGCAGCAATACCAGCATTAACAGTAGAGTTGTCCATCTCCGAAGAAAACTGCTGGGCTGCCCTACTTATTGCTCCTTGTACTGCAGGTGACCCCGTACGCCGATTTTCCCCCGACAAGTTTCTGCTTGATCGTCCATTTTCATCTTGCTCATTTCGCTGGCGCCGACGCTGGCGTTGCTGCTTTTGGTAAAACTGGCGCTCCACACGGCGTCGCTCCTGTTGCTGCTGATGCTGTCGTTCCAGCTCAAGTTGCTCCTGATCAGTGTTTTTTTGGATAATGGCCGAGGGACTCATGGCTTCCTGGCAAAGCATAATCATAATATCGCGCGGAAGCTCTTGGAACTCCTCGGTTCGCACCACCTCACCCCAATGCCGCAAGCAGTATGCAGCTGCAGTCTTTTGTAAGTCTGACTCATTAGCGGTATATGATCGCCAGTAAACAATCACGGCATTGTTGCATGTAACGCTGTTTTTGGAAATATGCTCAAGGCAAAGTCTTCTCAAGCGCGGCAACTCATACAAATTTGCCAAGACTAGCAGCCCAGAAACGTCGTCTAGACTAAAGCCTTCCAGGGAATCGGAATACATAAACTCTACCAGTTTACGAACCCATTGTTCTGGCTCTGGAAGGTACATTTTACGTGAGTGGAACTCGCTCATTTGGTTTACCATGATCCGACGAAAATGTGGCCATCGAGTATATAGAACTAGCGAATGGACTCTGATAGGCCTTGATAATGTGAATATGGGAACGTTATCCTTGGTGGTTGTATTATTACCAACAGTGGAATTTCGCAACATACTGCTTGATTTGTGTAAAGGCTCAGGAGATGGCGGGAAGCTTTCATTACTGCTGCCAGTTGATTTAGTGCTATTATTATCTTGACCGATCGCATTATTGGGTGTAGGTAATTGACTGCTGGTAGTTTTATGGACAGATGAGGTCATGGAAAAGTCAACAGCAGAATCATTATCACCCATAACACCATCTATTGCCCTAAGAGAAGGAGCAGGTGAGTTTCTGTCAAGGAGTGAGTTATTTGGGAGGTGATCGTAGGTTGAAGCTGCTGTAGGAGTGGATACAGTTTGTGTCAACTGAATTTGCTGCTGTGGTTTGATATCTATATTAGAATCTATAGTATCATGGAAAAGTGGAGGACGTTCGTTACCTTGAACGGCAAACAGTTCAAAGTCTGTCAGGGTTCCTTCTCTAAACATTCTGAGAAAGTCATAGCTTAAAGTACCTTCAAACTCGTCCGGTTTTGTCTGAGCAACTGGATCTAGAAACCCAAAGTCACGCAGGTCCCAGTAAAACACATGGGTCATATGTTGATCATTGTCTTCTAGGTTTCCTGGGCGGCCTAAAACGATAAAGGCTGGTCCTCTCGAGAAAATGTTTGTCCAAATACAGTCTTGAAACACAAATGAGCTGTGTACAATTGAACGTTTTTTAAAGGTAGACAAGTCGATGGCGGTGATGCTGAGAGGATAGTTTGGCGTTGCTGGTCCTGGGAGAGAAACGTCTAAAATTGTGCCTTGGTAGCCTGGGGTATATGCATGATTGGCTGCTGAAGGCGTGGGGTATGAAAGAGCCATTGGATCATCGATAATGTTGATTGACCCAACAGCGTCAGTATCTAGATCGTACCAAACGACATCTATAGACCGGTTGATTTCTGGAGTGAGACCGCCAAAAGCCCATATTTTGCGGTTGCTAGCTGTGATTGTGTGGTCATAGCGCGCCACAAAGTCGCGTAAGATAACCCACTTTTCCGTTTCAATATCAAACCGGCAAAGCTGTGAAGTAACACCAAGAGTACCTGAATTATTAGAATCTTCATCTTGCTTGAATTGGCCTCCACTGATAAATATGGATTCACCATTTTCAGATAGACAGCAAGCATGCCGTAAAACGGGAATTGGCTTAGACTCGGTGGAATTATTATCTTCGTGATCAGAATCAAAGTCCAAGTCATTATCTTCTTCAGGCTCAAGATGAAGACGACGAAGAGATTGGGAAGGAGCTGACCACATGTTGGATACAACATCGTAATAAATAAGATCTTGGTTGATGATGGAACCAGAGCCATCTGCCCTATCGCGTTCGCCTCCAAAGAAGATGATAACGTCACCACGGGCCACAGCCGTATGTCCGTAGAGGTCTAAATGTGGGGGAAAAAACGGGAAGATTGAGTTAGATTTAATAAAGATCTTGAAAATAGACAAAAAAAAAAATAGAAAGCTGGATTTATAGTGTAAAATTGACGTACTCATTTTGTCTTCAAGAGATTTTGGGATTTTAGGGTTTGACCATGTGTTTGTATTGAGATCTAGTATATAAATATCAGAATAGGCTTTAGAGAGTTAGCATTGAAAACAAAAGGGTATAAAGAAATTTCCACATACTATCATCAGTGAATCTGTCAAAGCCACCAGAAACAATAATTTTATTACTATCGGTGATGGCGACTGCGGAATTGACGCGAACGTGGGGGGATTCGCCTGGTTAAAACAAAATCTGGGGTTAGTAGGGAAGAACAGGATGGACAACGCCGATAAAGGAATAGGACAATCGAAAGATAAAAAAAGAAACAAAATTAAATTTATACCTGATGATTCTCGAACAATAGGATATTCTTCTCTAAGAAGCTCTTTATAAAGCATGGGACGGATGTTTGACATTTTGAACGGTAAAAGAAGGGATCAACGGTTTAGAGCCCACCAACTTTAGTTCGGTGTAACTTAAGGCAAACAACACAAGCACAAAAAAGAATAAGCCGTTAAAGCGGCCAAAACAGGTATAAAAGCTTTATTGATAAAGCTGATTCTTTTTTTCCTAGATAAGTTATACAAAGCTTTTTTTGGGGATTTTTGGATGAGAAAAAAGAAGAAGAAGAAGAAGAAGAAGTAAAAGGCAATTTGATGGCGGAGAAGCGGCTTTTTTTACTCTACGTTGCTTCTTAGTTATGATCATGTGATGAACACGTGACATTTAATTTAACCTTTCATGAGTGTCGTTTTTTTTTAAAAGGACAAAAAAAAACTGCCTAATATCGCCAACATCTCCAACATCTCCAACTTTATCCCACAAGCTTCTGTTCTTTGTTTGACTTATCAACAGTATAAAATGAGCTCCAGTGCACCTAAAAAATTTGTTCATAATGGCAAGATTGTGGACTCTGTTCCATTTCAGATTCGAATGCAGCGGTTTTTCAAAAACCTGTACAGTGGACTGATACTATACTTTTGGACCCTCTTTGCAATCGATGCACGTCAGGCAGCACTTTCCGCCCCAAATCTTGACTCTTCCGGGTCTTCATCTGGATCTTCATCGTCTTCTTCATCTGACCAGAAGCGGCGGCTAGGAACTATTCACAACTCAAACAGCTGAATGTGGGAAATCTCGAGAAAAGCTTAAGAATTGGAGACATCCGCCGGATTACATCATCCAGCCGCGCCTATGCCAGTGCGACCCGACGCATTTTGAAGAGAGAAACTCCATCCTTTCTTTTCTTCCCCGCCACCACATTCCTCTTCTTATATATATAAATACTCTTAAAATATCCAATATTCTGTATAAATAGTTTGAAATAAACCCATTTTTAAAAGGATTCATTTTGAAAACATTAATTGCTTCTCTTTCTTAAAATGTCTTCTTCTGCCTTCACTATCAATGCCGTTGTTACCACTTTTGGTGGAAAGCTTTACAAGCTTACTCACACTTCTCCAACTCTAAAGGCCTCAATTGATGCCAACGTGTTTGTTCCTCCTCAAGCTGCCAACGAAAAGGTTCCTGTTCTTATTTATCTCTCCGGCCTGACATGTACCCCCCAGAATGCCTCCGAAAAGGGCTTTTTGCACGCGTGGGCCGCCCACTACGGTCTGGCCATTATCTTCCCAGACACATCGCCACGCGGCCTCGAACTTCCCGGCGAGCACGACTCATGGGACTTTGGTAGCGCTGCTGGGTTTTACGTCAACGCAACACAGGAGCCTTGGGCTGGTCACTACAAGATGTACGATTACATTACTGAGGAGCTACCGGAGCTGGTGTTTACTGACCCCGAGTTTGGCAGCAAGCTTGACGGGTCCCGGGTGTCACTCTCCGGTCACTCAATGGGTGGTCATGGTGCGCTTACTCTTTTCCTCAAGAACCCTGGCAAATACAAGTCTGTTTCTGCGTTTGCTCCCATTTCCAACCCCATCAATGCTCCATGGGGTGTTAAGGCCTTTACTGGATACTTTGGAGAGGATAACAAGGACCTGTGGAAACAACACGATGCCACTGAGCTCATTGGAAATTATTCTGGGCCCACTCCAGATATTTTGATTGATGTGGGAAAGGGTGACGGGTTTTACCAGCAAAAACAGCTGCTTCCTGAAAATCTTGTTGAAGCGTCCAAGGGCACTTCTTATGAGGGTAAAGTTAACCTTAGACTTCACGACGGGTATGACCACTCGTACTACTTTGTTTCGTCTTTTGCTAAGGATCACATTGAACATGCTGTCAAGTATCTCAGTGGCAAGTCAGTATTGTAGGGTGCGATTATAATATATTTAAATAAATATTTAGGGAAATGTTAAAATGTTAAAATTTTAAAATATTTAAAATATTTAAAATATTTAAAAAAAAAAAAACGGTTTTATTCCCAATATGGGATTATTTGTTTTTTTTTTTTATTTCTTTTGCCAGACCCAAATAAAAAATTTTTTACCCAAACCAAACCAAAAAAAGAAACCAAAACAACAAAAAAAAAGCCAACCAAACGCTAGGAACGTTGCTAAATAGTAATCTCAGCGTGATTGTTTGCAATGTCTATGGAACAGCCGACAGCTAGGGAGGAGCTGAAAGAGACCAATAAGTCCAAGGAATCAGAGAATGGTGAGGCACCGTCTCAAGTTGACGAGACCCCTAAGTCTAATGAGCCCGTTGTAAATGGTTCAAGCGATGAAAAGGACGTTTCAGAATTATTAGAGAAACGAGAGGTATGTTTTGCGGTGGCAAATTCAACCAGGGTTTCAAACTAACAAATGAATCTAGAATGAAAAGGTGGATTCTGTTGCTCCAGATGGATCTCTCCAGGAAGTTCAAGAAGTCACCAAAGTGCCTACGGGAATCCGCATCACACGGTCCCGGACTGGCAACTCGACACCTCGTAAGGATGAATACATTGAGTTGATTCAACAAGTGAGTTGATGCTTTTTGATAAGTTTTGAATGAACTTTTGCTAACTTCTTTTTGAGGAACCAAAACGACCAGCTAAGCGCCAAAAAGTAGCAGCCGAAAAAACTGCCAAAAAGCGTCAAACCAAAACGTCAACATCATCAACAACAACAACAACAACATCAACAGCCAATACAAAAAAGGAGGGATCCGGCACAACACCTGCCGGGTCAGCAAAAACAGCAGAAACAATTGCATCTGGAAATGACGCGCCTTCAAAAGCATCTGGAGTAACTCCGAAGCGTAAGATAACTGAAAAGACTGTTTCTACCCCTAAGCCCAAACCCAAAGGCTCTTCTTCTGCAACGTCTTTATCGGCATCAACTTCCAAAACATCACCCGGAATTTCAATCAAGAATGGAAAGCTAACATTTACCCTCAAGCCCATGAGCAACCCAGCAGTCGCCACCACTACCACCAACACCACCAACACTACCACCACAGCAGCAGCAACAACAACAACAACAACAACAACAGCAAAATCTGCTACTTCTTCTAAAACATCTAAATCTACGGCAACACCTGTGACCGGAATTAAAACAGTTAATAAACCCATGACTACATCAACAAACAAGAATTCCAAGACTCCTGTTGCCAACGGGGTCTCATCTAATACCAATGCAGCTGCAGCTGCAACCTTTGGATCTCCAATTACGGCTGCTGTTACAGGTGCAGCTACCACTGTGGCATCCTCCAATCCCGAGGAACCTAAGAAGGAAAAACGCAAACTTCTCTACGCAGTTAAGCCACCCCATTTCCGGCCGATTGAATCACATCTGCCTCCAAAGATTGTGTGGGCACGGTTGGCTGTACGCGACTTTATCATTCGCTTTGAAAAAATCGAGCACATTCCTGCGCGATACTTTCAAGCTCTCAATAATGCTGGAGGCGAGTGGGACGACCGCTTGTACAAGTCAATTGTTTTGATGCTGTTTAAGATTTTGTATTACGACTCGGTGCAAATTGTACCGTACAAGCTACAGCGTGATTACAAAAAGGCTGTCGAGAAAACGCAAAACAATTTACCCAAGATCTTTGCGCTGTTGGATGAGTTTTTGTATCAATCTGCGTTTAGTCCCTGTTTAATTACACCGGCTGAAGATCAGCAGCTGGGTGCAAATTCGGCGGCCGCAGATGGAGAAACAGAGACAGTTATGAATGCGCCGATTGATCCAGTTCCGAAGGAGACGCTGGGTAGTCCCGAGCTGGATCGAGAGTACCGGCATCTGGTGCTGCTTAGCAAGTTTATTATTTTGGCGAGTCAAACAGAGACAATTCGGTCCAGTGTTGCGAGCATTGGTGACGCGATGAAGTTGGCACAAAAGACCTTAAACTCAGACATTGAGAAGGCGGAAGCAACATTTGACCGGCAGTTGCAAAAGATCAAGGAGCAACGTAAGGATCTACGGCCAAATGTGGAGAACCATTCGGAAAAGCCTAAGAAGGTGCAGCTTGCAGAGCTTGCGCAAAAGGAAGCAGTTCTGCGTCAGACTCGCAATGCAAAGCAGTTTCGGGCACGGGAAACACATTTTTTCGCTCAGCGACGGTTTTTGACGCGAACGCAGCCGCTAGGAATGGACTACTTTGGCAACACGTATTGGCACTTTCAGCAAAAGTCGCGGGACATGACTGACTGGGGGTACTGGTTGATAGTGGAGCGGAGCTCGAGCGTGGCCCATTCTTTTGGGCTGCCGCAGTACTTGCCGAAACAAATGCGAGCTGAAGAGGAGGTTGAGGATACAGAGGGGAGTAAAAATGGAGCAGCGGTTACTGGAGTAGCAGCTCCAGGAGCAGTTGCACCAACGACAGGGTCTACAGGATCTGGGAACAAACGGAAAAGAGTGACAAGCAGCGGGGGGCAACTATATGATGAAGAAGTGTTTGGGAATGCGCACGGGCAGCTATATTACATGAAGCTGACGAAAAGGGAGATGGAGCAGCTGCTGAACTGGCTGGAGTACCAACGGCAAGTGCATCTGAAACCAACGACGCGAACCAAGAAGCTGCTTGCTCGGGACTCGAGCGCGGAAACGTCACAAGAGGGGCTTGTGCGGTATCTGAGGGCATTGCAACCATTTGCATTAGAGGACGAGGAAGAAAAGGAAGAGGAAAAGATTGATGACAAGGTTGATGAAAAGGTTGATGAAAAGGTTGATGAAAAGGTTGAGGAAAAGACTGATGAGAAGGTTGAGGAAAAGAAAGAATTTAAAGCAGAAGAAACTCCAATAAGTGAGGTGAAGGAAGAAGTAAAAGAAGAGAAAGACGTTGAGAGACAGATTGAAATGGTTGCTCAATTGGAAGAAGATACACCGATGGTTGACGTATTTTAAAAAAGAAAAAAAAAATTGAAATTTGAAATTTGAAAAATGAAAAATGAAAAATGAAAAATGAAAAAAAAAAATATGTAACCCTTGATATATATATATATTAGTATAATACACATAATTACCATTTACGCAAACTCCAAAGGATCCTTGTCAGTCTTGCTAATGGCAACCTCGCTAGGCCCATCATAGTCCTGCTTAAGTGCGTCTGTCAATTGTTTTTGCAAAACTGTGAGGAACCCGCGCTCTGTATTTGAGTGGCCACAGATGATTGCCGAGGTGCCAGTTTCTGTAAGATGAAGGAGTTCATGGTGACCTAGTTCACCGGTAAGATGGACGTCAGCTTTGATACCACGGAGAACAGAAGCTCCGGAGCCAGCACAAAGTGCGACTGAAGAAATAAGTTGAGAGTCAGAGGCTAGGGACGTAGCACGAGCGACTTGGACATGATCTAAGCCCAAATGCTTTTTAACACGGGTAACAAGTTCACCAAAAGTGATTGGGGTCTTGAGCTCTACACGACGACCCATACCTGCATCTTCGTGACCCTCGACGTTTTGGGATCCTGGAGGTGTACATACGGTACGTTGGGATTCATAGGCAGGGCCACCAGAAACGCCGTCGGCAAGCCAGTCGTTGACACCACCGGTGGCTGCATCTATGGCAGTATGAGGGCAGTAGACTGAAATTCCAGCTTGGACAAGTCGGACGAGAGAGAGATGTTGGGGGTCGTTTAGAGAGATTGCTTTGATTCCACGGAAGATGAAAGGGTCTGAAAGTTTAGATTAGAGGAGGGAAGGGAAAAAAAATAAATGAAATGAAATAAAATAAAATAAAATAAAATAAAAATCAAGAAGGGGAGCTACTTACGATATGCGACGATAAAAGAAACATTAGAGTCAATGGCTTCTGAAGCAACAGCTCTGGTTAGATCAATTGCAAGAAGGACTTTGATTTTTTCTGGGGTAGTAGTAATGGTTGATGTTTGGGGTGGACATTCGAGTAGCAAGCCAGTATTGTCCCAAGCATTTTCTGCAAGTTCCTTAGGGTAAAGTCTGGCGACTAAAGAGAAAAGAGATTAGAGAACAATGAATATAAAAAGAAGAAGAAGAAGAAGAAAAAAAAAAAAGAAGAAACGTACCAGTTGATTTAATAATATTGACAGCGCGCTGGGAAGCCATTGCTTTTGTTTTTTTTTTTATGGGAGGGGGAGATGTAGAGTAGATGGATGGTTAAGTAGCAATAATTTGATAAATAATTTTTAATTTTGATTTTGGTTGAGATGAAAAAAAAAAAAAAATTATTTTTTAAAAAAAAATAAAAAAAAATATATATATATGTTTTAAAAAATAAAATAAAAAAATACTCGGCAACGGGGAATTGAACCCCGGTCCCCCGCGTGCTATTAATGACAGGCGGAAATTCTAGCCACTAAACTATTGCCGATTTTAGTTGTGTTGTTAAAAATATAAATTTATGTTGTATATATAATACATGAAATAAATATTTTAACTTTTTTTTTTTTTTTTTTTTTTTTTTTTTTTTTTTTTGACACAAGACAATTGTTGGTGCTTATCGCACAACTCCTATTGCGGTATTACAAAAGGAAGCTGGTATTATGCCATATAGTATTAGGCTAAAATTTATGGTGGCACGAAAAGCTATTCGTTTACACCTAAATATTAGCAAAACTAATCCTATTAATGGTCATTTGTTAACATTGATTGAGAAATCTCCAATTGCAAAGCTAACCACGCTTTACATGTTGGCGAAAGATGATAGAGACTACATGATTAAAAAGGGTGAAAAACCAAAATGCAAGAGGGTTGAACCTCTTACACTGAAACAACAACAAAATCAGACAATTGGGATTTTGAAGAAACAAGCAATGGAAGAATGGCAAGAAATGTATTGGAACAGTAGTAAGGATCTGTGGTATCATAATATCACAGTGGAGTCGAAATGTACTGATAATCTTTCCAAAATGGTTACGGGAGTGATCATGAAGAAAGATAGTCGAAGGATCTTGAGTAATATTACTCAGTTTCGCACAGGCCATGGCAACTTTGGCGCATGGTTTAAAAAGTTTGGGATTGAAAAGGATAGTTACAACTGCAAATGTGGAGAGCTGGAAACAGTTCATCACATTTTAGTTGAGTGTCCTTTGCTTGAAGAGGAAAGAAAAGGACTCAAACGGATATCTCCAGAGATGGACATGTCGACTCTCTTAAACAGTTTAACTGGCTTACAAGAGATTGTAAGCTTTATCTCTGCTTGGAGGGATTAAGAAATACAAATACAGCGTTGATGAAGACAAGTGGAGATAAGTTGGGAAGGTTTGGTTATTTTTAACCCCCTGTTCCTCGTAAGCTGGCATCAGGACTTATTTTCGGGCTGTTGGAGATGCAATGTTGAAGGCAAAATTAAAAGTTTATTATGAAAATGAAAAGATATATAGTATGGACAAGAAGGATAGCGCAGATGCTGATGTTATATAGTTCTATAACCCTTGAAAAAAAACAAACAAACAAACAGACACAAGACATAACCCTTGAATAAAACCAAACAAACATTTTGACACAAGACAAAAAATTCATTAATTTATATTTTAAATTAATGTTAAATTTGTTTTATAACTATTAGTATAATAATAATTTTTTTTGTTTCTTTTTCAGAATATTCCATAGTTGAGATTTAACTTTTAATATTATTAATTTTTTTTTCTTTAATTGGAAGTTTGAATATTAAATAAAATAATTTCTATGGGGAAGTGAGTTCTTTTTTTTTCACATGTGTGAAATTATTTATTTTTTTTTCTTACTGATAAATATACAATAATGATAAAAGTTAAAATAGATTTATCATTTTTCTGCTGAAATATGTCACATTTTATTTTATTTTATTTTTATTTTTTTTTATAAGAAGCATTTAAATTTTGATTGTAGATACTTTTTTTTTTTTTATAAAAAAATTACGTCGTTTTCCTTTTCGGAAGTGTCTCAGATATTATCGTTTTTATTTTTTTTATTTTTTTTCTTTTTCTTTTTCACAATTTTTTTTTAATAACCTTTTTGAGTTTTATTTATCTATCTTATTTTAATAATAAACATTTTGTAAATATTACTTATTTCTTCTTTCTTTATTGAATTCTTTTTTTTTTTAGTTTTTCAGGGCTTTTTGTCTTGATTGATAGGTAGATAGATAGATAAATAGATAGATAGATGAAAAAAAAAAGCTGATTTTTGAAAAAAAAAGAAATAAAATAAAATAAAACTCCATTAAGCGTGGAGACCAATTCTTTGGATTATAGAAATGAAGTATTTATTTGGATATAATATTAGTTATCTATATTAAAGTAATTATTTATGTTGAAAATAAAGACCATCATATCTTTTTATATGACCATCAGTTTTTTTTAATTATTTATTTTATTTTTCACTGTTCTATGGAGCAACAACAAAAAAAAAAAAAAAAAAAAAAACCGATCTAACGGGGTTAGCCAAAGAATTTTTTTTTTTATTTTTTTATTTTTTTTATTTTTAACATATTAACTTAACATCAGTTGATCTTCTCATAAAAGTTAGTATAATATCAGGGCTTGTCATCTATCTAAAGATGTCTAATATCTATATCCACTTTGACCTAGTGTAATAATAATAATAATAATAATAATAATAATAATAATAATAATAATTTTATAAAATTGTTAATTTTTTTTTTAATTTTATTCAAACATCGTCATCTTTGGTTTCTTTTTTTTTTTTTTTTTTGATATCTAAGTACAAATACTAGAGATATTACCAAGCTCGGGAATTTGTTTCTTTTAGAAATAGTCTTTTTTTTTTCTGTATTTGTTGCCTATTATGTTAAGGTGGAGAAGAAGTAGAATCAAAGTATATATTTACCCAAATATATAGATTGAGAAAAAAGTTGGGATACATAAGCGGAGTTAGATATATATGAAAATTTATATTATAATAAAATAAAAAAAAATTGGATTTTATTCGAGACAATATTTATAAGTCTTATATAAAGATAATTTTTTTTTATATATTTATCAAAAGAAAGAGAGCGCCTTGAGAGGTTTTTTTTTTTTTGTTTTGTTTATAAGGGAAACTTTCAATATACAAGATAGAAATCGAGATAATTATTGACATAAATAATAATTTAAATAATATTTTCATAAAAAGTATGTTTGATTTCAAAGTTTTCATGTCAATTATCAATTATCCAAAATGATATGTTCTTTTAATTGTTTTTAACTTTTTTTCTTCTTTTATTCATTTCATTTCATTTTTTATTTTATTTTTTTTATTTTTTTTTATTTTTTTTATTTTTTTTATTTTAATTTGCAATGTTTGGGGGCAAGTGCATTTATTCCCGCCGGAGAAAAAAAAAAGGGCTTCTCATTTAATTTAATTTTAAGGAATCACCAACCATTTTGATTATTATTTTGAAGCTTTTGTAGAGTATGATGATGATGATGATGATGATGAATATATAGTTGTTGTTATTGTTAACATTGCTGGAAATGTTGTTGTTGTTGTTAATTATTATTTTTTTTTCATTTTTTGCCCCTGCAGGTTTCTGCACGGTAGCCATTAATTTATTAGGAAGAGTTTATTAAAGAATATTTTAACCATTTTTTTTTTATTTTTTGGATGAGAGAGAGAGAGAAGAATTGTGGATATTTGTATTCAAAAGGTATATATATATATATATCATTTGTCGTATTTTGATTGTAGTATTTCTATATTAGTATTTGTGGTAGTATTTTTTTTTATATAAGTATAGTTTGAATTAATAGTTAAAATTTAGTTAAGTATAGTGGATGGATGGCCATGAAATGTTGGAAAGAGAGAGTCTAGTCTTTTTAAAGAAATAAAAAATAAAAAATAAAAAAAAAGTACGAGCTTTAGAATTTTAACTAACATCATCATTATCATTAACTGCCCTCTGATTAACTATCGTCAATTTTTTTTTCATCCACATTATAAATATATATACAAAACTTTTTAAATATTGAAAATAAAAAGTAAAAAAAATAAAAATTACAGTTTCTCCACTGGGCTGTCAGACTTTTAAAACTTCTTTAAAAAGTTTCTTCTGCGGGTTGGCCATGTTTCAAGTCCCCTTTGCTACAATATATATATATATATATATATATATATATATATATATATATATAAAAGCTTAACTGCGGGAACTGAAAACCCACCAACAACCAGCACAGAAAAGAAAGAAAAGAGATAATTCTTTTTTAATTTTTTATTTTTTTAAAGTCACCGCACACTCGAGACAAGACAAACAGGGCACATGTCCATCAGCAGGCAGACCGGTGGCACGCACCCGCCCAAGCATGTTATAAAACTTTACGAGTAAGATAAACTTTTAATGGTTTTCAATTGCTTGATTCTGGAGGGTTTGTATCAATTTTTTTTTTTTTTTTTCATTTTACTTTTATTTTTATTTTTATTTTTATTTTTATTTTGTTCTAAGTAATGGGTATTTGTATATATTTGGTTAAGCCTGATCGAAGACTTTGCTTTTAGTTTATTCGGGGCATGTTCCGAGACCCGATAATATTCATATTTGATGACTTGTAAGTTAATTTGATTTAAATTTTTAAATCAATAAAATATCATCATTAAAGTCCTATAAAATAAATAACAACAACAACAACAAGAGGAACTCAGTTGGATTAGTTGTATAAAAAATTGGTAGGGTAAGGGCACGACGCAGGGGCATGTTTGCTTTTCCAGGCCGTGCGTGGCCTTTTTGAAGTTTTAGGTAGTGATTTTGAAGTTGAGTATTTGGGAAGAAAATAAAATAAATATTTAAAATAAATATTTAAAATAAATATTGGTAATAGACTAGTCGTTTCTTTTTTTTTTTTTTTTTTTTTTTTTTATAAAGAGAGAGGGGGAAAAAGGAGAGAAAGAAAGAGAAAAAGGGCATGGGATTTGGGTTAGGAATTGTATTGTTGTCATAACAACGCCTTACTTTTTTTTTTTTATTTTCTTTTTTCTTTTTTCTTTATATTATTTTTGAGGCACCTTCCAGGGGGAGAAAAAAAAATAAATAAATAAATTCTTCTCTACTCCTTCAACATTTCAACATTTTAAAACTTTTTTAAAAATCAACATTTTAATATTTTAATATTTTAAATTTTTTAACAATTAACATTTATGTTATTTCTTTCTTTTTCTATTTCTCTTCTTTCTCTAATTTTTTATTTATTTCTTTCTTTCTTTTTTTTATCTTAGAGAAATTCTTTTTAGCCAGCTTAAAAAAATAGTGTGATGTGAGTGTATGTCGAACACTAAAATTATTGGCAACAACATCAATCAACATCATCATCATCATCAAACACGCACTACACATTTTTTTTTTTTATTTAAGCACAAACACACCCTGGTCCTTAAGTGAGGCAGTGGTGATGGTAGCCCTGGCGTTTCGAAATAGTTTTATTTTTTTTTTTAGTAACAACAACAACATTAATTGTAATAGATAAGTAAATAATAAATAATTATTATTATTATATCATATATATATAGATTAAAACAAATATGAACTTTTTTTTTTTTTCTTCTACCATTGAACTTTCTCAAGCATTGAACTTCAATTCTTAAATTATACTTGCACTGTTTCTGGCAATTTTTTTTTTTTTTTTTCACAGCATAGATAGAAAAGAGAGAGAGAGAGAGAGAGAAAATAAAAAAAATAAAATAAAAATCAGCCACACGGTGCAGACCGAAAGTGGACAGACATGCATTCTGCACAAACGCACCCACACCGATTAAGCGTGGCGCGGGTTAGGGTCTTTTAAAGGGGAAAACGAGAGGGGAGAGTAGAAGGAAGGAAGAAATAAAGAATGAATGAATATATTAAGGAAGGTGTATGTTATATATATACTATTGATATAAAGATGAAAAAAAAAATTAGAAATTAATAATAATCAATGTTGATTAAATAAAGATATATATATATATATATAATTTAATAATAATTATAATACAATTTTATTCTTTTGATATCTAATATATATAACAAATAAAAATAAAAAAAATCTCTTTTATTTGTTTGTTGTTTGTTGTTGTTGCGTTTTTTTTTTTTTTTGAATAAGTGCATGTAAATTGTAATATATATATAATAAATTTTATATATATATATATATATATCATGTCAATAAACTTGTCAACAGTGCAAAATAAGCCCATAAGAATATTATTATAGCTTATTTTTATTAACATTAATTGTATATATAAAAACCAGCACTGTCCCTGCTTTTTTTTTTTTTTTTTGATTTTTAATTTTTAATAATTTTTTTTTTTTTTTACCCTCTCCCCTCCCCCTTTTTTTTTTTTTTTTTTTTTTTGTTTTTTTTTAAAAAAATAAATAAAAAATTCTTTCTTTCTTCCTTTTTTTTTTCTTTCTTATTGACTTTTCAATAATAAAATTTTTTTAAACATTTGTATTTGTTTTATAATACAGATATTTAATTATAATAATATAATATTTTAATAAATCTATTATTACTACCATCTAATTCAATATTATTATTATTTAATTATTATTATATATATAAACAAACTTATATATACCCCTTATTATCATCATCATCATCATCTTCAACACCATCTCTTTTAAAATCTCAATTATTTATTTGGTTTTGGAAGATTCATTAAAACATTCAACCTTATTTACACTATCTAACCAAAAAAAAAAAAAAAGAAGAAGAAGAAGAAGAAGAAGAAGAAGAAGAAAGATCTTGTGAAAATCTTTTTTTTTTTTTTTTTTTTTTTTCCCCAGTAAATCTTGTTTTATAATATCACCACATCCACAAACCAGTACATACACTAATAACTTCCTAATAAACAGCAATATAAACAAATATAATAAACACAAACAAAAACAAAAACAAAAACCCTCGTCTTAATATATATATATATATATATACCCCTAAATCCACACTACTCGTCAAAAAAACACTTTTTTTTTTTTTTTTTTATACCTACACACACACACACACACAAACACTTAAAAGTTATATACATATATGTATATACTCTTCCTCTTCCCACATAACCAGCCATGACCAACCGTTCCTCCGAGAGCGCCGGCCCGGGCCATGTCCCGCCGTTATACCCGGCACCCGGAGCCTATGCCCAGTATCCACAACATCAGCAACATCAACAACATCAACAACACCAACAACACCAACAACACCAACAACATCAACAACATCAACATCAACATCAACATCAGCAGCAGCTTCAACAACAGCTTCAACAACAACAACAGCAACAGCAACAGCAACAGCAGCAACAACAACAACAGCTTCAGCTTCAACAACAACAACAACAACAAATTTTACTTCAACAGCAACAACAACAACAACAACAACAGCTGCAACAACTCCACCAACAACAACAACATATGCAACAACTTCATAACTCATCATATCCACCTGGCCCTTCGTCACAACCTCCAGTAGCTTCATCTTCCTCTTCTTCGGCAGACTTGGCTGTGGTGGCTTCGTCGTCATCTTCCTCATCTTCTGCTGCTGCTGCCGCCGCTGCTGCTGCTGCTGCCGCTAAAAAAGCAAAAACAAAGTACCCGAAAGTCTTTCAATGTCAGGGTTACGGTGACTGTAAAATGGCCTTTAGTAGGTCTGAGCACCTCGCACGCCATATTCGAAAACACACGGGTGAGCGGCCTTTTAGGTGCCATTGCAACCGATACTTTTCTCGTCTCGACAATTTACGCCAGCATATTCAAACAGTCCATGCAAATGAACAACACATTCTTAATGCAACTCCGCCTTCTCCTCTACCTCATTCAAATAGAGTACCGGCTCCTCCTTCTGGTTCATCTTCGGCCCCCCTTCCACCTGTACCTCCATCGGTACCTACTGGGACCCAGCAACAACAACCCCCACAACAACAGCAGCAACAACCATTACAAGCTGTTCCTACGGCATATCCAAATTATGCATACGATGCAAACGCTGCTCAATATTATCAACAACCCCTGGAATTTCAACAGCAACAACAACAACAACAACAACAACAAATTTCTTTTCAAAATCACCAACCACCATTACCTCCTCTTCCAGGAGATTCACAGCAACCATCCCCATCTCCTTCTGTAATTTATACCAACCATCCAAATAACACAAGCCAAGGTATCATTATTGAGCATAATCCTACAAACCCTGATGGATCGTCTCAACAACAATTACCTCCTCCATCTCCAGCGACTCATAATTTCCAACCAAACTCTTTCAAACCTAAAAACAGACCTCATCCTATTGCTTTGAATTTGGACCGTCCTAATGCAACTAGTTCACCACCATTATCGCCCATGAATGCCATGATGGGTGGTTCTTCAAATGGTGCTCTTTCAGCTGCCATTGCTCAACAACAACAACAACAACAACAGCAGCAAACATTCCAACCTATACCACAACAAGTGGCCTTTTCACCAACATACGTGTCCTCGGACCATATGGTGGATGGACCTACACCTTCCCTAGGAAGTTTTAATGACTCTAATGCTTCAAACTTAAATTATGCTAATAGCAGTAACAATAATAACAATAACAATAGCATTCCAAATACACCATCTACGTTTAACCGCTCATCGTATCCACCACTCAATTCTACAACAAGCTCAAGCTCCACTGTGTTTGGCGGTGGAGGTGCTGGCGGCGCTGGTAGCATTAACACCACACCTCTACCATATAGCACCAGTAGTAGCAACCGCAATACTCCTTCTATTGGACCGTTTGATAGCCTACCTGGATCACGCTCATCATATCCACAATCTCAAGCTTACCCCCCGCTGCCCCCTCTACCAACAACCCCAACTGGGTTCCCCCCGAATCACTCTCAACAACAACAACAACACTCAGTCCCTTTAACCCCCAGCAGCCAGCACCATTTGTTTTCATCCCCTTCGCTGGACATGGGCAGCAGCAGCAATGGCCAGCGGTCTTTTTCTACGTCGTCGTCCCAACACCAGTCGTCCAATGTGACAACCCCGCTGACTGGATCATCTTCTACCCGTAGTTCTTGGCTTTCTTCAGTTCTGTGCGATGTCCCGCCAACTGGCAATAGTGAGGAGCGGCCCCGCACATGGGGCCCATCCAACTCGACTTCGCTGTCGTCCAATAATATGACTCGGACACGGCTTTCGTCGAGCGACGAGATGCGTGGTGGCACCTGCGACCGCAGCTCGATGCCGCTTGTACGCATTTCGGAGGATGTGCACATGACTGGAGATGGAGACGGCGACACACCAATGTCGGGATCTGATTTTAACGGGTATTATGGCAGCAATGGAAATAACAGCAGCAGAAGCAGCAGAAGCAGCAGCAGCAGCATGGGTACGCGTCTTCCATCTTTTTCATCTTTGCTGAATAGCCAAGAACATACTCTGCCTCCATTACCATCTAAGCAACCACAACGATTTGACTCTCACAATTTACCCATGGCTGATACAAGACCTCCGGCTATTCCTCCTGCAGGAGCTGGAGTAGGGTCAACTACGTCGTTGTCTTCTTCGGCTACTGTCAATGGTGGTGGTGGTGGTGGTGGTGGTAGTAGTAGTAGTACTAAGCACAGTAAGCCTGGTCGCAAGATGCTTTCGAAGCCATTACCACCGTTACCATTTGAAAAAACCAATACTAGCAGTAGTAGTTTGGGGACGATTATGGATGGAGGAATTACTGGAGGTGGTCATAATCATAGTCATCATCATGGTGGACATTATCATGGGACTAGTTTTCATGAGGCTCAACCCATGTCTATATTTTCGTCTTCGTCAACGTTATCTTCGGCATCTGCGTCGCTTTCCAAGTCTTCAAGAATGGAAAATGCGCTGCCACCGTTGCCTCCTTCTTCTTCTTCTTCTTCTTCATCTTCATCTTCAAACAATAGGTCTCAACAACAGCAAGAGAAAGAAGAACAAGAACAAGAACAATCTCAACAGCAACAACGAAGTAAAACTGGGATTGATGTGTTGTTACAAGCTGCTGGTGTATGAATGAATGAAATTTAAAAAAAAAAACAAAAAAAAAGCAAAGAAAAAAGACTTTGAAAGGCTTGTTTTTTTTATATTATTATTATGAAACGCTTTTGTGTATTTTTATTATTATTATTTTTTTTTATTTTTTATTATTATTTTATTATTATTTTTATTATCATCATTATAATGATTTTTATAATAAAAAAATCTATTATTGATTATATTCACCCCTTTTATTTTTATTTTTTTTATTTTTATTTTTATTTTTTTTTTCCTGGACATGTTTGAGACATTAAGGAACGTACCGCTGGTAAGGGGAGAGAGAAAAAAAAAACAAAAATCACACAAGGCTTTTATTTTTTATTTTTTATTTTTTATTTAAATTTTGACTTGTTTCTGCCCCTTTGCATGTGGCTGGTTCCTTAAAAGAAAAAAATAAAAAAAAAATTCTAAGGCACCGTCATTTTTTTTTATAGTAAAAAAAAAAAGAAACAAAAAAAAAAAAAAAAAAAAAACCTGATTTTTTTTTTATTTTTATTTATATTTTTTTATTATTTTTTCTTGAAATACCCAAATTTAAAAAAGAAACTTTTCAGTTTTTAAAATCTGAAACGTCCATTAAATAAAGGAGCAACAACAATGAAGATAAATTATAAATGATTTTAATTTTTTTTCAATTTTTTTTTTCAATTTCTAACAACAATCTAACAATAATGTCAAATCTCTCCTTTAATTAAATTAACCCAAAATTATCATCATCATCATCATCATCATTATCAAACTAAACTTAAGAAAACGCCCCAGCACGATCCATTTTGCGCGCATGTCCTGATTTCCGATTATGGTTGCCAGTCCGTGCCTTGTTTTTCTCCTTGCGAGCTTGCTCACGACGTACCTGTTCCGGAGTCTTGTTACTGTTACTGCTGCTTGCTGCTCCTCCACCTTGACCTTGACCATTTTGTTTCCGCAACGAAGATTGCTGCTGCTGCTGCTGCTGCTGCTGCTGTCTTGATTTTGATCTTTGCCCATTTTTACTTCCACCTTCTCCATCTTCTCCATCTTCTTCTCCCCCATCTTCCTCATACTTGGTGTTGCGTGCCCGATATGAACTCGGAGCTATCGTCAGTGCATTACCCTTAAACATATACCTTTCTGCAAGCATCTCCTTACGCTTCGGAAGTCGTTCAAGCATCCGCGCCCATCCTTCAATTTGCTCATTCGACCATCCAGTCGCTGACCGAAGTTCGGCCCGCGCACGCGTCCTCCGTGCTGAAACTGAAAATTCACCAGGCCCTCGTTCATACCGTTCCCATAAAATCTTTTCTACAGCATCAGTTGATATGTTTTTGGAATCTGGTGCCGATGAAGATCCCTCTTCACTCTCAGTCTTCTCCGTCTTCTTTTTCATATTCTCTTCCTTTTCTGAAACCTCATCCTTGGCTTTAGACACCTGCTTATCTTTATGTTTGTTGCGCCGACTAGCCACAATCTGGGCACTGGCTCCATCATCTCCTGCTACAGGTTCTACAGCACGTGCACTGTTCCCATTAGCTGGTCCTGCTGATGTTTCCTCTGCATCATCATAAGTATCGTCGTGCTCGTCCTCATCTGCTTGATAAATTCGCAGCAGGGTTGACTCTAGTGTAGAGGTATCTGCGCGGCCCATTTGGAATTCCTTTTTGCCGAAAATCAGATTCTTTTTTTCTGCCTTTTGGGTCGCAAGCTTGGCCAAATCGTCTTTAAACACGTTGCGAGATTTGGATTGACTAGCTACAGGAGCTGTAGGAGCTGTAGGAATCGTTTGTAATTGAGAAGAACTTGTAGTAGATACCTGAGGTTGAGATAAAGTTGAATCAAGTTGAGCTGCCAATTGATCAAGTTCGTCTGGGGTTTCTAGTAAATAAGCAGTTGTTTCTTCTGCCGAACCATTATTTTTGCGCAACACTTGTAAAACAGCAGCTTCTGAGAGTTGTGGGAACAAATCGCGGATCCCTTCGATTGCTTCTCTTTCTTGTTTTGTAGGAGCCGTATTACTTGAATTTTGTGAATTTTGTGAACTCTGGGAACTCTGGGAACTCTGGGAACTCTGGGAACTCTGGGAACTCTGGGAACTCTGGGAACTCTGGGAATTCTGGGCATTCTGGGCATTGTGTCCACCACGCTTTTTATTCACAGATTTGCCCTTGTCTAATGCTGGGGAGTGCTCCTTGGGGAGCCGTAGACGTGCAGTTTCAAGAGTTACTGTAAGGGAGGGGACACCAACAAGCCCTGCAAAGTTTGTGTGACTAAGCATTGCGGCCAGTAGATGGTAGTGTTGGCCTGAAGAAGCCTTATTGATGACATCTGTGAGGACTCTAATTTTAGCATTTGAGTCTAGGACAGAGAGTGGTAAGAGCAGGGAAGCAGCTGCAGTTTCAATTATTGCACGTTTAGTTTCATCCTTTTGTGAATCAGAATATAAGTTTTCCAAGGCGAAAAACCACTTTGCTGAGACCCAGTCTTTAGCCAGTAATGGAGATGCAGGTAAGATTGCTGTGGCCAGGAGCCGAGCATCAAGGCTAGTTGGCGGGTCTGCAAGAAAAGCAGCAGTCAGAGAGTTAACAAAGGGTCTTCCACCACGTATGGTATAAAGTGTTTTTAAGGACTTGCGCACAAGAGATAGGTTAGAGGGTCCATAAGTGCGTATAAACGCAAGTAGTGCAGGGTATTCCAAAGCCTCGAGGAAGACTAGTTTTGTAGGATCATCGAGGGGGTGTGCTACTAGTAATGCGAGAACAGCTGAGCGCAATTGGGCATCAGATTCAGAAAGTTTTTCAAGGGCAGTTGCATGAGATTCGAGGGTTGCAATTACAGCAGCTGACTGGACAAGGTATGATTCAAGAAAGGTGCGGAGTGCTGGGGATGGGGTAAGTAGGGTGCGGTATTTTGTAAGAATAAGAAGCCAAGTGTGGACAAGATTATTGTATAGATCTACACCTGTTTGGAGGATTTGTGTGCGGATTTCGCTTGAAGGGTATGTAGTGATGTAGGGCAGATCAGGTTTTGTCATTGTGGGTATTTTTTTTTTTTTTTTTTTTTAAAGGATGGTTTGTGTATTGGATAGGTTTTTTGGGTGGGATGGGTTTTAAATATATATATATGGGAATGAGGCTTGTGAGTCAAGACTACTCATCGGCCGGGTAATTTCAAATTTTTTATTTTTTTTATTTTTTTATTTGCAATACCCCTGAAAAATAAAAAAAAGAAATCGATAATTAAATTATTATTTTTTTTTTGTGAGGGCTAAGTTTGAAGTGTATATATTTATTTTTGTTGTTTGTTGTTATTATTATTATGAGATGCCACAACTTCCACAAACCACCACCCAACACAGCCAACTTTTTTTTTTTTGTTTGTTTAATTTTTTTTATTTATTTTTAGGTGAAGCCAATTATTCTCTTCTTCGCACTGCCACCAAATTTTTTTTTTTTTTTTCTTTTTCTTCATCGATCGATAAATTTTTATATCAATATATATATATATATATATATATATATATATAAACATTGCAAAAACACACCTTCTTTAGTGATTTGATTTCTTTCTAGTTACAACCAGAAAAATCTCTCTAGAACAAAAAAAAAAAAACAAAACAAAGACTTGAAGAATGGGTGACTTGCCTGTAAGTAGTAGTGGTGACGTGTTGAATATTGATATTATTACTTATATTTGATACTAACAAAAACAAAATATTTATTGTAGGCTTTCCCGCTCCACGATGATATGAAACGATATCAACAGCAGCAGCAGCAACAGCAGCAACAACAGCAACAACCATATTATCAACCACAACAACAACAACTGGCTCCACAGCCTACAGGTTATGGAGGATACCAGCAACAACCTCAACAAGCAATGGCTCCACAGCCAACGGGGTATGGAGGATACCAACAACAACAACCTCAACAAGCAATGGCTCCGCAACCAACAGGATATGGAGGATACCAACAGCAGCAACCACAGCAGCAGCAGCAGCAGCAGCAACAGCAACAACAACCATATGGGTATGGATATGTGAGTCCACAACCCCCTCCACAGCAATCATACTATGGGCCTCCTGTTCAACAACAGCAGATGCAGCCTCAACAGATGCAGATGCAGCCACAACAACAACAGCAACCTGGGTTCCCTGGGATGGGCTACAATTCAATGGGTGGAGGTAATGCGCAATATGGACAGATTCAGCGGCCATTGACTGCGGGGCCAACGCGAAGCAATAGCATGAGCAATAGTGAGAAGCTACGGAAGATTTTCAATGGTGTGGATAAGGATAAGAATGGGAGACTGACGGAGGATGAATTACAAAGCGCATTGATCAATGGCGACTACACCAAATTTAATGCAGACACTGTGCGGCTGATGGTGAAGATGTTTGATCGAGACCATGATAATGCGATTGATTTTCAAGAATTTGATTATCTTTGGCGGTATCTTGCAGAATGGCGGAAGATTTTTGCACGGTTTGATACGGACAAGAGTGACACGATATCATTTTCTGAGTATGAGACGGCGTTACAGGAGTTTGGGTATACGCTAAGTCCGCGGTTCATTGAGAATCTATTTCGTCAGTATGCACATGTTAATAAGAGCCGGCAGAGTGTGATGTCGTTTGATATGTTTGTGCAATCGTGTATTAACCTAAAGCGGATGACTGAGGTTTTTAGGGTACGGGATGTGTCACGGACCGGGATGATTACCTTGTCATTTGAGGAGTTTTTGATTGCTGTAATGGAGTTGCGGTAAGTAATTCGGTAGATAAGTCGGTAGGTAGATAGATAGATGTGTATACTCGGTAGAAAATATCGGTAGATGGTTAGACTAATGGGGTTAATATAACAAGAGTTAAATGTATAATGTTTTTTTGGATAGATGTATAAATAAATAAATATAAATAAATAACTTTTTTTTTTAAAAAAAAAAGGTTGGTTACCTTGTATGTTAATGTTAATTTAATTAATAATTTGATTTGGAAGCAACGTGATTTGTCTGTCATTGAGGGTTTCCGACGGGAAGTCAACCTGTGTGTGAGTGTGTGTGTGGGGGGTTTTGCGGTTACATTTCCTTTTGGTACTAATACCTTTTTTTTTTTTGGTAAATAATGAGTTAAAGATTTAAATTTATTTATAGTTATAGTTAAAGTTACAAAAAAAAAACTAGTTACATCTTCAGGGGTACATGGGCATTTTAATCAATCAATTCTGAGACTTTTTTTTTTTTAATTTATTTAATTTATTTAAATTTTTTTTTTTACGTGTGGTAAAGAATAAGTGAAAATGTATATATAATACCCTGAGAACTACTGTGTGGGGTGAATGTATATATATATATATATATAAGAAAATTTAATAATTAATTAGATTAAAAAAAAAATCATTGATGAAATTATTACTAGAAAAGGAAATTTAATTGTAATTTTTTTTTAAAGTAAAAAAAAAAAAGAAAGAAAGAAAAAAAGAATAAAAAAAAAGAAGATATATTAATGATTTGTTTTTCTTTTTTTTTCTATTTTTGTTTTATATAAGAAATTATTATTATAAGAAGAAAGATTTGTAAGATGGGAATATTAAAAACGGGTAAGAAAAAAAAAAAAAAAAAAAAGGAAGGAAAGGAAGTGCCTCAAAAAAAAAAAAAAAAAGAATAAAAAAAAAATGGAAACCACGGAGTTTCCTATTTAAGAAATACTCGGAGAATCGGCCTTCAAGAAGTGTGCCGAGAGTGGGCGCTCCGAGGCGGTGTCTGACTTGTAAGGTCCGTCCGTTTATTTCAAAAGGTGGGGGTGTGTGAGAGTGTATGATAGAGTAAATAATAAGTGGGTGAGTGAGTAAGTGGGTGAGCGAGTGAGTTTAAGAGCAAGAATGAGCGGTATTAGAGGGGAGGTTCCGAGTGAAAGAAAGAAAGAGCGAGAATTATTAATTATTATGAAAATATAATAAAATTAAAAAAAAAAAAAAAAAAAAAAAAATTAAAAGCAACCAGAGCCGATCTCGTGGGTGCGTTTATTCAGGGCCAAATGGACGGAAGTAATTATTATTATTATTATTTTTTTTTTTAAATTTTCTTTTTTTTTTAAAAGTAAGGAAGGGAAGCAAAGTACCCGGACAGACCGGTGTTGTGATCCGGGGCGCAGCAACGTCAGCAACGTCAATACCGTCAATAGTGTCAGCAGTTATTGATATTGATATTGTTATTGTTATTATTGTTATGGTTATTATTATTGTTGTAGTTGGTAATTGGTAAGTACCTGAGTGTGTAAGTAGTAGAAAAAAAAAATTTAAAGGAGATGCGCTGTTTTTATTTTTAATTTTTTTTTTTTTTTATTTTTGTGCGCCAGTAGAACAGATGGATGTGATTATTGGCAAAGGACGGCTGAGAGAGTTTTATTATAACTATATATAACTATATATATATATATTTGTGTTTGTGTGTATATGTATGTGTGGGGGATACTTGACATTGACATTGACAGGTTGTAATTGCGTAAGTATTTTAATTTGGTTAATGTTTTTTATTTATTTATATATTTAACACTAAATTGATGTTTAGTTAAATTAACCAAATCTTTTCTTTTTTTTTTTTTCTTTCTCTCTCTTTTTTTTTTTTTTTTTTTTATTAATTGAAATGATGATTTTTGAGATTTTTGAGATTTATATATTTAAAAAACTTTTTCAAAACAAAAAAAAATGAGAATTTTTAATTTTTTTTTTTTTTTTTTTGAAAACTACAATGGCAGATCGAAAAAAAAAAGAACCTCATTAGATTGTGAAAATGAAAAAACAAATACAAATAAAATGAATATTTTTGACAAAAGACCATTTCTTTTTTTTGATTTTTCAAGAGATAACAAAATAACATATCTTTTACTACTACAATATCTACAAAAAAACTTTTTTATTTATTTATTTATTTAATAAAACCATCTATATATATATTATATCAACAATAGTAAAAGTAAAAGTAAAAGTTTTTAAGGTCTTGGCAATTTCTTTTTTTTTTTTTTTATCTCAAAAAATTTTTTATTTTATTTTAAATTTCCTCGGGTTGCCGACTAAATCAATTGATTAAAGAAAAAAAAAGAAAAAGAAACAATTATATAAAATTGTAAAAAAAATATATATATATATATAGTAGAAAATAAAAGAAAAAAAAACTACAAAACTTTTAACTGATAAAAATTAAGTTAAATTAAATTAAGTTAAAATAATTGTAGTAAATTAATAAAATGTCCCCACAAATCTCCAAAGTTTGTTTTATCTATCAATCAATCAATCTCTATCTATCTATATATATATATTCTACTACCAATACTTCTACAAGTAAAAAAAAAAACGGTTTTTTTGTGTGCGGAAGTCTTAAGCCGTTTGTTTGATTGATTTTAAAAGAAAAAAATTGAACGAAAATAAAAAAATAAAAAAAATAAAAAAAATAAAAATTCCTTCCTTTTGACCATCAAAAACCTTTTTTTTTCTTCCCTTTTTTTCCCCCACCCCTCTCTTTAAATTGTTGTTGTTGTTGTTGTTGTTGTAGTTATTGACGGATGTGTTGTGTCAAAAGTCGGCGTCGGGATTTCTATCTTACCCAATTAGGAAATCCGCTCACTTTGTTCCGACCCTAAATTGGGCTGATCTTCTTCTTGTTCTTCTTTTTTTTTCTTTAATCTACTTAAGTAAATAACTAACAAATATATTATACTAATTATTAAATTATTAAATAATTTAAATAATTTAAATATATTAAATGTATTTTTTTATATATGGCATTTCCCGCAAACCCGTGTGCGCCTTAACTATAATCTCCGACCTTAAAACATTCCCATGGAAGAAAAAAAAAAAAACCATCTGAGAGAAATTTTTTTTTTTATTTGTAATTTCTAGATTTTATCTTCTTCTTTCTCTTCTTCTTTTTATTATTTTATTTTATTTCTTTTTAAAAACTATATATAGGTTCCAATTCCCATCTATATCCTCTCCTTTTTTTTGTTTTTTTTTTTTTTACTTTTCTTCTTCTCCATTAAAAAACCCCCACGCACTTACTTCTTTCATAAAGTACCTCACTTACCTTCAATTTAAGACTTGAATTAACCTTTCCCGCATACAAATCATAACTTCCCTTTAAAAATATATAAATATATATATATATAAAACAAACCAAGTACCCAAATACTACTACTACTACTACTACTACTACTACTACAACAATTAGAACCATCATCCATCCAATGGAAAACAATACATCCAATAATAGTAACTCTATCCAGCCGCAACCCCCGCGAAATGCTAACGACATTGACCTCGAGAGAAACCTTACGGCATCCTCATCTGAAGAAGGAATCCATCCTTATGAAAAAGATTCCCACGATGAGGACTTAAATATTAAAAAAACCCGTAGCATTAACCATTTTGGTGATCATGATAGCATCCAGTAAGTTTATTTTTTATTTTTATTTTTATTTTTTTTCAATTCTAACAAACTCATTTTTAGTTCTGAAATTGATGTTGCATTTGAAGACCCAGAATATGAAGAACAACTTTCTAAAATTGTCACCCACATTGACCCCAAGCATCTCGAAGTCAATGAAAAGGACCCTTGGAAATATACTATTGACGCTGAAACTGGATACCGCATTGTAGAATGGGTTGAAGATGACCCAGACTGCCCCCTCAACTGGTCAAACTCCAAAAAATGGTTTCAAACTGCTAATCTTGGCCTCATTTGTTTTGTAGTTGCATTTTCTTCAGCTGTCGTCACTGGTGACATGGAAGGCCCCATGGAACGCTTTGGTGTTTCTATGGAAGTTGTCATTCTTACCGTCACTCTTCTCGTCCTTGGTTTTGGTGTTGGCCCACTAGTCTTTGCTCCCTTTTCTGAAGAATGGGGTAGACAAATCATTTATAATACTACCCTCTTTGTTGCTGTCATTTTTATTGTCCCATGCGCTGTGGCTAAAAACATTGGTACCCTCCTTGTCTTTCGTCTATTAGGTGGTATCACATTTTCTGCCCCAATGACCCTCATTGGAGGTTCTTTATCAGATATGTGGAGAGCTAACGAGCGTGGTATCGCAATGGCTATTTTCTCTGCAATGCCCTTTTTAGGTCCCGTCACAGGCCCCCTCATTGGTGGTTACATTGGCCAATATGCAGGATGGCGCTGGATTTACTATGTTCTTCTCATTTTTTCCGGATGTGTTTATGCCTATGTCTTGGTGGCAATCCCTGAAACTCACCATGCAACTCTCCTCAAGCGTCGTTGCAAAAAACTCATTAAAGAAACTGGCGATGACTCTTATAGAACCCGCAAAATGATGCTCCCCATGCAGCTCGGAAAGACTATGGTCATTGCCCTTATCCGTCCCTTTCAACTGTTTTGTGAACTTATTGTGTTTCTCATGACTATTTACATGACTATTCTTTACTGTCTTTTGTACATTTTCTTCTTTGCTTACCCAATTGTCTTTGGAGAAGGCAAGGGTTGGTCAACTGGTAAAACTGGTCTCACTTTTATTCCAATTGCTGTTGGATCCATTGTTGGTACTGCAATTGCCCCCTGGATCAATAACGACTACATTCGAAGAGCAAAAGTTTATACAGACCGTGGTGAAATGCCTCCCCCAGAAATCCGTCTCATTCCTATGATGTTTGGATCTTGGCTCATGCCCATTGGTTTGTTTATCTTTGCCTGGACAAGTTACCCCAGTCTTATTTGGGTCGGCCCTGTTTTGGCTGGTTTCCCCTGTGGTATTGGTTTCCTCATTATTTATAATTCTGCAAACAATTACATTGTTGATTCATACCAGCATTTTGCAGCCTCGGCTTTGGCTGCAAAGACCAGTGTTAGATCTTTTGGTGGTGCTACAGTCATTCTTGGAACAGTCCAAATGTATCACGCCATGGGTTATCAATGGGCTTCTTCCCTGTTGGCATTTGTGTCGCTTGGATGCTGCGGCATTCCATTTCTCTTTTACTTTTTTGGTGCAAAGATTCGTGCTAAGAGTAAATATGCTTACAATCCTGAGTAAATAAAAAAAAAATTGGGGAAAAAAATTTTTTTTTTTTAGAATTGGAGTCTTTATTTTTTTTATTATTATTTACTTTTTGTGTTTGTTTTTTGAATTTTTATATAAAAAAAATTGTACATTATATATATTTAATTTTTAATTAAAGAAGAAAAAAAAAATTTTTTTTTAAAAAAAAAAACAAAAAATTCTTTATAAGGAAATGATTGAGCGATTATTGAAATATTAATGGGCTAATATTTTGACTGAATTGGGTATTTTGGGAAAGCAATTATGGTGGAGGAAATGAGATTTTTCGGTAAATTGTAAATTAGAAATGGTATGGTATATTGTAAATTGTAAATGGTAAATAGTAAATGGTAAATAGTAAAATTTTAAAATTTTAAATTGTAAATGGTATATGGTACGAGACAGGAATCTAATTTTTTTTCCCACCCCTTGTTTCCCTGTTTCCTAAGGGTTTAAATAAAGCTAGGAATTAACAGTGGTTAATTAATTAATTAGAATTAATTAAAATTGACTGTTTTTAATTGTAGTTAAAGTTAAAATTAAGAAATTGGCAAAAAAAGGAAAGGGGTGGCGTGACACTAATTTAGATAATTAATAATCATTATGTAATTTAATGAAGGGGTCTTTTTTTCTTTTCTTTTTTTTCTTCTTCTGGGTAAAAACATAATTCAAATAAATAAAATAAATCAAAAATAAAAAAAAAAGATTTTATATTAAATATATATTCTAAATAAACATTGAATAAAAAAAATTTAAAGAATTAAATCTGGTGATATTTTTTTTTAAATTTTAAATAGACAGACAAAAGAAAAAGAAAGAGAGAGAGAGAAAAAAAAAGCAAGCAAATAAACCAAAAAAAAAAAAAAAAATCTCAATGAATAAATAGCAAAAACTTTCAATAATAACAACGAAAAAACCTTAGAAAATGTTCATTTCTTTCTTTTTTTTTATTTCTTTATTATTTCTCAATTGCTTTTTTTTATATGTATATTCTGATTTTTTAAAGATTAGCAAAAAAAAAAAAAAAGGAGGAATTGAAATTGTTAAAATTGTTGAAATTATTGAAAATGTTCAATTGGCTGATGATTGCAAAAATATTTTGCCGTTTATAATAATTAGTTTTAAATATTAATATCTAAGAACTAAGTCTTAAATTTGTATATTATCATGATTATTTTTATTTTTTTAATTTTTTGATTTTGTTGCGTCACCCTCAATTGCTGCTGCTGCTACTGCTGCTACTGCTGCTTGCCGGCCACTCCCCTTTTTTTTTTTTATTTTTTATTTCTCCCTTTTTTTTTTTTTATTTTTTTTTTATTTTATTTTTTTTTCTTCTTTCTTCTACCTTCTTTCCCTTTTTTATTTACTACACACAACCGTTGGAAAAAAAAAAACCAAACCAGATTAATTAAAATTAAAAAAATCACCACTCACTTTTAGTTTGGGATTTGTTTTTTTTTTTAAATATATAATATAAAAAACAAACAAATAATTTATCAACTTCAACAGTTTCTTTTAATTTTTTAAAAATGTCAGCTGAATTCGCTAGCAACATCCAGGACAAGGCGTTTGCCTTTATCAACAGTATTGATAAGGTGCGTGTGTTTATGAGTTGTTTTTTTTTTTTTTAAAAAAAAAAAGCCACCTTTAATTCAAATTATCATCAAATTAATAAATATTCCATTCATTTTTTTTTTTTTTTTTGATACAATCATATTTCAATATCGTTTTTATATCACTTTCATATCAATCTTTTTTCTACCTTTTATCAATTACTATTAATGATGGCTTACCAAGAAATACGTTAAAACTAACATACATTCTTCTTTCTTTCTCTAGGAACTTGACAAGTACCCTGCATTGAAGAAGCTCGAAGCCAAAACTGGTGTCCCCAAGTCTTATGGCACTCTTGGTTTTGTCTTTGTCTACTTTTTCCTCATCTTTTTAAATCTCGGCGGGTAAGTTTTTAATCCATATTCTAATCTATCACATTTATCATGATGAACTAACCCAATACGATTTTTTTTTTCTTTTTATCTAGAATTGGCCAGCTTTTGGCAAACTTTGCCTCTCTTGTCATCCCCGGATACTACTCTCTTGTTGCCCTTGAATCAAGAACTACTGAAGATGATACTCAGTACCTGACTTATTGGGTCGTCTTTGCTGCCTTTTCTGTCATTGAGTTTTGGAGCAAGACCATTCTCTACTGGATCCCCTTCTACTGGGTCTTTAAGACTGTCTTCTTCCTCTACATTGGCCTCCCCCAGTATGCCGGTTCCAAGTACATCTACTTGAACTTTCTCCGCCCTGTCTCGGTCAAGTTCCTTGGTATCACTGGCAAGCCCGTTCCTGTCTCATCTGCTGCTTCTACCTACTCTGAAGCCCCTGCTGCTGCCTTTTCTTCTACCTCTGCCCACCTCAGAGAAAAGATTGATGAAGTCACTAACGACATTGGCTCTTCAACTAGCGTCGCTATCTAATTAAAAAAAAAAAGAAGATGAGAATTGGCATATTGTGAAGAAAGAAAAAAAAAATTTAAAGAAGAAGACTGAAGATGGGGATACCCTTTTTTTCGGATATACACTTTTCCAAATTCAAGTGTAGTAGTTCTTTTTTTTTTCTTTTTCTTTTTCTTTTTTTCTCATTAATAGTACTAATAATAATAATTTGAATGGAAAATAGGATTATAATAATTATGATTCATTATATTAATTTAAAAAATAAAATGATATAACATGGTGATTATTTTATTTGTAGGTTTTTTTTGAATGATTGAATTTCATAAAAAAGTGGCGATTTTAATTTTTTTTTTTTTTTTGGACTCAATTTAAAGACGTGTGCCTTATCGCCATGAAGGGAATAAAAAATAAAAAAAAAAGGTAGTGTCTTTAAGTCAATTGTTACAACATTCATTTGTAACATAAAAATGTAATGTATTATGACATACTTCCGGGTAACCTTTGATTGATGAAAGTCTCTGTATTATTAATTTAATTTATTATTAATTTATTTTATTAATTTATAATTTATTAAATTTTTTTTTTTTTCAACGGTTCTCCCTCGGCCAACCACGGGATTGAAATTTTTTGCGTGTATGCAAAACCTCCATTTAAAAAAAAAAAAAAAAAAAAAAAAAATCATCATCACCACCAATAATCCCATCACTCCCCTTCCCTTTAAAATACAAAAAAAAAAAAAAAACAATGTACTTGAAGCCTCTTGTGGGATCCACTAGCAGGATCATTGGTGTTCGACCGGTCCTTACAGCTGCTCTCCAGGCTAAGCAGACAGCTACCGCCTCAATGATGGTTCGTTATGCTTCTAACAAAACTCAAAGCACACAGACCATGGACATTAAGTATTTTGGAATTCCCACAGGTACGATCTTTGAATCATATATATATATATATATTAAAGAGACTAATTTCCTTTCTTTCTTCTTTTTTTCTTTTTTATTTAGATGTCTACATTCCTCCATCACCAAAAAATGTCCCACCCTTTTATAAAAACCCCAAACTGGCACTCAAATCAATCATTAGAAAGGCAATCATGCTGGTCAAAAATACAGTCTTGTAAGTGGTGATTTTTTACTTTTAAAAAAGACAAAAAAAAAATAAAGAATCTAACAACTATTATCAAAATTAGTATTGCCCAGTTCCGTTTAAAGTCCAAAATTTCGCCGCGCTTTGTGGAATGGAAAAACTTGGCTCTCGAAACTTATGTCGATACCAACCACGCTTTTGCCGAGTAAGTTCAAAGATCAATATTTAAACCTTTTTTTTTTTTCTTTTCCCAATTTAATCATTAAATTTTTTTTTTTTACAGACGCCGTCTCGATTTAGTCCGTGACCGTCTCAGTCTGTGGGTTTATGAATCTCTCAAGAGCCGTCTTGAGTCAGTCCCCAAAGATGTCAAGCTTAATTGGAAACTTGTCAAGTTCAATTCGACCCCAAAAATTGTTTCTGTCCAACCTTTATTACTTCCTGGTAAACCCATGCGTGAAATTCAAATTATTTATAAAATTGATACCCGTCAACGACTTGCCCGTATGTCCCCCCATAGCAAGGAACCTCAGGTTGTTGAACACGATGTTGTTGATTATGCAGCTTTTACTTTTGATGCATCCAAGATCCCTGCCCGTGTTTACTTTGCCGGAACTGTTTTTGAGAGTAAGTTAAGATGAAAAAAAAAGAAAAAAAGAAAGAGAGATAAAATAAAACAATACTAACTAACTAATTTTATAGGCTCTCTCGAAGACTCACTTCCTGTTGCTTCTGAAAAGGCAGAAGAAATGATGCAGTCAATGAAAATCAAGGGCGATATTTTCCGCTCTCCACCCAAGCTCAATCTTTCTAAGAAGGCTGAATTGGAGCAGAAGCAAGAGTCTAAGTAAGAATAGTATTCTTCCTTTTCCTTTTCTTCCTTTTTTTTTTGTTTATTTGCTTCCAGTTTAAACTGATTGAAAATGTCTATCTTTTTGTATATATCTTCTAAAATGTAATTATTTTCCTTTTTTTTTTGTTTTTTTTTTTCACCCCCCTCCCCTATCATAGAAAATAAAAAAAATAATAATAATCAATAAGGTTATCTTCAATTAAAGGGAAATATATTAATTAAATCTATTTAACATTATCTTTTTGCCTGATTAAAAAAAAAAACAATATTACCAATTTGTTTTGTTTATTTGTTTATTAATAGATGTCTGTCTCCATTTTAAATATCTAATTTTTAATTTCATTTTATTTTTAATTTTTTTTTTTTTCAATATATACTTTTACAACCTTTTAATTCTTCATTCAGGCGTTTCTGATATTTTTTTTTTCATTATCATTATTACTTCAAATTATCTAACAGAACTATAATCGTTATGATCATCCTCCTTCTCCTCTCAGTCTTATAAGCTTAATGGGATTCTTCTTCCAATTTTAACTCCCATAACTTTGTTTAAGTTTTTTTTTTTTTTTATTTTTTTTTATTTGGAATATTTGGCATATCTATTGAAATAAAAAAAAAAATGCAAGAAATCACACTTTTTTTTTTCAGTTTCCGTGCAGCGGCTCACTCCGATAATCTAATTTCCTTTTTGGGATAAAATCATGTCGTAGAAATACCATAGAAAAGAAAAATCTTCTTTTTTTTATTTTTTTATTTATTATTTATTTTTCTTTAAAAATTTCCACTATATAACTATTTATCATTCTCAGATAACACAATTGGTAATTACAAAATAAGAGACTTATAAATCTCCTTTTTTTTTTTTGTCAAAACTCTCACCAGATATACAATCCACAAAATCAAAACATTTCTCTTGTAACGACTCTTCCTAAACCATCAATTCTCTTTTTTTTTTCTCATTCCATTCACTTCTCTTTCCTTGATTTCTTTCCTTCTATTTTTCTCCTTCTTCTTCATCATCATCATTCTTCTTTTCTTTCTCTTTAACCACCTCCCCATCTACAATGGATAACAACAACTACAAATACAGCCGCTACTTTGATCCTACTAGCCAACCCCCCTCCACCCGCCAACATAACTTGGGCCAACGCCACCAACCCCCTCCATCATCATCAACAAATAATGCAACCGCTTTCTTTGCCATGGACTCAAGCCCAGCCCTCGGCGCTGCTACCGCCGCTGTCGTTGTCGCCGCTTCGCTTTCCTCTCCAACTCCCGTCGTATCCTCTGACTTTGCCTCATCTCACCGAAGATCACCATCCCGCCCCCGTTCCCAGTCACATTCATCTCCAAAAATGGCTGGTGCAGCTGGTGCAGCTGGTGCAGCTGGTGCAGCGCTTTCTGGACCTGGGACTCCAGGATATCTCCCACATATTCCTGCAATCCGCGGGTTTGATGACTCCACTACACGGGGTGAGTTTCAAATCTCACTCGACTCGCCGTTGCCATCTGCAGGACTTTCTGGATCTGTAGCTGCATCACCCCTAGCACCTCCACCACATATGCGACCTCAACAGCAGCAGCAGCAACAGCAGCAGCAGCAACAGGTCAATGGAGCTAGTGGAGGAGCACAAAACGGCATTGAACGCTACAGAGGCCGCGTCACTTCCAGTGGGAAAGTCAGTGGTAGCACTGGTCCCGATGAGATTAATGGCACCAAGGTCCATGTGGGCGCCAATGGGTCTTCTTCAATGGGCTCACAACCGGGAATTGTTTCGATGCGAGGGACTGCCATTACAACAAGTACAGCAGTTACCCAGGGTATTGACGGAAACAAAAAAGTGATGGGGTTATTGGGGAATGGAAACGACACGATTAATGGTCTTGTAAATGGGAATGTGGACGGACTGGTGTCGCCGTTGCGAGCAACTAAAATTTCATCGCATACTACAATGGCAGCACCTAAGCTTGCACACTTGGATTATAATGCAGGCAAACATGTGTTTGATGGATTGATTTCAACAATTCCTGACCAGAGGTATGTTTAGAAGACTTGAGTTGGTATTGATTTATGACTATTTATGGGTATACTGACAAGATTTAGACGCAACATTGTGGCAAAACGAGGTGAAGTTTTCACACTTATGGTTGCTGGAGAATCTGGACTTGGTATGACTTTTATTTTTAATTTTATATTTTTAAAATTTTGAATATAAACTATTGTTATTAACCTTTTAAAGGAAAAACAACCCTTGTCAATACTCTTTTTGGAGACAAGTTTGAGGATACGAGTAGCATCTCTCAGCATCAACCTCTTGACAGTAATACCCCGAAAACAACCCGAATTGAAGTGCGTGAGGCCATTTACATTGAAAATGGATTCCCCGTCAAGTTCACCGTCATTGATACACCTGGGTTTGGTGACTTTACCAACAATACCCACTGTTGGGTGCCAATCATCAACTACATTGACAACCAGCACAAGCTCTACATGCTCCAAGAAGAGCAGCCAGACCGCCGTAAAAAAGTTGATACCCGTGTCCACGTTTGCCTTTATTTTATTCGGCCATCTGGAAAGGGGCTCTTGCCGCTAGACATTAAAATCATGCAAGAGCTTAGCACACGCGTCAATTTGATCCCTGTGCTTGCAAAAGCTGATTCGTTTACTCTCAAGGATAGAGATTTTTTCAAACAATCTGTGAGACATGGCGGAATTTGAAATGTGGTGTGAGTGTATGTAGTGTGCACCTTTTAAACTAACTCTTGTCTTAGGTTCGTGATACCATTGCTTCGTCGGGGATTGAGATTTATTGCCCCCAGGATGTTACCCCTGATATGGACCCCGATATCCGCGACACTCCTTACGCAGTCATTGCATCAGAAACTATTGTGGGCCACGATAATCATGGACGACCTATTCGAGCAAGACCTTACCGCTGGGGGATTGCAGAGGTTGAAAATGAGGACCACTGCGACTTTGTGAAGTTGCGCAGAGTGCTTATGGAAAAGTATATGTTGGACTTGATTGACTCGACAGTTGAAAAACATTATCAGCGGTATCGCAAGAATTGCATGTTGCGGCGAATTGAACACGCTAGATCTGCTCTTGTAGAAGCAGGAATATCAGAAGCTGCACGCATGATTGATTCTGAGGGTGGATTACAAACTTTGGTGCAAATCTCCAAGTATGGCAAAGAGTTTTTGGAAGATGGGCAGCTGGAAAATGACCCCATTTTCCGTGAACGCCAGCGCAAAATGAATGACAAGTTTGCTGTCATTGTTGCGTTTCATGAAGACCGGTTTGAATCATGGCGCAATGAATTGCGTAAGAAGCAAGACGAGCTCAACCAGGATATTGAAAATACTTCAAAATCGTATTTTTTTTAAAATTATATGGGACTTTCAAACAATGGGACACTAACTTTTTTTTTCTGTTTTTTATTTTTTTTTTTTTGTTTTAGACTTGATGATTTGCAAAATGCAATTGAAATGCTGGAAGGCCAACGCGATTACGAAACTGATAGAGTCGACCGCGAGTCTCGTGGGGGATTCAACAAGGTCCGCTACGGAATGCGCAAGTAAGGGAATAAGGAAATTATGAGTAATTAAAGACGAGAAGGAGATTTTCATATATAAATTTGTAGGTGAGTGTAGTAGTAGCGATTTGACAATGAATTTTTTTACTCTTTTTTTCACATGGAATGGTAATTTTTCAATGATGAATTCTAACCATGTTGTTTTCTTTTTTTTCCTCTCCCAATAAGCACCTCTTTTTTGTTTGATTGTAACCAGCTGGCAGATAGAGAAACAAAATGGAAGATTAAGATAAAGATGGAATATTCCCTAAAGAAACAAGATGCGTTATTTCTTTTTTTTAATATAAAAATTTTCTTGTTTCTCCATAATAACTAGGCTTTAAATTACCAAGGAAAAAAAATAACAAGAAACAGATCTTAAAATGATGTCGGTGTCCAGAAGCAGCAGCTGTATTCCAGAAGATGAAGAAAAAAAAGGAAGAATGAGGGGATTCTAATGTTTACACAAGTGAATAATAGAAAAAGAAGAAGATGAATAAATATAATAAAAAAAAGGGGGAGAAAGTGAGAATCGTAAGAAAAAAAAGGTCCAAAATAATGGGATTGTAGTTTTTTTTTTTCAAGAAATTAAAAAGCAAGCTAAATTGCATCAAATTACAGTCAATATCAGACATTCCAAAAAAAGAAAAAAAAACTAATTGAAGTGAATATACTTTTTTTCTCAATTCAGTCTTTGTCAGGTAATCTTCTTCTTCTATTCTTTAATTGGTGTTATTTGATAAACCGCCTTTCTGTTTATTCTCCAAAAAAAAATAAAAAAAAATAAAAAAAAATAAAAGTATATAAGTGTTTATATTTTATGTATGGGAGCAACAAGTGGGCACAAGAAAAAATAAAAAATAAAAAATAATAAGAAACCAAGGTTCTTTGTTGAAATCCATGAAAAAACAAAATAATATTCATGATGAAAGAATATCGTAAATCTGTCAGTTTTAAAAGTGCATACAAAAATAAGCAAAAAAAAAAGAGAAATAATTATAATAATTAAAAAAAAATAAATGTAAAAAATAAAAAGGCCCTTGTCAACTAAAATAAAAAAAATATTAGCCAACATTGTGATGAAACTATTAACATTTGCTGCTGCTTTAAAACAATATTGTATTGATTAACCAATAGATGAAGCGTGAAATCCCATTTTCTATTCAGGTACCTAAGATATACCTGGTATTATAATGCAAATGAGTTTTTCTTTTCTTTTTTATTTCATTTTTTATTTTTTTATCCATTTTGCAAACAAAGAAAATAGGGTTCCTTTTTCCTTGTTATGAGAATTTAACAGAAGATCTAGAAGTGTTTGTAATTATTAGAACATGAGGGTGAGAAATTTCCTTTTCGCTTATATCCTGCTTTAATATTATTCTGTTTTTTTTTATTTTCATTTGTTTCTTTTTTAAACACATTCATAATGATTCAGCAATGATTTTTTTTAATGAAAACTAAACAATGTGTCAAAATTAAAAGAATATTTTACTTGTTGGTTGATCTTTCTTGTAACCGAGGACTGGTGAAATTAAGCGAGCGCGGTAACATGTGGGGGAGGATGAATGATATTGTCAAGGAGGGGTTTCTTTTTTTTTTTTTTGTTTAAAAATTCTTTTACCAAAATATCTCAATATGATATTTATACAATCATTTTATCAATCTATTAAAATATTACTATTTAGTTTTATCATAGATTAATTAATCAATCAACTAACTCATGTTTTCTTTAAAAAAATAAAATTTTTTTTTTTTTTTTTGATATTCTTTGATTAAATAGAAAATAGACAAGCTGACAAGCTGACAAGCTTACCATAAAAAAATCCCAACCACTTGGATTATTGACCAATCATCAACTTCTCCCTATACAAATGATATATACTACCAGTTCAACTATCTTTTAGCTAAACACAACCGTCTGGAAGCTTACTTTTTGATTTGCCCTTTTTGTTTTTTTTTTCTTTCTCATTTTCAGCCCCTCTGCTCATGTATATATATCTTGGGAAATAACGTATTCTCACATGTGCCACTTTCAGCAGTTGTTTCTGGAAAAAAAATTTTTTTTTGTTTTTAATATTTTAAGTCTTTGTAAGTTATGTCCTTTTTCTATTTCCACAAAAATATCACATATCAAATGCCTTTGAAAAAAAAAATCGATTCATTTAATTATTAAAGACAACATTAAATTGCGTATACATTGAATGATGTGTGCCGGCTACCTGCGTCAGTGCAGTCATTTTTTAAAAAGTTGGATTTTTAATTTTTCATTCATTCATTTTTTTTTTTGAATTTTTGACAATAAGTTGGTAAATAAGAAGAAAAATCTTAAGTGTGTGTGTGTTTTTTTGGTGTATGTTTCTGTCTATCTCAAATTTCTTCTTTTTTTAATCATCCCAAGTTTCTTAATCTGCTTTCTTTTCTCCACTATCGATACCTTTAAAACCAATGACAATCACCAAATGAGTGATAGATGGCCCTTCATAAAAATTTATCCTCTTGACTAGGCGCATAATCAGAAATCTCTTTTTCCTATTTGTCATTTTTCCATTTTGCCATTTTTCCATTTTTCCATTTTTCCATTTTTCCATTTTGCCATTTTGCCATTTTGCTCAAAAAAATGCCGTCCGCCCTGTTATCCAAAAGTGAGAAAGCTTGCCAGTAACATCAAAGATAAAATACTAAAAATGTGTAGACCAGAGACTTTGCAGGTCTGCCTTAATATTTTTCAAATAATGAGTTAAGATCAATCAATATTCATAAAGCAAAGTATATGTATTATAATAATATGTTCAAGATCCACTACAGCCTTGATTTTAATTTTTCTTTGTATTTTCTAAAATTTTGTTATAATTAAACATAAAATATCAAACTCAAATATATTGTTGAGATAATATTTTTTAATTTTTTTTGTGGTTACAAGCTTAGTAACGAAGTACACAAGTTTTCAATTTTTTTCTCTTGTACAAGCGAGAAAGACTTTACTGTGTTCCAGAATATAGCAAATGATAGTTTAATAGGAATCTATTTTAGAACATATTAAATACTAGATACAGGAAAAGAGTGAAAGGTTTAAACATCCTCCTTAACAAGCGACATATAATTTGTTTTTTTTCTTAGAATAAAGTTGTTACACAGTATAATCGAGAGAATTTCAGGTTAATGAGAAAAAACAAACAAACTAAGTAGATCAGTAAGAAAAGAAGAGCTTTTTTTTGAAAAAAAATAATTATTTGTGTATTCATAAACAAGCAACAATGGAGGTTTTGAGACTTCATAATTGTAATAATATAATAATATTAAAAAGGTGTTGCTGCCTTGAATAATAAATAAACGAAGATGAAGGAAGGGAAAGGCATATAATCCATTTCGTCATTATTAATATTTTATAAGCTACGGTAAGTTTACTTGAATAGCGGAATTAGAGAAAGAAGGATCAAAAAAAAGAAAATAAAGGGATTATTATTCAAATATGCGGAAAAACCTAGATTGAAGTATAGAAAAAAAATTATTAGTGATTTGAAACAGTGCATCAAAGTTTTTCTTTTATTTATCTGAAGTAAATAAATCCATTAAATCTTTATTGTAATTATTTAAAAGAAGAAAAAAAAGGGTTGAAAAAATAAATCAATAGGATTAAATTAACATTGAATTCAAACTATTCTCAAAATTCCATCACAATAATTTTGCAAAAAATAGATGTTCAAAGTAAACTTCAATAAGACTGTACTATGTTACCGGAATGTATTATCCCAATTGAGAAGATGACTCTCCCGTGTGTTTGCATGAAATTAAACTGTGATTTGGTACTGTTGTTGAAAAAGCCCTTTATGGTGCCATTTTTTTCTCATTTGTATTTTTATACAGCCGAATCCTTCTTTTATATATATTATTTATTTATAGTCTTTATTTTAAATCTTTAAAACAAAACTTATCTATATTGGCTCATCTTTCTTTTCGTCTACTATTGTAAAACATAAAAATATTATCAAGAAACTAAAGGTGAAACCAATAGCCACACACCTTTTTTTCTTATTTTTTTATTCAATGTAAGTCGAATCGATCATTTTTAAAATTGAATGTACTAACGCGTCCCACTTCTAGTGGTTACTTTGTATGTCGCGTTGCATTTGCTCCTCATCAATATTGCTGCCTCAATCGCTTTTCTTTTTTTTTCTGTTTTTTTCCTTTTTCCTGTTATAACTTTTGGAAAAAACAGAAACCCTTTAACTCTACTTTTGGAAGAAACAAAAGCCAAAGCCTAAGCCTAAGCCTAAGCCTAAGCCAAAGCAAAATCCAAATCTTCCATTGTCCGTTGTTGGAAGAAAATAAAAGTGACTTAGGTAATTTTTAGATGTTACAGAACCTTTGCAGGTCTCTCTTTTTTTTTTTTTTTATAATATTTCTTTTTTGTAATAAGCTTACGATCAAACTTCTTTTCAATTAAATTTTTATTCAAACTTTTTTATGTCTGCTGTATAACTTTGTTTTGTAGGGTACATTATTACTTCTAATTTATTAATAACTTTTTTTTTGTTTCATAATACAAAACCAGTATTTCTTAAAGTTTTTTTTTCTAGAATTAAAAAAAAAAAACAAAAACAAAACTAGCCAATCTAATTTAGTCCGGTTGAAAAAAATTGTGTGGAAGAGAGAAAAAGGTCGTACAGTATTATTAAAGACCGAAAACACCCTGTGCCCTCCTATCACCATATCTAGGGAAAATTCAGTAACAATGTGGACCGTATTATTGAATCATGCTTTCACTTTCAGCAATTCATCAACTCAACCCCGCTTGTTCTTCAAGTATTTCTTCTAATATGTTTTGATTGATAGGTTCACCACCTCCCGTGACATCCTATTACTTTTTCACGCTTTGTCAAAACACCTGCGAATTGAAGTCCATGGTCTGAGATGAAAACTTCAGGTAGGCCGACCAAGCTACTCGATTTCCACACAAACATCATCTAGGCACTTTTTTCGGTGTCAGTTGCTTGTACCCGCTCCAAT